CCCGCGATAGATGGCGAGACTTACTTTCAACCTATGCGCACTAAAACTAGCGGCGTCGACTGACATCCCACCCGGCCGCGGCCATGTTCTGGAAGCCAGCGACACACGTGGACCCTAGTCTATGTGTTGGGATTCTAATTAAAAGAAATGGTGGTGGGATTCTAATTAATGGGATTCTAATTAAAAGAAGAAGTGGGATTCGAACTAAAAGAAGAAGTGGGATTCTAATTAAAAGAAATGGTGGTGGCAGCGCGGGCCGCGCTTTCGCCGCGCGGCTGGTTTGGCTTTCGCGCTGGTTAGATTTTCGCGCACGCATTTGGTTACCAATATCGCCCTCCGGGCGCGATCTTCATACAATAGATACCGCTTCACTCTGCTGAAAAGCTGGGAAGCAATTACTTCAGATTGGTTGTACGTACTTATTTGAAGATGTCACGAATAACGCATTCATTCTTTCATCCGAAGGCTAGCCACGGATTCTTGCCTTCAATTGCTATCGCCCGGACTCTTACCGCATTGATTTGTAGGCTGTGTGGTCAAGCCAACCACGCATGATTTTCAGCTTCCTCAGACAGCCACTGCAGTGGCATTGGATAAGTAGCATGACACTGGTCATGTTCGTCGTATTTCGCGAAGGAGGAAATGAGACGCTTTTCAGCACAATAGTTTCCTGTATATCAAAACGCCACTGCGGAGCAAGACGCAATCGCAATCCAGAATACGCGGCGCGCTGCACCAGAATCTGCGTCTATCGGAACAAGAAATGCGGTCTTGTCCCTCGAGTGCTGTAGCCTTTCATCAACTCACACATAAGTATGCATTCCTTCTCGTTCTTCTCGTCCTCGCAGACCGTATCTCCGCATCTGTGAAGGGGCCATTTTCATCTCATCACCTGTAAAATCCGAGGTGACTAGTTGACATTTCAAAAGCCAAGCCTAAGTCGCCCCCCCGGGCCAGGTATTTCTAACCTATTCCACCTATTGGCTAGCGCAGGTATTATTTATGCAACCAAGAGGCACGCACAGGCACATGCATCTCGATCGGTACCCGTACCGCAATAGCAATGAAGTTGTAGACCGAGGGATGAACAATGTCGGTGGACTAAAATAGAAACTAAAAAAGGGCTAGGCAGTATTTTTTTTTCCGATAGCACTGCAGAGAAATGAAGCTCGTTTCGGAACTGCAGAAGCAGCAGAGTGCGGTAGCTGCAGTCCGTGCGACCAAGCCAAGGCCGGGATCGAGAGGGACGAGGCAGTCAGTATCAAAAAGACTTTCCTGCTTCTAGATCACTTACTTTGGCCTCAACAGCTGGATACGTGTACATCCATACAAGACCACAAGGCGCTTTCAATCTCATCGAGGAAGCAAAGATGTTTTTAAGTGACGCACATATACCGTTTTTGCCGGGATCGTTGTAGTTTTCGTTCCTTCGCTTTTTCATGTTTGTCTCGCGTTCTGTTCGACAGGAGCGTAATGCCATGCCAACGATAAGCATGATCTAGATGCGAGGCTCTCCGCTGCGATACCAAACGACTGCATGACTGGAGACAAAGTTGCTCCCTGTATGGAGGTGGGTCAGCTGCGGGAGCTCCGGTGTCGGCAGGGTCCGTTCAAGTACGGTGGGAGAAATTGGCTCCAAGGCGGGTGGGACGCAGTCGACACGGTGGGGGCGACTTATGGCTACTGCAATGGCGACAATTTGGCTTATCCTCGTGGAAAGGCTCCCCAGGTGACGTGATTTTGTCTTGTACTCACAGGGCTAATGTTGATGCAGCAGGGAAGGAAATCCGTATAGTCAGAAGAAGCATGAAGATGTTGAAGCCGAGTAGATGCAAAATGAACTCCGTATTAGCCGGCCGTGATGACGCAAGTGCCTTTTGGAAGTGAAACTGCGTTTGTTCGATGGGCCTCCCAGTTCTAGATTGGGACATAGGCATCCATAGATATAACGCACACGTAGAGTGTTTTGCGTGCTCTCTGTAGCATGCCCCGCACGATTTCGATTTGTAGTATGCTTTTTGCAACAAACGCACCTGTGGGAGGCACTTCTCCTTGAAGAGCAGACGACTCTTTTTGGGTGGACAGGTTTGGTCGACGAGCAGTCTTACACGAAGGAGGAGATCGCACCCTGGGCGAAGGTTGATGATGAGTGGGTGCGACAGTGGCCTACAAGTATATTCTGGATTCTGTTACGCCAAAGCTAGCAGCAGTGCTTCTTGACAGTGCTTAACTAAACAGTACTGATATGAATAAATCACTATCTTTCAGCTTCGACTATAGTTTTTTTTCTTCTGGGCGATTTACATTTTTCCCTACGACGTTACCACTAGGGTATCAGGGCAGGCTATTCCTGCCGCGCGTCGGAGGAGGGAGTAGCGCCGAGCCACGCTCGAACTAATCATCATTTTTCCCTAGGCTGTTCGGCTTCTCTTTGGCAAAGCCGGAGCATACTGCTGCCGAAATCGTGTGCAGCAGGACTGCCTTTCGAAAGTTTCTTTGGGCTGTCAAATGCTTGAAGATGAGACAGAATCGATGCTCAGAAGTATCTATCAGAGAATTTTTGATTTAGGGGAAGCTTTTGAAGCACACGCTCCGACTACCCTACTATTCATCTACTAACAACTACAGATGACGAGGGGTTTCCAACTACGCACCTTCAAATCTCGTACAAAACGGAGGAAACCGTCAAATTTTTGCCGCTTTTTTGTTGCACCGGTTCGAACAAGGACACCGACACTTTTCGTGAGCATTGCAAGGACAGGACGCCGTTCCTGACTCGGTGGGAACAGGACGCAGTAAAGGCGCGCTTTCAGAACCAGGACAAGAACTACGTCTATGTGAACCAATTGCTGATTGCGCAGTCAGTGACGATGCGGTCGTTGATGGAGCAAACTGCGAGCGAATGGAGCTTTGAGTGGCAATGGACGCGGGGGTCGAGGTGCACAAATTTCGCGAACACGGACACCTTCAAAAAACAATGGGAAAGGGGAACGTGCAGCGACCCAAGTGGGCACTGTTGGCGGCCCACTTGGAAATCCATGTTTAACTCCTGCCTGAACAACCCGCGTTGCTACGGCACTGTGATTGACTTGGACTTCCACTCGCAGGCCTACGATCTGGAAGAGGCGGAGGGTTCCGAATCTGGACAGGTTTCCGGAGGACGAGGGGGTTTCGATTTGTACAAAACATGCGACGTTGACTTCGAAGACCTGGCCGGGCAGGCAGTCGGAAACTGGATGGTGATCGTGAAACACAAGTTCAACAAAACGGAGGTGATGGACCCAATGACTATCCTGGCCTGGGAAACTCAGCAGAAGACTATTGCAAGGAAAGATCCCCCCTCTCCATATTGAAAACGCACTCGTCTGGAAAATTGTGATGGAGATTTGTGGCCACAAATCGGGTCTGTCTTGCAAGAAGGCACGACACGCAGGCTGTCCGCTACGTCATGCAGGCGATTTGTACTGATGTAAGGCCTACAGTGTAGCCGTCTACCATGCTAGGTGCGTACACCGAAAGGGCCATGCCTAAGCTTAGGATCTGCTTGCGGTCCTCTACTGCAACACAGGTTTGGTTTGTGTATCCAAATCCAGCATCAGAATAAATTTCGTTTTGAAATGGGGAGGAGGAGTTTTTCCTCTTGATAAAGACGTACGAGGAGGAGAATCTCCAAGATCTGGTGAAGTCTGATCCGCTCTTGGGCGGGACGGGCACTGCTACGGATGAAGGGGGCAGCTCCACGACAATTTTGCTCGTGGTCGCAGCCTGCGTGGTGCTCATCGGGGGCCTTGCCGTTCTTTACTGCAATGGATTTTTCGGTGGCGGCGACGGCGACGACGATGATTGGTACGTGGGTGGAGACCAGGACGGATACGGGGGGGGCTACGGCTATTAATACTACGGCGCTTCAGGCCATGCCGAAAAACCTGGATACTGAAAGGTGGTCTTCATCTATCTATGCGAGTGTCAGTTGGCAAGTGAGATAGTCAAAGTCAATATAGTTAGATGATGGTCCTCCAAGCGCAAACGAAAAGACATAAAGCGGCAACAAAGCATGACAAGTGACATGCTTTTGGCACTCGTTTCTACTTTGGGGTCGTGTTTTTCAATTCTGATGAGCGTCACCGCAATTGCGTTTTGGCATTGGCATGCCTCGCTGTCCAACGCCAATTGACTTCTTGCATGTTCTTGCTGCGATTTTTTAGCACGGACGGCAGGGGCTCTGTCTGCTGCTGTCCGCCATTGACTGATTGGAAGGCAAGGCGCATTGTGATGCACAAAGAACAGCACTAGGACTAATTTTTCAGTCCGCCTGACACTCTGATATCTCACGAGACGCCGGCAAGTCACAATGAGAAGGAAAAAAAAAGACGAAGCAGCATTGCCAAGCTAAAAAAGCACCATTGTCACACGAAAATCTGAATATGTGTCATCATTATTTTCCGCTTAAGTTTCTGAATTTGTTTTTTCGAGAGATACCGAGACGATAACGAACCAGTTTAATCTGCTCACTTTGTAAGTACTTAACTGTCTTTTGCACATTTCCACCAAGGAGAACGACCTAATCTAAGAGCATGAGATCTGCATTTTTCCGTTTCACGACCGCTAAGACTAAATATGCATTAGATTTTTTACTTTTTTCAATTTTATACCTGTACAAGAAGCTTTGCATACAAATTTGATTCCCTGCCGATCCCTTTTTTTCATCTTTTTTTTTGTATATTATCGACGGAAATACTTTCTTTTCTATCATCTTTGAGCGCTATCCTTTGCAGCTATTTCCATCCAGACCCCAGAAAAATGTAGATTTCTATTCAAATGCTAAGACGAATACTAAAGGCCCGTTGTATCCCAGCAGGCTGGCATTCTCCTAGTGAAACAGACAAAAAATTTCGAACCCCAAAATAAGCAGTTATGTACACTATAGAAATATGAATTGTTAGACAACGCTAAAGCGAGCCTTTATTTAACTTTGAAAAAAGAGAGCGCGCACGAAAGACGGTGGCTTCAGGCCGATTCAAAACCAGAACGAGGACATTTGCAGGATGCGCGCCTCTCTCAACAAATGTAGTAGAGGCCCCAGAAACGAGCACGACACGGAATTACCGGTAGCCAGTGCGCCCCTGCACTAAGCAACGAACAGCGTTTACGATCACGATTCCATTCTTCCGTTGCTTCTGCATGAGCAAAGGCATGATCGAGGGATCAGGAAGTCTAGGGATGGCGCACCCGTCGGGGAAAATCTGTTGAGCCCATCTCGTGTATCCCACGAGCTGGTAGTTTTGCAGGAGCTGTGGCGACCGCGAAAAATTTGAGCAGCATTACATACTTCCGGATAGTCATACCTTCATGGTTCGGTCTTGGCATTTCTTCTCGAACGCCTCGGCTTTGTTTCTGCTTTGTGTTCTCGTCCCGCAGAGATTCTATTGTTCTTGTGAACATTTTTGAATCGAGTAAGACATAGCGAAAATTATATGGCAGTCGCATAAGGTGGCGTGGCTACTGCTTCAAGGTGTCTTGAAGGTTCGTGTTGTGCAGCAAAAAGCCACAAACGAAACGTGATGTTGATGCCAGAAGCCGTGAGTTTCGGTTTTCTCGTGATGTGCTGCTGCTTCGTGATTGTTAGTGTTGGCTTGCTTCAACCTGCGCAACGAGCCAAACCAGCAATCAGCGCACAGCTTCAGTATGGTGTTGGCACTCCTGCGGAAGGTTTCCGTTTCCTTCCCATCGGAAAAGCAAAAGGTTTGCTCTACATATACGCGTTCGAAGAGATGAATGTTCTCGCGGTTCGGTCAACGTACATACGCGTAAGAAAAAAATGAAACAGTCTCGGTTGAAATCGTGATCGTCCTTCAGCTCGGCAGGTGCTTGTTGTAAATAAACCTCGTCGTGTGCAGCGTACATAATGACACGTAGTGTTTCATCCGTTTTTCGTGTGGTGGAAATTGTCATGGCGGTAAGTACTACACGCTTCAGCGCCAGTGTCTTCGTATCAGTTGTCGTGCTTTTTCGTCCGCACCCGTTTGTCTTCGTCACTATTTCCATGTCGGTAATTCATCTATATGAGAGTGCAATGGCCAGCCGTTCTTTTTCGCCAGGAGTTAGTTGCCCCGGAATCCCTCCCCACAGATTCGCTTTCGTCTGTCGCTTCTTTTCCACTCATACCCTGGGAGGAAGAGAAGCGACCCAAACCATATTATATATTTTTTTTTCGAAAATAATTCAAGTGTGTGAGTTAGCTTTCACCTCCGTTTATTTAAAGGCGTGCTGTTCAACACCCTGTGAAGACTCAGTGCGTATTCTCATGCGATCGCGGGGCTTTTGCGATTGCCCTCATTGTTGTCGAGCTAAGGGATCGCACGGACTTCTTGTTTTGACGTTGGGTACAAGGAGACGCCACAAATTGCAGACAAAAAAGCCTGGAAGGAAGCACCAGCGGTAGCAAACCCTCAGTCCTCATGTACGGTGGAGCGGCTCCTGCGGGACCGAACGGGTACGGATATGGGTATGAAGACCCCATGGAGGGGGCCATGTCTGGTATCAAAGTGAAAACTTGCTTTACCCACCCTAGATAAAGTGCTGCGCAGAAATGCTTTTCGTTTTCTAGAGAAAAAATTATCGTGCGTGCTGTACTGTACGAACTAAAACAAGAGGGCAGACATTTTCAGTGCAGAAATGTTTGTTTTTGGCTTTTGGTCCTCCGCAGGCCTGGTTGCGGAAGGACAGCATGCGGGCTTCGCTCGACAGGGTTTTTATGACATTTGCTCTCGTTTAGGATTGTTGTACGTACTATAAATATTCTAATTGGTATGTCGCTCTGTGTCTCCCCTTCTTGTTGAGGTTGACACAGGCCGCCTTGTCTGAATGTTGATTCTAATCCTCCTATCAGCTATTGAGGTTTCGCCCCACTGGGATGAATGTGATCTAGCCACGGATGTTGAAGAGGGGCGAACGCAGCCTCTGCTTAACATGCTTTTACACCTTTTTCGAAGAGAGCTTGCTTTGCTTCAACGAACTCACAAGTGAAAAAACGAGGCAAGAACAAAAGAAGTTGGGGGTGGGTTGCGCATGCGTTTGGCTTTGATACCAACACGGGGTGAAAAGTGGGACTTTGGCAGCGAGGAAGCGCAAATCATAACTGCGCACATGGAGGATGAGGGCATCAGAAAGAAATTTGCGATATGCTTCAGAAAGTTTTGAGTTGCAGATCGTATTTTTTGGATTTCATGTTGCATCCATTTTCTGTTTCTTACCTAGAAAGAAACGAGAGAGTACTTGTAGAGCCTTGTTCCACACTGTAAGTTTCACATGCCTTCGTATGTGGCAGGGTCACCCTGTGTGATGCCCCTGGAATGTCCCCGTGGACGCAACTCAAAACTTTCTGTGCATAGAGCAGAAAAGTCCTGGGGATCACGACCTTGATGCTAGGAATTTGCAGCGCGTTGCCGCTTATCATGAAGCCATGCAAGGAAACGGCTGCTCTTCTTGAGGCTACCCATATTGCAGCGCCCTGCAAGCACAAATACCCCGGGGGGTAGTGAGAACATGCATGAGCATGATCACGGAGCGATCATAGCTAAAAATAGTTCATTCTATTTTCTTTGAGCACACTGCCAACATCATCATCATTGTAATATCTATGCCTGTAGGTGTAGACTGACACTTTCCTGTCACTCTGCGGACGGCCGCCTGACGGTCTTACTTACTGGTGTCCCCCTGATAATTGTATTCGGAGTATTATAATTATATCGTAACGAAAGCGAAAAAGGAAAATGAAAATCCGATGCGGATCGCAAGTCATCGCGATGAAGACTCACAAAGTCAATTATAGGAATATTCATCGGCTCACTGGCTTGGTATGGGTAGCACATTTTTCAAGGCGATAATTTTGGCATGTAGGGTACCCAAAGATCAAGGCGATAGAATTTCAGATAGCCGTAGCTGGGCGGGGGTATCAGTTTTCAGATGGCCAGGAGAAATTGAACGCGGTTTATCACACGTAATTTCGCACTCACCATCTTGTCGTGCGTTGCTGTGCATGTGTCCCGTCTAGCGGCCTGTTTTTCGGTTCCGCGAGCAGCCTGTCCTGGAACAAGCATGACATTTGTTTCATATTTGTTCGACCATCAGAGGTTGACAAGAGGTCTGAGCGAAAATTACACACGATACCACCTATCGCATGGAAAGCATTTCTGCCCTTGCCGCAAACTTCTTTTTCCGTTCATAGAAATAGTCGCGCTCGCCAGCAAAAAAGTGAGCCATGTGCGCTGATCTTGTACTGCGCGGGAAGAACATCCCCTTGATTCTTTTTTCGGGTCCTGCGCTATATCTTCGCTGTACGCGGCGTATTGTAACCCAAGGAAGTTTTGTTCCTCGCTGCAAATGTATGCATGATGGAGCGCCGCCCCGGGACCCAATCGAATCCGAAACCGCATCGGAATTGCGGCCACGGTGAGCAGTTTTTCACGCCAGTACTCTCCGTAATACGTCGGAAAAATGGAACTGCCGTGAAAAACTCCTCGTCCTTTTGTGTACTTTTTGGCGCAAGATCACTTGTACGCGTGCTCTTTTGTGCCGCACGATATACAAAGCTTGGGCACAGGGATTGAAAGGCTTTCCAAGCGATAGTGCTGGTGGAATGTTCATGACGGAGCTCAATCCGAGTGGTATACTATAAAGATAGAAATGCAAAAGCAAATATGGAGAATCATGCGATTGTTGGACTTGGATTTTGTGTTTGTGGGTGCTACCGCAGCCTCCACCTTACACATTCATACACATCATGTGTTGATGATGCTGAAGGAGTAGCAAGTTGGGCGCAGTTGCAGAATCTTGGTGGCCTCCAATTTTTTGCGATGCAACGCCGCGACCCATCCTGATAGCTCGCGACCCATATTTACAGCTTTGCGCGCGACCTTGCTCGTTGCATTGGGGCCAGAGTCGTCTTGTTTGAAGCAATAGTCTCAGCCAGAATAACAGGATAAGGTTGATTATGTACTGAACGCGCGACGACGCCGAGGCCGACGTCTAAACCTACTGATATAAATGAACCTTATTCATTTTCACCGCGCAATACTTAACTTAGTATGAAAAGGAAAATACAAATAAACGTCGATTGCACCACAGGAATCATCCCTGAAGGTATGCTTGCCAGCGGCAGCTCAACCCTTGCGGGCGAGTATGCAAAAGCTCCCTCCGAGGCCTTCGTCGACGAAGTCTATGAGACTCTGTACAATCTTCGGCTGATTTCCGGGCTCATGTTTGGTGCTGGCTTCCTCATTGGGCTTGCGACCTACTGCGCCGTGGTTTCCGGCTCTGCTGGCGAGGCACCCAAGCAAGGGGCCTGGCCTTACATTCTCTGCATCGTTGTTGCACTAAGCTTTGCTTTGCAGCTGCAGTTTACCGGATGAAAATACACATCGCCACCGCCGTGTGTGCAGCAGGGACTTTTGATATGTAGAAGCTCGCACTTCACACCAGCTATCGTCCATGATTTTATCAACGGACCCATGTTGTTCGTGTCTTAGTAATTCTACTCTGCAACCAGTTCTTCCGAAACGGACCTCGATATATTCGGAAGGCATGCTCTCGATCTTGAATCGACCTCAAGTTGCGACTTCGCAGACTGCAAGCCGCACTTTTTTAGATACAGGGGCGCTCGTGTATTTTTCTGTTTCACCACCTTCACCTGCTTCTTTGAAGCGACCTCGGCGGTTTGGATCTCCGTGGTAATCGCCTCTGTGACGGTGCTGTTGCTCTTCGTTTTTTCTGTCGCGATTGACCTGACCGGCGGGGCGCTCTGGATTTCTGGGCTAGTTATCTCATTGCTCATGGCCGCTATTGCTGTCGCCGTCGTCTGCTCCGGTTACGCCGGGGGCGAGGAGGGAAAACAGTACCTAGCTACTTTTTTGTTCTGTTTCATTTTCTTTTCATCTCGGCCCGGGTCAGACAGCAGCTTTGGCGGTGCTAAGGAGTGTGTAAGTCAAAGAAACTATATTACAGTCTAGTGCTTATTGATGCAGCGAACTAATCTGTATTAATATTTTCGTAAACATATAATTAACCAGCGTCGGGACGGTGACGATTTTTGTGTTTTCGATGGCCAGTTTCGCTTTTGTGGTCTACATCTTGTACGGATTTCAGCGAATCGTCGGAGGAAAGAATCAGCAGCACGAGTTCTGGGTGGACAAAATTTCGAGCGATGACTACGCGCTTGCGGCGGCACTGTCCTTCGCGCATTTTTTCAACCTGTTTGTATGGATTTGGCGAGCAATCAGAGGCCCACCCCCGAAAGATGCAGCAACGGAATGGGCAGCGAGGAGCCGATTGTCGGGGAGGTTTCGCACATAGAGAAATATTTATGGTTTGAAAAGGAAATCACTTCTTTGCCCATCGTTTCTTTTTTTCGGTACTTTTAGAGTGGATGGGTATAATAATTCAGATCGCGATGTCAGCACGACCCGAGACCAGAACGCATATAAAAGAAGCACGCCTGTGTATAGCAATTCTCATGCCTCGCCGGCTGTCCAGCATTGAGGCAAATAGATGTAACAATTTTCTGTCGATGGTAGGTATTGCATGCTGGTCCCAGCACAGGACCGCACATGTATTTGAATTTACGTGACGTGGTTCGTAGTTCTTGGGACCGCTGCTGCCTCACAAAGGTGCGCTCGCTGCGTCGCGGTATGACGGGTCAGCTGATCTTTACGGCGAAAACTCGGCGGCCAAACATCGATGATTCTTCCTTCAATATCGCACCCTCCAGCTTTTGTGTGTGCTATCTAATTACAACTTAGCATAGCTACAATTAATTTAACAGGATACTTTCCTGCTACAGTACGCTTCTCTTTCAGCGCAAGGGCAATAGTAGCGATCGCGCGCATGATAATAATTCCCATTGATTCGCCCGACATCTGCATATCGCTATACTTGGCGGTGGGTGTTGGCTGCTTTCAGTCCTCGCAAGGCTTTATGGGCTTCCTCGCCCTGTTTTCGTCGTTTCACTCTGTTACATGCTGAAAGAATCTCGTCATCGCTCGGTGCCTCTTACGTGAGCCCCTCTATATCTGCGCATATTTCGTTTTTTCGTTGGTGAAGGGCTGCATTGGTCGTGAGAAGGCATCTTGGCCATTCCTGTCTGTCGGTTTACCGTGCAGTTGACTGCATCAAGTCGTTTTCGTCATCGTTCTAAGAGTAGTGGACGTTGCAGTTGCTCAATTCCATACGCGTGCCTTCAACACCTGAGAAAGCGATTCCTCTCTTGTACACAAAGACTCATTGTAAAGCCCTTCCTTAGCTGTATGGTGTGATTTACCGTTGCTTTGGAATTATATATTATGACACTTCTTGATCAAACAGTGACAGTGAACTACTTCATCCCGAAGCCCCCTCCCCCACCTGTGCTCGTCTTTTTTTTTCTGCAAAAATTGTTTCAAAAGTAAATCTTAGCTCTCGTCGCTCGCGCTTCACGGTTTGATAGTAGCCTTCTGTTCTGTCTGGCTTCCACATTCCAGCGAATGTTCGTTCGCTCCTTTTGACCTATTATTATCTGCAGTTTTCCTGGGTGGTCAAGCGGAGCCAGCACTCGCCTGCTTTCTTTACAAGCTAGAGCCATCTACTCGCATCATACTTTTACTGCGGCCGCATTCCGATTGCGATTCCCGCGAACCGAAACGACCAAGCCGCGTTCTGCGTGGGATCGTCGAGCGAGACCAGCGGGCCACCAGTGCAACTACTAAGCAGACCACTCGGATTCTTGCGCCGACTGCCAGTGATAGTGCGACCGTCGGCCCTGGATAAGAAGTCTTCGAACCTACGGCGCTACCTTGTAAGAGTAGGCATTTCGTCTTCGTCACCAAGGCCAGCGAGCACCGCAAGTCGCTGCAAAACCAGTGAGGGCATGCCCGCCGCCGCCTCCGCAACGGCGCGCGCGTCTCCCGGGCGGACGAGCTTTCTGGGAAGAAAATGGTGCATGATCTGCCTCGGGCCTGTTCCCATCGCTGTTGGGGCGTACAAGTTACATATGCAAGTTGGTGAGACGAAGAAGCAACAGGCGAGGAAAACCACGGTTCTGATGAAGCACAACAAGAGAGCGAGCGGAGCTGCCGAAGGAGCTTCAGAGGGTGAAAGCGACAGCGGATGTTGCCCTTCCGAGACGGAAACTGACGCGGTCCAGGGCGATGCCACCACCAGTAGTACGCGAATGGAAAAAGCAAACATACTTTTCATGATCTTGCAATTTCAATTTTTGCATGGCGCAGTCGTTCTGCATTATAAGGAGAGATGCCCGAGGCCGAGGGCGGAAGTACAGCTGCACACACATCAAGAGCTTTCGATGCTTTTGCCACTTCCGGCTGAGAAAAGAGCGGCATTTTGAAGAACGAATTTGTGATCGTGATGGTCTTTGATTTTCCCATTGATAGCTACCACCACAACCACCACGACCGCTGTTCCGGCGAACGAGTCCTGTATCAGAGCGAAGACCGTGCACGCGTTCTTCTGAAGAATTTGTTTTCCGTGCGCGCGGAAAACAAATCGAAGCCGGCGAATCGTGAAGCTAAAACTTCGTGTACCGCCGCACATTGAAATTGTTGAAACTGGAATTTTTCCTACGGGATGAAGCGCATCACTTTACGCGTCTGATATGCAGAATAGTGATATCTGCATTTACAAATTTAGGAACAGACCGTGTCATCTCCCCTAGTACTGCTGCATGATGATGACCATCGTTACGATCGCCTTGGTTACTGTTCGGAATTTTATTTGTATGTGTTTCTTTTTCATAAATTTAAATGATAATGATGTTGCCGCGAGCACCAACGACAGCTGCTAAGATTGATACATGAAGTGGACGCAATCAGGCTTTTTTCAGAGCAACGCACGTGCACCGATTTTCAGCTGGACACCCTGTGCAGACGGATTCAAGCGCGGAGCAATTTGCAGCAATGTAAACTCTACACTCCGTGTGACACTCGATGAGATCTACACATGTTGGACACCGTATACCTCCTGGAGCAGGGGCTTTGACACCCACAAGCAGTACGAAAACGGGTCGTGTGAGCGGAAAAACGCTGGGACGGATCCCCCGACATACGACTCGCTCGGAACTGGGTACTGTGTGTGCAAGCAAGGTACCACTGGCGGGGGACCCTGCGCCAACTTCTTGAAGCTGGCCAACATTACAGACAGTGATTGTGAAGCGAGGTGCTCTGCTTCCGCAGACTGTCTAGCGTACGTCACAAAAGTGGATAAGCCGTCGCTTAGAAATGGGGACGAGACGTGCACCCACTTTACCGTCATCCCGCCTCTTTGCGCACTCGACATGGTTCTGTGTGGTCGTCATCTCCCGGAAGACCAGTGCGCCAAAGAGCAAACCAAATTTTGTGAAAGCACAGCGTGCGACGAGAGCAACGATGCCGACGTCGACACGTGTTGTACCCTACAAGCGGAAGCAGCGAAATAGTGCAGGGGCTGTTGTGTTAACTCACTGCGTCTCTTCATTAGATGAATCAAGCAAATGACAAGATGAAGAGAAGTTGGTGGTCGATGTACGATATTCATGCGAAAAGATTTGCTTGAGTCCGAAGTGTACGCAGCAAGGAAAAGACTGCTATACACTCTTCTTTTCAATTGCTAGAAGATCGCAGCGAGTTGGAGTACCTCGAATTTTTTGATTGCATCTGTCTGCAACTGTTTCTGTCTGCAACTGTTTCCGTCACTATTTGACTCGCAGAAGCTGAGCGATGCAGTACGCACCACATGCATGGAGGTACAAGCATGAAAAAAGTATCAGCATATTTCCATACTTTTAGCCGTCGTCCTACTTTTGAGCTACTTTTTCCGTCTTACGAGGAAGCCCACACAAAGAGGTGGCAGCATGAAGGCCACCACCACGGTATCTCGGCATTCTCAACTCTCATTTTTTCTTCGTTCAGTAGAAGTAGTTGCATTTTTTTGTGATTTTCATTGCTCATGTGCGTCGTTAACGTTATCGCTTTCCTTTTCCCCTAGAAGTCATTTCAGCTCGTTTTTTCATTTCGTTTTTTCCGTTCTTCTTTTTGCATGTCACCCTCGTCTTTTAATGCTCAGGAATTACCCCTCCACGATAATTCGTACGGAATTTTTTTTTGAAATCGGAATTCACAAAATAGCGCTAGATGAAGCTAGTAGACTGTGTGGCACTGACACCTCGAGCCAGTCTCAGTGCGATCGGGTCTATTCGGCTCCGCGTGAGCCCATCGTTGATTTGTCAGCTACGGGGAGGACTGAATTACTATTAGGTGCGTGCGAAATCCATCGGTTTCGTCCAAAAGCAGGTTTGATTGCAGCAAGCCCGAAAAACGTGTAGATTCGTTCATCTATTTTTATGCTGCAGAGGAGCAGCAGCAAGCCCCCTCGTCCTCGGATCTTTAAGTCGGAATTTCCCCCACTGTGCGTTGCCTGGTCGGTTTCTTTCATCGTCGTGGTGGATTTCAGAGTAGCAACTTCATCGTCATCGCGGGCCAAAACCACCCGAATCTTCGCAGGCTGTGCATTCCCGCTGGTCCAAGACGCCTACCCAATCCCCTATTACTTACGTAGGTACTGAGCAATTGGATTCCTCGTTAGCAGAAGATAGATAAACTCTGTACCATCGCGACGAGAAAGCGTGCCGCTCACCCGATACGAGCCCTTGTAGTTGCGAAGTTTCTTCTTGTGTGGTTCTGTCTCTATTTGCGAACAAGGCGGGCCAGTCACATTAAGCTCTAAAGGATCATCTGGACCTTGTGCGCACCGCGAAATAAAGCTGCACTCGGATGGGCGTGGGGCGCCAGAAACAGGAGGCGCACGGCATTCCGCGCAAAAATGCCGCAACGACGTTCAAGGCATTCGCTTCGTGGGTTAAAGTGCAGTGGGCACGTTTGGCCCGAACGGACAGCACCTGCGCCGACACATCGACATACCTGATTCAGAAGGGATACGTGCAGCGGGCTCGGCAGTGCTGGCACTTTGCTGCGAGCTCCTTCTTGTACAGCGTTTTCGGGGCCTACCTGATGCTGTCCGCCGAAGCCATGGACCAAAAGTTTCCCGATTTCGCCGGACTCTGGTGGTGGGAAGGTTTCTTTTTGGTGGTGCAGGGACCGATATCGTATTGGAACGATGTCCACAGCTTTGGCCTTGACTGGACCGCGTCAACTGTATTGCTTCTTTTTTGCGAGAAATTGATTTATGCGAATGTGTATGCGTTGTTTTGTGCCCCAAACGTCTGGATCATTCGTGTTGTTCTCCTTCCTTGTCCTCCACACCAGTTGAATGTTAGCATTTTCGTGAAACAGCCCCAGTCAGCAGTTTCAGCAGTTGGCTTCAACTTCATGCATCAACTCAATTATGTGCCCCTAAATTCACCAGGTTGACCGTGCCAGTGCCATGACGATGTTTATGGTTCAGTGCAGCCACTGGCTTTTCCTGCCCATTGAGTACCCAACGAACTGGGTGCTATTTTCCATGTTGTGGGGTGCGGGATTCGTTTTCCTCACAGCCGCAACCCACTTCGGCGAGTGCCTCGCAGCTAGTGGTCGGTTGGGCGGGTTGCCGGAAGTCAGCAATACCTCGGTTTCCCCGAAGATGTCGAATCGCGCGAGCTCCGTGACGGATCGCCGACAGCGTCGGAGCAGCAGAAGACAAGGACAAAATGCAAAGGCAAAAAGGACAACCGCGACTCGGAATCGGACACCGGTCAGGCGGGGAGGGGGCTCCGACCTTTCGGAACGGGGTCAAGTTCTTACAGGCAGCAGGTCCAGTGCTAGAGGACTCGGCGTTTCATCGGGAGAGGCGCCACCAGCCACACTGAGGAAGGCAGACGCAGGCGAAGCGGGACTGTTGATGGAGAAGGTCGAGCGGCATTTTCAACATTACCTTTTCTGGCATACACTTTGGCATGTGGTGCTCCCCGTGCCCGGCCTGGTTATCTTGGCTGTCTTTCGCTCGCAAGCCGGGCTGCCTCTTTTGCCTTTTGATGTGCTGCGTCGTTTCTTCTCGTGATATTATATCGTGCGATAAGCAAATCCAATTCCAAATGCAAATCCAAAAATATTTATGATGAAGCGCCGGATCTTTGAAACTGGCATTGCAGTCCTGATGCTAGTACGTCTTTGTATGATCTATGCAACGAAGGATGGTTCGTTTCTTCCTACAACAAAGCCAATCTACAACTTCTTCGATACAGCATTCTCCGGTTGACGGAAGAACTGCGTAAACTCTACTTCGGACGACATATGGGATATTGCAAGTCCAGGTTGGGCTCTCGCTCTGGCTATCGAACACAAAGCATTGCAACCATGGTCGGAAACTTTTCTTGGTTGTAGTGCAGTGCCGCGGGCAAGAAGCAGCGCTTTTGGTTGAGCGAACAAATGTTGGTCCCTAGCACTTACCAGTCTCAATGCTCGGTCGTTCTCTCGGTCAGGCGGTTTTCGCATACGCGGGCTCGGGCATGTCTGCGTCGCGCGTCCGACTGCACCTTTTTCGTAAGCCGAAGTGCGAGCTCTGGCTGTGAGACGTCGAAATTATCGGTTCCTCGTTGCACGTCCCTTTCATATTTCGTTCGCTATTGCAGTTTCGTTTGTGCTTGACCCTCGTGCGTTTTTTCGATGCAACTGCATCGGGCAATCATTCTTGCGAACGTCTGGCGCACAGTCTTGTCCGGTCTTGATTTCGATCGCATTCACTGGAAATTTATCTTCGCACAATGAATTTTTTCACTTTCGTTTGTTTTTGCTCCAAGGACCCGTCACGTCTCCACCCCAGAGAAGTTTACGCATATTTTGTTGAAAGCAAGAAAAGACTCATTGGTATTCTGTGTCATCATGGAGATGCACCCCCCCACTAGGTTTGGAAAATCACTCTGCGACCACAACAGCCTGATTTAGATTTTCATTCTCAATTTTGTACATCCCTGTGACCCAGGCCCAGCATACAAGATTTATTCTTGTTTCGACTGGAACCATCAGTGGAAAGAAATTTCAACCGATTGCGGGATCTGACTGTCTGATTGCCGCAATACTTACGGGGCTACGAGGAAAGGGATCTACCGGTGCGGGTTCAGTTGTAAATCAGCTCCCACAAGAACATTTTTGTCTCGAAGGGCGAAGGGGATGGGACCGAAGTCCTTGCGCATGGCGTTCCTGATGAAGCACACTGTACTAGTCCATTTTGTTGCTTTGCAGACGGTGCAAGGTTTCACGTTCATCAAGCAGAACCACCAGACGGCTCGGAAGGTAAACGCCGTATGGTAGTGCATAAGCATCCCGTCGTCGAGAAGATCTCAATGTGCAGCTCCGTCCTTTCAGTCTGGCCTGTTTCTGTTAGTGTTTGCATGTTCTGTCTCAGACCATCCACCACGGCTGTAGCTGCTGTGAATCGTGATCTGCAAACCGAGTCGATGGTAAAGCTTAAAGTTAATGATGAAATATAGGTTGATCATATGAGGCATAAGTAAAAGTGAGAATCGCGACGGGATCCCCTCTTGTTTTGATACCCCACGGAACGAGTTTTGGTTGCGAGCGACGTTACCGTCGATGAGCTCAACACAGACAGAACGACGTGCGAAATCCCGGGAGGGCCAGCTGGCGAATTAATCAATAAGAATTTGAAAAAGGGTTTTGTTAGCTTATGGAGTTGTGGGCAACAAGGTACGGGGATGGTTTTAGAATCCTGTAAAGTTTTCTTCAAATCGTACCAAAGTTGGCTCGTGAATAGTTGCACCATAGTAAAGCCGGCAGACGAAAGCACGGTTTGCGCACCAGAGCGCACCGGGAACATTGAACAGGGGGAAGTTGTACACACATGCGTTCCGCGCCCAAAGCCCACTGGTCCCAACCCTTGTGATTCTGGCGTGTGCAGTATACGGGAATGTTTGAACGATGTTGCCAAGTGTGGCGCAATCGTACTAGCGCCTCACTACGAAGACATGGACGCAGATCCAACAAGCACGCCGGCTCCTGCGCCGTCACCGCCAGAAACACCGACGACCACCGCCCCCCCGCAAGCTATCGAAATGAATGTCAGCCCTCATCGCACGAGACACAGACCCGTGGGCTCATCTTTGCGACGTGTTCGTTGCCCGATCTTCCCTGCATATTAATAGGTATGACCCGACTATTCATGTTGTACTTCGCGATGTTTCGCCATTGGAATGACCGAAAAGCACAGGGAGCATGCCTTAACAGGAGCGCGTACTTCTGCGTATACTTTTCGCATTGGCCCTACTGGTACTGTAGTTGAAGTCACTGCTTATACACATAGTTCCATCACCACGCCTCTCTTTTTGTTGACGAACGACGATATGCATTGCAACGATTTGTCTGAGATCGCGTCACGGGGTCGTGTCGTTCGTGTGGATGGGTCTTTTTCTGGGGACAAGAGTGCAAGACGATTACACGATGTACATTATTCTTGGCGGAGTTGGGGTCCTTTGCGTGATCATCATTGTGTCATTGGTAGTGTACTTCAGGAAAAAACGTCAGGCGGAGGAGGCCTACGTCGACGAGTACTACGAGGACGAGGGGTACGATGGTGAAGAGTACTGGGAAGAGCCGGCGTACGGGAACGGTTTCGACGAGTTCGGACCACCGGGGTTATCACATTGAATGAAACTGGGACTCGCATCGGGCAAGACAAAGATTCATTCGTGTTGTTCGCACTAAAAAAGTGCCATGCACCTGTTGCTCTTCTTGGTTTTCATGCAAAACACTAAAACATTTCCGTTTTCTTTGGCTTTGGCACTGCGGATAATACTCGCTGAGTGCAGTCAGTCTTCTCGCCGGGGCGGGGTTGTTAGTTTGTTTTCAAAGTGATATCCTGGGTTTGACGATTTCGGTGGGAAAAAGGGCAGCTGGATGGGTGGCAAGGAGAGCTGGAAGGGCAAAAAGAAGGGGAAAGGAAAGGACTGGGAGAACAGCTACCGGAGCGACTGGGACAACGGTGGGTACGACGAGAAGGGCTGGAAGAAGGGCGACGGGAAGAAGGGCAGTCGCCGCTCGCAAGAAAGGGACCGGCGGCGATCCGCGGACAAGAAAGACGACTCCGACGGGGACGACTGGTGCTCGATCCAGTAGTGCGTCTTTTCACCTGGAGCGGGCTGCGTTTCGTAACACGTTATCGTTCTGCCGCTAGATTCTCGATCACTATAGAAGAAATTCCCCGACACTGCTTCTGCACGAAAATTTTTTTAGACAAACCCCTCACAACATGATTCATTTTTTTTCCTCGTGGCAAAACACGCTAAAGTCCCAATTTAATAATCTAAAGCTAGAAAATTTTGGAAATCCGAATCCTGCATCATAAACTACACTGCAAGAACGCTAGCAGCATGTGAGAAATCAAAGGCAAAACTCATGCATGGCTCATTCCCGCCAAGCTCGAGCATAAAAAGGTGCTGCCCTCAGATCGATCAAATTTTTTTGTGCGTTGTTCCTCAAGGAGGGTATGGTGAAGGCATTGTCAATGTATTTGTATTTAATTAGTTGCCCATGGACTCAAGGAAGAACTCAACAGGAAACTTAAAGATCCAAAAATTTGCTTCAGAACCCTTCTACACTTCAAGACTATGTAGGCGAGTCGGTTCATGTTCAGCTTCGATTATTGAAGAAAAGATCCAATTCTAGAGAGTTCCCAAAACAACAGAATGAGAAGATCAACATGCGCATGAGCTTGATCAATTTAAAGCCCAAGTCTAAATCAAAAATGTTCCCCTTCCCAATCGCGATCCACTGAATGCCGCGCGCCCATCTGCCATGGCCGTTGAAGTTCCCCAATGCTACACACGAGTTCTTGCTACTGATATCTTCATCACTTTCAATCTATGTGAATAACAGTGCCAACTTTGGACCCCTGGTGGTTTAAACTACGTCGTTGTCATAGACACATCATCTTCAAAATGGGACTCAAGTACGTTTCCGCTTACCTCCTCACCGTGCTGTCCGGCAAGGACGAGCCGACCTCCGCTGATTTAAAGAAGATCATCGAAGCCGCCGGCGGCGAATTTGATTCGGCTTTGGCTGACAAGCTCATCTCCGAGATGAAGGGTACTTTTTTTAGTGAAGAGTCTTGGAAGTAATCGCATGTAAGTATCAGTTTCATTCCCACACAATTGGACATAAAAAGAGAAGCATCATCTTCGTCGGCGACGAAAATTTAAAGACACAGCTGAATTGAAAATTTTCAAAATCACTGCACAACAGGTAAGGTCGTTCACGAAGTGATCGCGAAGGGCCGTGAGCAGCTCCAGGGCTTCGGTGGCGGCGGCGGTGGTGCTGCAGCTGGCGGCGCTGCCGCGGGCGGCGACGCTCCGGCTGCGGAGGCTAAGAAGGAAGAAGTTGTGGAAGAAGAGGAGGAGGAGATGGAGTTCGATCTGTTCGACTAAATCGGGCTTGCTTCCAACACTTCTTTTTCGACGGAAGGTGATGAATCCACATACGGGCTTGGACTCCTGACTGGAGACAGCCAGACGTTGTGTCTGGTCAGTTGGAAGAGTCCGTGAAGAATGAACATGACGGCACGTACGAGTTTAGAATCAGCAATCTGTTGTGTCGAACATAAGAGAAATAAATACATCCCTGTTTGTGTGAGAGACGTTTGCGTTAATGAGAACGTGTGGCCTACTCACGCCCTGAGAGGGAAAGTGTCTACGCTTGGCCCAGTGCTATTGGCAAACGAGTCTTTTACATTGAGCGATGTGATCAATGGACGCGGTACGCATGCGCACACGGATTGTTTGAGCCACAGGAAACACAAAGAAAGAGCTCCACAAGAAGGCGGTGGCACCTGCTGAGCCATTCTCCTGCAGCATGTTGGTTGGATGCGTGTTCCTTCTTATCGCGGTCGGCGACTCCGGCTGCGTATCCGCTCTCTTTGAAGCGCAGAGCGTTGAGCACACACTTTGATGCAATGCGCGTCTTGATGGATCTTCATCTCATTCGGTCATCTCCTGGTTCTTCGGAATCGGTTTCACTCGCCTCTGTCATCAATCTAAACATGCACGAGGCTCCCTCGGCTAAAATCAAAATGTTCGGTTGATGAGATCGTGATTACCTGATTCTGTTTCTGATTCCGCGGAAGTTACACAGGTATTCTGTGGGACTCGGACATTGCTGTGCATCTCCATTTTGTCGGTTGTGTCATGTATATGTGATCTGATCCATTGTGTTTCCACCAGTCCGAGCAGGCATTATTTTTATTGTCCCACGGCTGAGCAATGTTGTCGTTGCGTTAAGCAATGCTTCCCACAGGCGCTTTTTGGCCTATAAATACAGTGCATTTTTCCTCCAACGCTACTACCACTCCCTCGGTGGTGCCTTCAATACTTCACGTTCATGTTCACCCGTAACAGATCGATTCCCTAGTATCCCTCTTGCTATAAATACGATCAAGTTATTTCCTCCCCCACGTCGCAAACATGCATCCGATTGTGCGTCCATCGCAGTTCTGCGCACCGGCACTCGGGGCACGCAGGCTGGACCTGGTGGATCTGCATGCGACAGTGACTGGCATCATGCGAATCCTTCCCGAAGCAGAAGCTGAAGCAAAGCTACATACAGCGCTTGGTCAAGATGCGAGCGGCGACGGCAGCCGATATCATCGGGTCCTTCGGCTTGTTTACGGCAGAATCTCGAGAGAGTTGCTTTCAGCCTTCGCACGAGATAGCGACGCCCCGCACTTCCACGCACACATGCAAGAGGCGTCTAGAAGAGGTGTGAAGAACAGATGTGATGAGCCGCGTCTCATTCGGAATAGAATTTTGGCTCCGAGCAAAATGAAAGTGGCTTTGCAAGAGGTGAGCCAGACGGACGTCGGAACGTGTGGTGGGATAGATGATGGTCTTCCCGAAAATCGTCAGCGAGCGGACGAGACGAGCGATGAGGAAGCCTTATCATCTTTTCCGGAAGAGCGAAGTTCCCTTGCGCAACTGGATCATTTTCCGAAAATAGATACTCGATCTGACGAGGACAAGCTGGTCTGCCAGGCGGTCCGCGACCTGAGCAGGCTTCTAGTGCGCGGAACCAAGAAGCCGGGCAACAACATAAAAGACGATACAGGAGGTGGTAGAGAAATAAAAGCGGATGGGTGTCTTCTTCACTCTGCGGAAGAGAACCTGAGTGAACTTCGGAGCACACTAGGAGAGATCGCACGCAAGAGCCAGACCCTTCTGGAAAGGCGTACCAGGTGCTATCCGTCGTTTTCTCCGGCTGTCGATTTCGAGGACGAAGTCGCAGATTTAGAGTGGAGAAGTTTCAGCTACTACTGATGCAAAAATCGAAACTTCATATTTTCCCGACGGAAAATCACAATGCGGACGAAATGTGGCGCGAAACAGAAGTTGTGCTTCTGAGATTCTTTGAAATTTTCAAAATCAACTTGCTGTGGGTAGCAACTACGTCGGAAGCACCGTTCGAAGATTATATCAAAGGGCTGTTCATCGGGAGCAGGATCAGCAGCCACGGAAAACGTGCATTTGCCGCATTCGCCAAGATGAACCCGTCCTAACTTCTGCCTCGTTTGTGTATGGCTTCTTAGCTTGTTTGCTTTTCTTTCTTCCGATCTGGTCAGGAAAACAACAATGTCCACAGGATACGATGCGGCATTCACGTTTTGTTTGAAGCGGAGCCACGATCCGCAGCAAGTTGTTCGGCAGGAAAATAAGTATTAAAGTCAGCCTGAGATCCCGCTGCAGTGAAGAGGCACGATCTCACGTTCCCGGTTCAAATAACGCAAATCGCCAGCACTGTGACCCAGCAGAAAAATCATTTTTTCTAAAATAGCGATTTGATCACGGTCTTCTCGGTCTTGATGGTTCACTTTCATTAATGTATCTCCAAAGCTGCCTATTCTACTTTTTCTTGGTGTATACGTGTAGCAGGAAGTGGTCGTAGTCATTTCAGGATTCATTTTTCGACGCCACTACGACAGTCGCGTCGGTCTGTCTCTGTGCTGGCACCTTGATTCAGTTACTTGGAATTCTGCTCTGCTGACTAGGTCAGGACAAGTGAAAAAATGGCCAACCCAAAGGTGTATTTCGACATGGCGATAGGTGGGAATTCGTGCGGAAGGATAGTAATGGAGCTTCGCGCCGATGTGTGTCCGAAGACCGCGGAGAACTTTCGCGCCCTGTGCACGGGCGAAAAGGGAATGGGTAAAAGCGGCAAGGCCCTCCACTTTCGAGGAAGCAAGTTCCACCGGGTGATTCCAAATTTTATGTGCCAGGGTGGCGATTTTACGGTCGGCAACGGCACCGGGGGCGAATCCATATACGGTGCCAAATTCGCAGACGAGAACTTCACACTCACACACACAGGGCCTGGTACCAAAATAAACCTGCTTGTTGTTCTTTTTTTTGTACTTTTGAATAACCGAACGAGTCCTCGCGAGGAGCAACATGGCCTTACAAGAAGCCGACTTCACTTGGACTTGATAGAATCTATGTAACAAAGTTCAAAATTGGTGTGAATTGGGGGGATGTAAACGAATTTTTGTCTCAGGTATTCTGTCGATGGCAAATGCGGGCCCGAACACGAATGGGAGCCAGTTTTTCCTCTGTACAGTCCAGACCTCGTGGCTGGATGGGAAACACACCGTGTTTGGCTCAGTAATCGAAGGGATGGACGTCGTCAAAAAAATCGAGCTGGTTGGCTCGGAATCCGGACAAACATCACAGCCTGTCGTGGTCGCCGACTGTGGTCAAATCTAATATATTCGAAGCATGGCGGACTTTCACTTTCGATGCGCAGCAGCAAAGTTCTTGAACGAAAACGCAAAGCATAATTAGGGAACATCGCAGACAAGAATGTGGTAGTCGAGTACTTACACGACGCGTGTTATTCCTAAGCAAGAAGGACACAAATAAAAGAAAGCGCACTGCAACTCGCCGAGTCTTGCTCATGAGCCTGGTGTTCTGGAAGGTCAGTTGAAAGATTAAAAAAATCATGGTCAAAGACAACCGAGGGCGTCTTCATGTTCATCGAAAAAAGTTTTTTCTTGGTGCGCTCTCTTTCAGGGCTGCGTTTGCTCACTGTCGTTGTTTTTTCTGCTTGTGTTTTTTTTGGAAGATGCACTTGCGCTCACTTTCAAATCAGAAGCTGCGAGGAATTTGTTTCTTTTTTAAGCTGCAATCCTTTTTTCAGCCGCTGCGACACTGTCGGTGCTGCTGTGCAAGAGCGCAGTTATATTTACATGATGAGAAAAAAAATATAAATTGGGTATCAAGGCTTTGCTGCAGTATCCTCTTCGACTGTGAGTCGCGACCTAAAGTCACTCTTTTCTCAAATTTCTCCTCAATTTCACTAAGCACGAGAAGTGACCGATTACGCTTCGAACTAAGTACTTGCTTGCAACCAGAACCAAAAGATCACAAGAAGATGAGCACCCTGGGCTGCTTCGAGTTTCTTGTCGGCGCTGGTGTGGGCACTAGTATTGGAGTCTACAAGTCGGAGCAGCTGAAGCCGGTGTACGACCAGGCCTACGAGAAGGCCAAGGTAAGACACTGATGAATATGTAGGAATCTTCATTTGCGCTTTCTGTTTAGCACCTGTCTGTGAAAGTGTACAACTTCGTGTGCATGAATGAGTCATTTGTGCAAGCAAAACGAATACAGAGTGAAAGCTGCAACATGTATTCTCACAGGAGTACTTCGCCTTGGCGAAGGAAAAGTTCGCTGAGTTTCGGGAGGCACAGAAGGTCGATGTGAGTCTGTACAAGGAGCAGGCGACGGAATGAGGTTGCATCATTATTGGAGAAAGACGCAGCTGGGCCCATGTCCTGCGCATCGCGGCTTACCTCCTACGTCGTATGGCTCACGAAATATACCTTCCGAATCACGATTCTCGAGAACGCCGGCCGAAGCGGTTTTTCGATGAAAGCCCATAGGCTTTCCTCTCAAATAGTCTTTGCCGCCGGCTAGCTTACCAATCAGGTAGTGGTAGTTTGAGAGCATGTCGCGATTGCGACTATGCATTTTCAATTGCGCGAGGTAGACGTGATTTTCCAGTACTAAGTAAAATGTATCTGTATTCAGACTCTAGGGGCAATCGTGTGGGGCGCTCGCATTCTTGATGTGCTTGTATGTTGCTGATTGTCGCAATCGGAATAGGACTACTACATGTGAGAAGCAATGTCTTCTGGCTAGTAGTGCAGCTAGCGTCGTCCTTCTGAAAGTACTGTGGTACTTCGGATGCTGCGATGCGAAATATGAATGGAGAACTTGGTCATACCTTCTACAACATCTTTTGAAATAAACGCAAAACCTAAGTTCTTGAAATTCATTTTAGCGGAGGTTCTCTCCTTTGCTTTTCGGGAGAGAAGAGAAAAACATTTCAAAAGCAATCAGCAGGCCGCGATTCTGTTCGCGGAATTGTGATTGTCTTTCTTCTTCCTCTGATTCAATGGTACGATAATGACAATAGACAACAAAGCGTACAAACAGCCGACATTGTGATAGCACTCCGCTAAAGATCTTTTTTGCAGTGTCTTGCGCGGGCAGTTGGAGTGCGTAATCATTCTCGAGCCTTCATGGACCTGATTCATCTCCGCCTCTGTTCGTTGATGGTGTCATTTCATGAAGTCGTATTTTCTGGCGTGCGCAGAATAGCATCTTTCATCGTCTCTTTTTCTTTTCCTCGTATAGGGCCGACTCGGTGGTTTCGATGTATATTTCGTTGACACAAATCTTCAATGTTGTTCGTCTGGCTGCTCTAACGTCCATTCCAAGCAAATGGTCGGTTTTCCTTTTGCCGCAAGATCGGTGTCATCTCGTATTCGTCCTGTCTGACGTGACCGTGCAATCAAAAACGAAAAACGCCCAAAGTGAGTATTTCGAGTTCATCTTGTGATTTCCAAATTATGCGTTCGTCAAAATCGTCCGGCTTCAAGAATGCAGTTTTCGTCAAGAACTACGTTGAATTTCTGGTCATAGTTAATACTTTTAGTTTGCGCATTTCTTTGCTGCATATTGAAAATCCAGGTTCGCTTTGACGACCCCCATTTTTTAGTACGTCTCTCCCCGTGCCTCGTTGCGTGTAGACACGATAGATTCTACTCTACTCCTTCTATAGCTTCAGGCGGAAGTAGTACGGCGAGGATTGATACATAGCAATTTTTTTACCACTACATCTACCTCTTCCAAAAATATGACAATCAACATGGCATGTCCTCTCCAGATTGGTGCGTCCGGCGCACTGATTAATCAGGACTGGAGTTTCCATCTTCCTCCATCAGGGCTGTAAGTTTTTTTTTGCCGCGCAAGAACGACAACAGACGGCAACGGGCAAGAGAAGAATCGCTGTGGCGCGTGCTGCCACCGACCTCTCAGTTGGTCGTAAGTTGATCGCGTCCATCTCCATCCTCGAATAGACAGACACACCGGAAGAGAACGAAGCTGCACGGCAGTTTTTTTTATACCCGTACTACTTCCTTTTTTGTCGCGAACCGGTCGGAAAAATGGCGGCCTTAGTGCAGTCCGTGCTGAACAACAGCGGCAACCGCGGGGACACGGTATTACAATGAAAAATGCCCCCCACTCCCAAACTTGGGAGCATTTGTATTGCAAACCTTTGCAAATGAAACACTCGCCCTCTTCCATGTACCAGCATCACAGATTTCCAATCGTGAAGAGCAAAAATTTGTATTGCAAAAGATCCCAGCAAGAGCGGCGCTCGTCATGCAAGCGATGCGATATACGCCAAGACTCTGCATCGGAAAGATTCATACTCCTTTCATGCATGACAGAAAGTTTTCATTTGGAAACTTCGCAGCACAAATTCTTGCAACTTTGGGGGTGGGGGCATTTTTCACTGTGATACACGGCGGAGTTGGTTCCCACGGAAGCCGCGGACTACACAGCGAGCTTGACCCAGGTGAAGCAGATGGCGAACGACTTGCTGACGGGGTACCAGGCGGACGGCTACATGCGGGACATGCAGAAGGAGTCCCTGCTGCAGCGGAAGATGAAAGAGCTCGCCACCAGCAAGCAGAAGCGGGGCCAGGCGGACTACGTCTCCCGGACCGAGGGGATCAAGGAGATCGAGCTCATTGAGTGGCTGCAAAAGGAGCTGGACGACGAGCAGGCCTGTCTCACCCTGCCCTGCTCGATCGGCCTGGTGGTCATCTTCTCGTTTCTCGTGCTCTGGCACTTCTCGGTGCCGCACCAGATGGACATCTCCGAGTCCATGACCAACTGGGTCCAGGAAAACGCGAACTTCGCCATCGATGCGACGAGTATAGCTTCTATTTTGCTTTTTGTTTGGTTGCGTCAAAGAACGATAATAAAGCACGAGTAAGTGAACCGGTACGGTATTAATGTAGTAGGCTGTACCTGATGTACCCAAAATTTAAATTGTATGTAGACAAAGAACCTACACGATTTTTGTGCGCCGATGAATGAAATGTAGCAAGTGGTTACTGAAGATATTCAACAAAATTCTTTCTCAACAGATACCTGGGGCATCAAGGGATTCGTCGATGTGCACAACCTCGGCGACTGGTACTCATTTATGCGGTTGGGTTTCGTGCCCCTGATGCTGACCTCCGGCTACGTTTCTTCCGAGCAGGGCGCGCTTAAGCTGGGCGGCATGGCCAACTATTACAACTCGACCCTTGGCACGACCCCGGCCCCCCCGGTGATCAAGTCGTCGGACCTGATGCGGTTCAACCACATTGCCACGGACGTGCGCATCAACATCCACCGGTCCAGCCCGGTGTGGCCGGGCAGCGACTGCACCGAGTACCTCCCCGCCGACATTATTTCCGGGTTTTCCACCACCGGTAACGTGGACACCAGCATCGGCTGCTACAGCAGCCCGGACGCGTATGGCGTGCACGCGCAGTTCCCGATGAAGGACGTGTCGGAGCTCGCGCCCGTGGGGTCCTTCGACCTCGACGGCAGCAAGGAGACCATCTACCTGCAGCTGGACCAGACGGCCGCGCAGCTGGAGCGGCAGCTGAAGAAGATGGAGGAGGACTTCGTCATCAAAGAGGACACGTACAAGATAGAGGTCGACTTTGTGAACGTGAACCGCGCGTACGGCGCGATCTCGATGGTGACCATGCACTTCATTTTCTACCGCGGCGGCCAGATCCGGAAGCAGATGACGGTTACCAGCCAGTGGCTGACGGACTTTGGCCGCATGTTCAACTTCGACGACATGCAGTTCGTGCTGTTCGTGGACATTTTCTGGGTGCTGATGAACCTGTACATTCTGTTTTCCGAAATGATGGACATCCGCCGGCAGCTGATCTACTGGGGCAACACGCACAAATTCCTGTCGAACTACCTGGGGATCTGGAACCTGGTCGACTGGTCCATCATGATCAGTTCCGGGTTCGTGATCGCGCGGTTTGTGTTGTTGAACGAAGCGGCGGACGACCTGGGCAAGTTGGTGAAGAACGGCGGGTTCGTGGAATCCGCGCGGCGCGAGCAGCTGTACGACCGCGTGGAAACCAACATGGCGCTGGTGGCGGACGCGCAGCTGCAGTCGATCCTGTACATTGTGATCAGCATGTGCCGCATGTTCAAGGGCTTTTCCGCGCAGCCGCGCCTGGGCCTGGTCACCAACACGATCTGGAAGGCGGCCAGCGACATTCTGCACTTCATGATCGTCTTCGGCTCGGTGTTCGCGTCCTTCGCGGTCATCGGCACCCTTCTGTTCGGGAATTACGTGCACGAGTACAGTTCCGTCCAGCGCGCCATCATTTCGTGTTGGCGCATGGTGGCCGGGGACTTTGACTACGGGCAGCTAAAGGAGGTATCGTGGAGCGGCACGGCGGTTTACTTCACCTTCTTCCACCTCTTGATCGTCTTGATCATGCTCAACATGCTGCTGGCCATCATCCTCGAGACCTACCTGGAGGTGAAGCGCGACGAGACGGCGAAGGCGGAGACGCTGTTTTCGCAAGCGATGGAGAGCTTCGGGCGGTACGTGCGGTCCAAGCGCCGCGAGCGGCTGCGATTGGACGAGATCCTGGACCGCATGGTGGGGTCGGCCAACCGCCGGATCCTGGTCCGCCGGGAGCTGGAACAGCGGCACGCGCTCGCCTTCGCGGCCCACCAAGAGACGCTCAAGGACGCACATAAGAGCAAGGGCAACAGCACCAAAGCGGCCGTGGACAGCACGAATGAGGTCTTTCCCTACACCTTCATGTGGCGGATGGTGGTGCGCGGGCCGTGCGAGTGCTACATAAATTCCGGCAACGATTGCTCGCTGGAGGACCCGGACTTTTTCGTGCCGGGCCACAAAACCCTAGCCTTCATCCGCACCGAGGGGCGCATGATAACGCCGAAGAAACTGAAACAGATGATCCCCGACATCCCCCAGGGGCAGAGCGAGCGTGTCATCCGCAGCGCAATCCTAGACACAGACAACGCCACCGACATCGTCATCCCCAACGAGATCGCTACGGAGGCCCTTTACACCATGCTCAGCGACGACCACGCCGAGATGGTCGATAAGATCGCGAACTTGGAAACCAAGGTGCTTACTGTTGCTCCTTTTATTTGACACTTGCTTTATCTTCATCATGTTATCCGAACAAATTGATGTCGTAAGCACTTCAATGAATTTCCTTTCCCTCCGAAAACTTTTGTGATTCGATGACTTTAATAGCGCAGTAGATGTAGAACTAGCAGGGAAAGGAGCTGACGCGTTCTCATGAAAAATCCTCATTTTATCGTGAAAAAAAAAACAGATCCACACCTTGGTAAATGGGGACGAGACGGGCTCGAATTCTGGCGCGCCGCCCCTGCCCCCACCGATGCAGGGCGGGAACAAGAGAATACCGGTTGCGGAGGGGGAAGCCACGCCCTTCTCACCACAGAGACAGTCAACGAGCATAGTGCAACAGGGCCAGCAGCCACGGATGATGAACCAGAGGCAAGAGATGCAGCTGCTCAGCGAGAAGGTAAATCAACAGCAGGAACTGCTGGAGAGGCAGTCCGCACAAATCACGGAGCTGACGGAGTTGTTGGTGCACCACGTGATCCGACCGGCCGTGATCGAGAACTCGCGATCGGGTGGCAACGGGCGGGGGGTGCAAGTGCGCCCCTCCGGCGCGGGACGGTGCAGCGACATGATTTTCTGCGGGTCCAGTTCCAGCGCGAGCCGTCGGGCCATCGACGACGAGGAAATCAACATCGCGGTGGCCTTGGCAACGAAATTTGACAAGGCCGATCTCGCAAACATAAAGGGCAAGCAGTAGAATGCGATCGCGTGTGTTTTGTCGTGACTGGTGCAGATGATTTTGCGGCATAGACGATATCTGAGCAGGTTTTGGAAACGAGAGTAAGTGTCTTGCTGATAATATCTGCGGTGCGACTTTTTGAAATTTTTGCCCTCCTCTTGCAACCACGTTATTCTTGCGATCCCCACAACCCCGTTGTTACTAATTGTATTTCGATGTTTCCCACATCCACCACCTAGAAAATCGAAGAGGTTCCAGTTTGTTTTCTAGGCAATAATTCGTCCCCCTTGTAAGAAAGTGATGTGTAAGCCGTGTTCCCATTGCAGCAGAAGCAGTCGTGTCCTCCGTATCGAATTTGAATCCCGTTCACACAAATTCTTTACCACGACTAATCTCTTCCTCAGGTTTTAACTTATTCAAACAAGAAGTATCAGGCTCGCTAGCTTTTTTTTTATAGGTTTCAACTTATTCAAACAGGCAGAACCAAGGTTCAACTTTTTCTTTTCAGGTTTCAACTTATTCAAACAGTAAAGTACTTGTTTTTTTATGAAAACGCATTACTCTCTCGCTACATTATTCAGTATCAGTATGAAAAATCAAGTACGAGGTTCACAGTCATTTTTCACTTTTAAAAGGCATTGCACCAGAATTCATCCCCGGTTATTAGGCAGATGTCGATATCCTTGACGCGAAACAGATTCTTTTGCAAAAAGCCCGGCCAGAAGTGACGAATTAGAAGTTTCCCCAAACATTTTGTACATTTTTTTCCCCTTGAAGAATTTTTAAATCCCCATCGACTTTCTTCGAAGAAGCGTCACGACAGATTTGGCACTCTTTATCTTCCCCAGTTCGAGTAGTAAAAAATGCAGGTTTGCCCTCGAGAAAGTCGAGCCTTTTTGTCGCAGTGTGTACGCGATGTAGAATACCTGTTCTTTTTGGTGGTGAACGGCCTGTCGGTACAATTTTCTAAGTTGCCTTTTTTTGAGTTGATGCGCAACAAACTCGAGCTAATCGGTATCTTCATGCGATGAGTTTCTACAAATCCAAAAATTGCAATCCATAGAATCGTTGTACCCGCATTTTTTTTGTGTCTTTCCACCATGAAATAAGAATCAATTCAGATAATTTTCTCGGTAGACAGAGTCGCATTTTTTGACGAAGGTACTTTTCTGTCTGGCGTAAGACAGGCAAGAGAATCAATCGGTAATGGATTTTTTTGCTGCAGCTGTGTTTTTAGATTTTCTTTTTCGGTGCCTAACGGAGTCGGTTGTTTTTCTTTCGCATGAACGCAGGTGTTGCCTTTACTGTCCCTCATTATTTTTTTTGCAGCTGCATCTGAAGTAACTGAAGAAAAGATGAATCCCTATCTACAGTTCACGTGATTGTGAAAGCAGTACAACAAGTGATACCCACAGCACGCATCATCTTTGTAGGATTCGAGAGTATCCCTTCTCGAACGTTACTAATTTTTTGACGTCTCGCTTCACTCCCACGACCACTGGGTACATCATCATCGCACATATAAACGGCGTCGACCACCATGTTGTGCATGCAAGCGTATGTGTTCCACGACCACGAGCGTCGTGACACCCGGCCCTACATCCGAGCCAACGTCGAAACGTTCGCTCACCCCGCGGCGAGACCGAACGTCTTGAAGCAGGACAACAAACCGCTGACGTGGAAGGGCTCCCTGGTACCGATTCCGGACAACAAGGTCGAGTCGCTGCTGAAAATGACCGCCAGCACCAGTGGGTCTGCCAGCACTTCTGCGTCAAGCGGGAAAATGAGCATGGGCTCAGACCCGGGTCACATGTTTCGAAGTATAGAAGGATTGTTTCAATTTGTTTCACTTGGAACAGGAATGAGGTATGTTGATTCTATCTAAGAGTATACGACTTACTCTGCAATAACAAATGCACCTCGCAGTCAAACCAGGCATTTATTTTGTGACCTCGCACCCGCACGTGGAATTCGAATTAGAAAATGTCGGATGGCAAAATAAAAGTGAAATGATTGTAACAGATACATGGCTGAAGGGCATGGAGAAAGAGCTGCGGAGTATTCCACCGAGCCCAGCTGGTGCTGACGTCGGTGACAAGACCATGGCAAAATTCCAGTGGAAAGACGTGCAATCGCCAACGAAGAAGATGTGAAATTGTGCACAATGGTAACGATGTCGCACGGAAGAGTTGATTCGGGTGGGAAGTGAGCTGCGCTTGCGCATAGAATTACACTGTTAAAAACTTTACACGACGCACAGACAGATTTTGAAATCCGGTGAATTTTTCACATAAGTAGTAGCACACCCACATGTCATAGTGCTTCGGCACCATATTTTTCAAAAAGCAAAAGCTCAGAAACACACGGAACCGGGCATTTTTACGATTTAATTTTTCATGGTTGAATATTTTACTGCGGTTTCATTAATTAGATTGACCATCTTCTCGTTGTTGTGACGGTGAAAGCAATTTGGTAACCAGGTGAACATGTGGACTTTTTGTTGGACACTGATAACATCGGGTGAAATATTGGAATGAATTGAAACGTATGATACACAAAAAAAAAAAAGACGGCGAAGGGTCTACCTTTTGTAGCCTTCACGCAAAATAGTAAATTTCGCATCTTTTTATCAAAGAAATCACTAGTGTCTTCGTGTTTCCATTTCGTATTTGTGCGTTTTGGAGAGATCTTGTCAACGTGAGCGAACTGCGCAATTTTACAGAGAGAAGTTCGTCAAATTTGTGCTTTTTTTCCGGATGAGATTGGTGCGTGAGGAAACAAGAAATCGGCCGCTCCGGTTTGGCGCGACCGATAAAAGAAAAGAATATTTTGGTTTTGGTTTCTTGCGTATTACGGAAGGTTGGCCTTTTTTTTTGTGATTGTGTACTCACGCAAAGGGAGATATTTATTCAGCGTTCCGATTGTACCTCCTACGCGAACCCGAGAAAAAATGTTGCAACAGCCACGGAAATGGGCCTACGTGCCACGCGCGTCTGCTTTTTCACCGAAGAAGTCCGCGTCGGGAGCCAGCGCACTGCATATAAAAACTTCCGGTGTGGCAGAGACGGCTCCCGGTGTTGCGAGCCATGCAGCAGAGCATCTCCGATCGGCATCACCGGCGCGACAAGGAACGCGCCCAGCCAACCGGTCGAAATCTCCGCAACGCCAATTGGGAACCGCGACCACAACTTCGAGAGTGACCGACCTAGACGACACCTCTGGTGCGTTGTCGCCTCTGAAGCAGATTCGCGATGAGTTTCGGATTGCCATCGAAGATGCGAAAAAGGAGGACGGCACCTTTTCCACCGAGGAAGAAAAGGAAATTACCGAGGTTGGCAACGGAAGGAAAAACCAAGAAAAGCCGGAGGCGATAAAAATAGCGCTCACCTCGAAGCTTTTGCAATCGAACCTTTCGCAAGACAAGTCGGCGTGTGAATTAACGTTCAGCTTTCTCGACAGTGTCGATCCGCTTTTCTACAAAGAGGAGGAAGCAACGACGGAGCAAGCGATCGTACCCGTGGTCCCTGTGGAGCAGATTCGCGAGTATCAGCTCGTCGTGAAAAATTTGCGGAAATTGGATTTGTCCGGCAACAACCTGCGTAAAATCGAGAACCTGGAGCCACTGGTGCAACTGCGGGAACTCTCCCTGCATTCCTGCGAGATCGAGAAAATGGAAAACCTGGAACACTTTCAGTTTCTCGAGCGACTGGAACTGCAGTACAACAAAATTGCGAAAGTTCAAAACCTCGAAAACCTGAAGTCGCTCACATTTTTAAACCTGGACAAAAACAAAATCGACACCAAGGGGTTGCTCGCGACACCAGCGACTGCGAATATCGGAGCTGCTTCTGGCGCAACTGCATTCAACGGGGCTGCGCAAAGCTCCCTACCGCCGAGCAATGCGAGCAGCGCGGCGCAAACCCCGGTGTCTGCCTCGTCTAGCCGACTTGTAGGCAGTCGACCCGGTTCCGGTGTTTCATCAGTTTTCTCGTCCGCTGCTGGTAGCGTCAACTTGCTTTCTTCTTTCACGCGAAAGGGCCAGAAACTGCAGCTCTCACAACTAGATACGGTCAGCGAAGCAGGAGAGCAGCTGCTAGCGCAGCAGGAGAGCACAGGGAGCAGTTTTGGCAAATCCAGCAGAACATCAAGAGCAGGCTACAACGCGGCTACGGGCCGACAGGGAGGGAACAGAGCCAGGTCCGTCTTTCCGCCCAGCCTGAAAGAGTTGCACCTGTCGCACAATCGTATCGCGAACTTGTCAACCAGTCTGCAGTGGCTCCCGAAGTTGGAAGTGCTGTGTCTGAACCACAACAGAATCGGCTCAATTCTGCTCTCGAGTGCTGGATCTCGAGGAGAGGATCAGGGCGAGTCCGTAGCTTCGTCAGTGTGTCCTACGCCGCTGTCGACCGCACGCAGTGGGCGGTCTTCGTCACACAGTTCCAGCGCTGCGGTGTCCTTCTCGTCGCGCGCATCAGAATCCACTACACTGCAGCGGCCCTCCATCAGCGAACTGGCCTTGAGTAAGACCTTTGTGCCGCTGCACAAGGCACTAGGGAACTTGTCGGCGCTGAAGGAACTGGAGTTGGACTTCAACCAGATCGACAACCTGAGCTTCTTGTTCACCAAGAAAACCCCGGGGGAGCTAGGAGTGGTACTCACAGGAAATAGTACTGGTACAAATTCTGCGGAGATCATGAACAGAACAAGTGGAACCGGGAGACCCGTCGACTTGACCCAAGGATCGCTGGGTGCGCAGAGTTTCAGCAAAGGGGCGAATAAAACAAGTTCTGTCAACACAAATAGCCTGAGCAACGAGCCAGTCCGGGTCCCGACCATGCCACGCCTGATGACGTTGAGTCTGGTGCAGAACAGAATCACTTCGCTTTCCACAAGTCCCTCGTCTGGGAGTGCGACGTCCTCGTCCTCGTCAGCAGATCCTCAATCGTCCAAGAAACCGCCGCCGCCATCGGAACAAGCAGGAGCGACGCACAACCAGGCGACGTTGCCAGAGCTGCGCGAACTGTTTCTGAACAACAACGGGATTCGTGCGCTTTTTCCCGAACAAAGTGACGACGGTCGTTTTGCTGACACTGCAAGATCTTCCGCGAACGAGCTTTCTGGCACCTGTAATACTCAAGTGTTCACGGGTCTAGAGGCGCTGGACTTGGCGGGAAACCCGCTGGTCGGGCCGACAGCGAAGGTCGTGTCGCAGATCGCGGAGAACTTCGGGGAAACCCTGGCGGAATTGCATATGAATGTGGTGAAAGATGAAGCTGAAAGAGCAGAACAGCAGCGGGAAGGCGAAGATGACCCAAGAAATGCAGATCAGAAGACCACGGGCACGGAGCCTGAGTTGAAGAACGCAGCAACCAGTGATCCAGCAGAACCAGTCGATGGAGATGATCATCCATCTGAGCAGCTACAGGAGACAGGGGAAATCAGAAAAGAACAGGAGAAAGACGCCGAGGAGCCTGAATTCCTCGAGGTGATAAAGCAAGGCAGCAAATTTAAGTGTCTGGCGTTTCTGAACGACGAGCCGGTGCCGATCGCGTGGAAGAACGCAACAACTGGAAATGGTGCGAACAAGAGTCCGAGCAAAGCACGGCAAGGCATGAGCCACGAGCTGGACGCGGAATTTCTGCTGAAGCTGGAAGATGTTTTGGTTGACGGCGCCGCGGCCGATCAAGCAGATTGGGACAACCAGCCTGACGCGGATACTGAGGGAACGGCAAACGCCGAGGATCAAAATGCTGCCACGACAGTGAATACACGACAACATGTGAACATCAAAACAGCGGATGATCTCGAGAATACCCTGAAAAAGAAGAGTTTGATCCTGCAAACCAACAACAAGCAGCTGCAGTTGCTCGAAGCGCACGACAAGTCCACTGCGGTCGAGAAGCTTTCTCACCACACGGGCACGAACAAGCGCCGGTTCTTCAAGGAGCCTGAGCTGCTGAACTGGGAGCAGGAGCAGTTACAGCTGGTCGAGCAGTTTCAGCAGGGCGCCAGTAAGCTACTGGACGAGAGCAAAGCGCAGCTGGAAAAGTTCACCCGAGCCATTCAAAAGCACGAAGACTGCATAAAGCGGGAGGAGATGCTGCACGGCGAAAAGGTTCAGGAAGAAATAGAAGCGCTTATCACACGGAAAGGTTTCTTCATCTTCAGCGGAGGTCGGTGCTTGAGGCCATCTGCAAAGGGGCGTATACTTGCATAAACTAGAATCGTCGTGAAGTGACGCAGCGTGCTGTTTTTCGCTTTCTCGTTGCAGATAATGAAGACAGAGCCAATTTGTTGGCAAAATCTGCTGTACATACTTAATTATCTGCAACTCATGATGATGATGATGAATAACTTCGGAGCGAGCTGTTCTGATGCGGACCATGCCCAAGGAAACTTTTCCACATGATAGCGCAAAAAAGGGAGGAGTTTTTGACTCTGGACACCATTTTGGAACAGGAAGAATCCGAAATGGACAAGCTTGCCGACGAAGAATTCATATCAAATGCAAAAATGTCTGGGTCTGGAAACTTGTAATGCTAAAAATGAATGATAGACGCACTGCAATACGCAGCTATGCATGACAAATTTTTTGACTGCCATGTCTTACGCATTTCGCATGGCAAACTGCTTTTTTGCATGACAGGTAAGAGGGCTTTTTCGTGCCTATGCAACACAGATTCTCGAGTCATGCCAGGCAAGCATGACAAACTTGCATTCTTCCAGACCCAGACACTTTTACAGTTGATAATTCAAGAAGTGGCAGACGGAGCTGGGCGGAGTTTTGCGTGGCGGGGAGGAAGAGGTACGCTTGAGCATTTTGCTTGAACAAATTTGAACCACGTTCAAAGGAAAAGTGTTGGCAGGTCCGTTTGAACAAATCAGTGCACGACCATAGGTCAGAATTTTGCTGCCTACAGACTTCTTCAAACACGTCTTTCAACAGGCTGTGCTGCGCCGACCGGAGAGGCTCGCACTGAATCTGAACCTGCACGGAGACTTGTTGGAGCCTTCCCTGGCAGAAGAACTCGAAAAGATCCGTCGCTCTCCGTTCAAAAAGCGGTCCATGTCAACCATTTCCGAGGAAGCAAGTTGACAAAGTAGATCTTTGCTGGCAACTGTGCTCTACTGTCAAGTCTTCTTTACGCAACGCGACGGGAATGACTGAGTGGGCAAAGTGGTATTCCTAGGGGAAATCTACGGAGGAAAGAAAGAATCGATGGCTGTAGACATCGCCGACAGGCTGTGCTCGTGTGGGGAGGAGGAAAATTTTCAGAAGGCGCTACTGGTCTGACCGGTCCTCTGGTCCTTTAGTTGGCGCTGTGTGTTCGTCGTGTTCAGTGTGAAAACACGAGTGATTATGATTTGATTTCCTTCTAGCTTAATTGTTGCCCAACTTCTGACTAAAGAGGGAGAAAAAAGGCTAAATTGTTTTTGCTTTTCGCTGGTACGATGGATATTTTTGGGGTGGGGGGACGGGCTTGTTAGAAGAAAGTCAATGCGTATGAAAAAAATCTCGAGAGACGAATGCCAGCGACGACACGCGAAAGAATAAGAAAGCTTTGAACAGTTGACAAGTGAGTCCGCAGCTGCTACTTGCGTTAATTTGATTTTTGTCATTTGTGCGACGTTGCGATGACAACGGACGCGTGTAACTCCACCGCCGCAGTACATCTTCCGATGCACCCGGAGTTGGGCACAGGCCACGATGGCCCACCCGTCTCACCGGGCGACGACTTTCTCTTTGGGAAACTCGTCGCGGAGCGCCAGAAAATCCAGCTCTCCCTTGAGCGCCGGAAGCGGAAGGAAGAGCTCGTGCGAAAGCGCGAACAGGGATTCCAGACGCACATCAACGGGGCCAACGAGGAGAGGTTGCTGCATCGCAACAAGCAAATCCAGATGCAGCATAACCGCACGAGGCCCAATCGTGCCTTTGGCGTTGTGGGGCAGAGTGCGCTTCTCGGTCCCGCAAGTCAATCCGTAGCACCGCACCATCCGCAATCCGTGATTACCGGCGCGAGTGCCGCAGCCAGTAGCTCCAGCACCGCCAGGCACTTTGTCCCAAATTTTGTCGCGTCAACGACACCACAGATGAACGCAAATAGTATAATCCCACAGCAGCAAGCAAAAACGGCTACGGCGCCGAAGTCCTGGAAAAAGGAAACAGTCGAGCTGCGCGCGGAGGACGGCAGGCTGATCAAGTTATCGCCGTTTGGAGAACAAGTTTCGGTTGATCCGGAAACTACACAAGACGGGCACTACAGAAGTACTAGCAATAGCGCTCACCACGTTCTTCACCTTCCTATTGTGCCGGACGAAGAGGACTACGACGAAGAACTTGGGCAAGAATCGTCCCCAAACGAAGCAAAGATGTCAATGTCCCCAACGTCCGGGGGACGAACACAGCACGAAAAAGCGGTATCGGATGACGTCGTCAACGTGTTAACAATGCTGGAAACCGCACCGACGGAAGCGCTGGAAAAGGTGCGTGCCAGTCTGCGCTTGTCGAGGTCGAACTTACCGACTATTGGGGGACACCAGCCCCAGGGGGCAGCCGGATCCGTACCCTCTCCGACGACCGTGGACAAGAGAGCCATCGCTCGAGAAGAGGAGGACTTCGGCCTGGACGACTTGAGAAGAGACAGCACGCGGAAGCCGTATTACGGCGGCCGGGCCGGTGCGGACGAGACGGACGACGAACAGGTGCTGATGGGGAACTCCTTTGAGTTCCTTCCTTCCACGGGAGCTGGATGCAGTGCGCGAAAGGGAGGCATCATTCAAGAATCTAGCGCCGTTGGTGCTGGACAGCACGCAAACGACCAAGCGGAACAAACCAAGGACGTAGAACCAAAAGACACAAATTTCTCTGCGATTGCTGCGGCCATGGCCGCGGAAAACCAGGCTGCCATGGCGCAAGAGCGCAAGCGCTCGGTCCACGGCGAAGTGACGCAATCGCGACTGCCCGTCAGTGCCTCAGCTGCAGAAGCCCTGCGGCCCCCGTCCGCGGTCGCCAGTAGGAGAACAAGTGTGGATGTGCAAGTTGAGCCCCCAGAGATGAACAAGGTTGCTGTGCCGGTCGTGTCATCTACGAGTCGTGCAGGCCAGAAGTGTCTGCAAACGACCGAACCGCGCTTACCGATCGACGACCGGACGGCCGAGAGGTTCCGGCCACCTTCCGCAGTGAGCTCGCGCCCACGGAGCCGAATGAGCCAAGTGCACGTGGAGTACACGGAGATCGTCTCGACGAGCTGCGACGCGAACACAAGTTCCGGATCGACTGTCGCAGTTCGTACAAATGCAGGAGATCATTATTTCCCGGTTCCCGTCGTCCCGGTTCCCAGTGGTGATTGTCAACTCACAGGAGGTCATCCCAACGACGTAAACGACGAGAAACAACATGCTCCAGGACTCTCCGCGGGAGAACACGACTGTCAGGAAACCCCGCGGATGCGCACTTGGTCGACCAGCAGTCAACAGACGGACAGTCTGATTCAGCGCATTCAAGAATTGGATGAGGAAAAGCAACGTGCGCTGGAGCAGCTTCTCGACCACTGGTGGGACCTGCCGCGGATTATGCAGGAAAACAATCAAGAAGTCGTCGAGCAGAAGTGGACTTGGAATCGTGCTGGAGATGATGAGATGAAGCCGAAAGACGACCAAGTTGTTCCGCATGAACAAAACGGGGACGACGAAAACAGTGCAGAACCTCCGGGATCGACCGAGTACGGATCGTGTCTGAGCCGTGTTGGGGGTAGCAAGAACGCGGAGCCGGATGCCGTAGTGCCGATAGCAGCGGATGACGGGAGCTACGGAAGGGAGCAGAACGGAAGTTCCGGATCGGGCACGATTGGCCCGGAGGACGGTGCGAATCCCGGAGGCCGGACGCACGGTGGCGGGGTCGGGGCGAATGACGAGGAGAAAAACGACATGGCGGAGGAGGGCGAGAAGCTGAAAACGAAAAATTCTGACGATGAAGAGGACGAGCCCGACAGTGTGGGTTCGAAGCGAAGACTGCAGGTCAAACTTGCAGTCTTGTGCAACCACAGCCAATCCGGCTACGCATGCGAGCTGAAAGGGGTGAAAGTTTATCGCACCAGCAGTGGGGGTCGTTGTACTAGCAGCGACGAGAAGAGGAAGGTGTGTCGTGTCCGGCCGCAAACCATCCAGGCGACCGGATTGACGGAAGGTGGAAAGACACTGCATAGGCTGTTCAGGAGGAGAACAACTTCGAAGACGGCTAGCACAACGCTACTGTCATCTTGGAGTGGAAAGACCGCTGCAGCAACTGGGAGCTTCGTTCTCCGATTCGAAGCAGACCTTCCTGAAGCCACGACATCAAATGGCCACACTTCTACTTCCGACGACTCGTATTGCATCGCGCTGGAAAATAGCAGTTCTGCGATTCTAGCGCTGTGCGACGCGGACGTCTCTGCCACGATCGTCACTGAGCAATTCAGCGGGGCAACCGGCGGGAATCTGCTCACTGCCGAGGGTGATGTCTTGCACGCGCGCGTCCGCGGCATACCCGCTGCGAGTGGAGAGCAGGTGTACAGTCTGGCAGTGCACCAGCACATTCAACCTGAAGTTAATAAAAAAAGCGACCACCTCGTCTCTAGTGACCCGAATTCGAGTGACGCGACTGTCTACGAGACCGAGCAGCCCGTGCCGATGCTGATCGAGGGCGTATCACGGGCCACTCCCGCAACCTCCGCACGGCAACAGGAAGACAAACTTCTTGACAAGGAACAGCAGAAGAAGCATCGATCGAATGCCAACACCCTCTCCATCTCTGCGGCTGCCCCTTCTCGCAGCACAACTTCCTCGCCGGTAGCTTCGAATAAGAAGACCCAAAATCGCCACCAGCAGTCCATGCTTGCGAGCTTTGACGCTTTGGAGAAGTCCGCAAGTCGGAAGTTTTTCGAGCCGTTGCGGGGAGCGGGTGGTGGGGACGGAAACAAAAGAGCAGCATACGACTTTGGGTTCGACGAAATTGAGAACGAAGCGGAGAATGAAGAAGGAACTGGTAATTCCATGCCCACGGTGGACGATCACGAAGCTTTGCTCTACGATCCCTCGTTTGCCGCAAACGCCTCAAACACAGGCACTAATTTCAGCGAAGGCAACCCCCCGCTTGTCGTACCCGACGCTCGGCCCTCTCGACGCGAGCAGCTCCAGCAAGGAGCAGGTGGCGCATTGCCAGCTGCTGCGCTGCAGCGGGCAGGCGTACCGAAGAGCAGCGCGTCTAGCAGCAGCGAGGACGAGGACTTCAAGCATTTGCGTGTTGAGGCCGAGAAGTGCGGAGAGCCGGGCATTCTCCCCTCCCCGCCGAACGCCATGGCGGACTACTACTTGGCCAATGACTCCGCTGTGGCAGGGAGCTACTACGACGGTTCGGCCATCGACCACAACTGTGTCGGTGCTTCCCTGCTGCCGCCGGAGTACTACACAGATACCGCGCCGAACTCGGAGGCAGAAGTAGTAGAAAGCAGCCCGGGGGTCACTAGTACTGCGCAAAATACAACAACGGCTATGAATCCTCGACCCGCGATCCCCCTTGTGATGCCGACGTTGCCTCGGGGAAAACTCTTGGTCTTCAACTGCGCATCCACCTGGGGCGATCCGGACTTTGTGGGGCTGGCTGGAATCGAGATCTTTGATGATAAGGGCGAGCTCGTGGTCCTCCCGGACGTGGAAAATCAGGTAAGTGCGGAGCCCGACAGTGTGAACGTGTTGCACGGGCCGAACAGTGGACAAGTGCTGGACCCCCGGACGCCCGACAAACTCTTCGACCAGGTGAATTTGACGCGGGACGACTTTCACGTCTGGCTGGCGCCCTTTCGCTGCGGCAAGCCCCACACCGTGATGGTGGACCTTCTGGAGGAGAAATGCGTCAGCATGATCCGCATCTGGAATTACAACAAGTACATACAAAACTGCTTCTCCTTCATCTCTTCGTGATGTTTTTTGGCATGACCTCTGGTGTTTTGATTGAAGTGAGTGATCTGATTTCAAGTATGCCTTCAACTGTTGCCGGAGATTTGATTTTAGAGTTTTCGTTTGAAGATGATGCCACCTCCACCGCAACACGCAGGTCGCGACTACACGCCAACCGCGGATGTCGCATCATGGAGATATTTCTAGATGTATCCTCGAAAGCAAAAGGTTGTAGTCCGGCACGACAAACCTAAATCAGAGTCTTGCAGCAACTTACTCTCGCGGGAGGCAGAAGATAGAAAGACGTCCTGATGTTGCAGATGTTGTTTCATGTCTTTGCATCCGTTGGTTATGAATACATATTTCATATCTTCGGTTTTTTGTTTTTCGTGTTCGGGATGACCCACTGTATTTTCCCATGGATAACCTAAGACGCCGATTTTCGTGGGCGAGATTCGCAAGGCCTCCGGGGATCTGAACCGGCCCGACCAGGTGTGTGAGCACTTGCTATTCTGCGGGGAAGAGCAGTCCGAGGTCCTAGAGAAGATCGAGGAACGCGACTGGCTTCCGCGCCTGGCGCCCGAGATTGGCGACCCGGAGTTCTTGCTTCAGGGCAGCAGTGAAGAAGAGGAGATCCTGGACGACGACGGGAATGTAGTACGGCGGCGGAGAAGAAGTAGTACTGAAAACTATGCGGACGATGACTCGGATATTGGGAACTTCTTCGACGAGGACGAGTCTCTGCTAGGTGACAAGCTTTGGAAAATCGAAGTCCCCGCAAGTTCGGGAACTGAGGGCGAGTTTGAAGATTGATATTTGCAGGGAGGGAATCGTTGTGGTAGATGGAAGTATGCAATAAATTGAATTTCCGTCTTCACCTGCTGTGTGGTCTGTGATAGGTGATCGCTATCATTTACTGCGATCCCAGCACCACAACTTCGCCTCCGCTACTGGGAGAGGCACGGGCGCCCGGGAATCCATCGTCGATCTGAGCATGAACATGAAGTGGATTATTGCGCAGGAGTAGAAAATGAAACAATTCCACCGCTCGTGAGGAAGTACAAGCTTTGCTGTCATGTCCCTGGGCGCTGCCCTTCATGTCCATAGTTTCTGGAAGTGTTCCCTAAAGTAGCAGCCGGAAAAAGATACACGCGTCATGGAGTTCTTCTTGTGTGGAGGATCAGTCAAGCAACTACACTCAGATTCGTGTTCTTTCTTTTCCGATTTTTCAGTTTGACAGAGGCGTTCCTTTTGTTGCTCTGTCTCGGATCATGGTTTCGCAACATACACGAGAGGATTGGAACGTACGTAATAGGTCATTGATTTGAGATCTGCGTCTAGCCAAGTAATGCAGGTAATTTCAGCACAGCAAGCACGTACGACTACGCAGCAGGGATACGGAGATCAACTCAGATCTTGTGTTTGAGATCCTGTTTGGTTATTTTTGCGATGTTCGTCAATCCATGTAGCTGCAGCAATCTGTTTTTGTGTGGCGAAGAAATACTTACTTACGTAAAAGTCAATGATTCCAAAATGCGAAGAAAACTGAACTAACAAGCAGTTTTTTGCAGTGAAGTTCTTGCGATTCTTAAGCGTTATAGTCGGCTGGTAAGTTTTACTACAAGAGATCTACTAGTACAACGGTTACTAAGGCGCCTTCTTGTTGATAGCGGCGCCAGTTCATGGCTGATCTTGTGGAATCTACCATCATTCACAATGAAACGATAGGAAGTGTGAGCTCGTCAACATCAACAGAGTACGCACTTGGAAATGCTTGAGTGCGTGCTGGTGGTGTGTTGTGGAACGAATAAAAACTAGATGGAGAAAGAGGTAACGAAACTTACATTATGTATTGTCAGACCTTTATGAACTTTCCTCGCACAACTCGCAGACTGAAACAGAATCACGACAGCCTAGAGCTTTCTTGGAACTAGGTATAGCAGACTGAATGTCCTACGCTCTGTAGTAGAGTACAAAGGACGATCTTCGAAAAGCAGCGGTCCCTACATCAATCGTCGAACGTCATCTTTCCTCTTGCGGTCCGAGCCCGAACAACAGTCGTGAACAAGGATAAAGACAAGCGCGAAGCTCGATAGGCAATCCAAACTCCCACAAGCCACTACTTTATCGCTCCATTCGACATTACGAATGACAATGAACCAACGAACAACCCAGCAGCGAACCTAAATGAACAGGCGACCGAAAAAACTGAAACAGTTTTTAATTAATACCAGTAGAGTTGTTCTTGTAAATAGAGACAGAGGTAGTGGTAGATGACATAGTAATTCTAGGGGTCCACGTCCAGATTTTCAATAGGGTCACACTAGAAAGTTATGGGTTAAGAAAGAACAAGGAAGCGAACCCTTAATGAAGCGGAATTCCACCTTGTGACGCACGTTTATTTCGGGTTTCGTCTGTTGACAGCACCTAGTTAAAGTAAGTTTAATGACTACCCCATCACTAGTTGAGCTTCACTATCCCCCTCTTCCCCCCTCCTTTCAACAAACTTTTGAGCTATTTATGTCGTTAACTTTGGTTGACGTCGACGCAGCTGATTGTTGTAGCCAATTACGAACATCCTTTTATTGCCACTGATGCAGTAGGAGATAGATTTATCGTATCCTGCTGGGGCGGCGTGACGTGGAGCACTGCGACAGCGGAACTGCTTGCAGGATAGGAAAGGCAAGTCTTTTCTGCGTTTCAGTTTGTTTCGACACGGCCCAGCATATGCTAACAACCTCTTACCTTGAGATATGAACGGGAAGCAAGGCAAGTGTGAGTGACTTCCGCATCTGTTCTGTACTTTGGCTATACATACATACTGAAGTGCAGGAAGGGTGCTGGTGTGCCACTATCAGAATAAAGACATTTCGTAGAAAGCTACAGCAACGCCGTGACTAGAAAGAACTATCGTATTGAAAAAGTACAACCGCGATTGTTACATTTATCCTAGTGCGTATGTCTTCGTTTTCTTTCTCGAGTTTCCCTTTTTCGCTGAGTCTGCGTGTGGGAAAGCTAGTATTGGTGAAGATTCTATTCTTCAAGAGCCACTCCCTTTTCTCGACTTCGTGCCACGTCACATTTACGTAAAAATACCAATAGACACAACATAAGTTACTCGTAGTACCAACTTCGGTTTGACAGAACACCTTTTCCGATTGCGATCGCGGTTTCCCTGTCAGCACTCCAAACGTCTAAGCAAACTGTTTCCACGACGGATTATTTCAATCACAATTTTTTGTGGCTGGTGATACTTCGCCAGTGCGGAACAATCTGCTTCGATTTTTTTGTTTTGAATACACTCACCACCAAAATTAATTAGCTCGCAGATGTAGCAAGCAATGGTAGCTCGCCGTGAGAGGACCGCGTTCCAGGAGGAAGGTAGCAAATTTGCGTGGTGCGCAGTGGGCACCCCGGCTGTAGTATAGATAAGTACGTTTTTCAGGTATTCCGTATTTGGTAAAGTTGGAGCGCAGGTAATACAGTTCTAGTAGTTCTTTAATAGTACAACTTTTGTTTTTGGTCCGTCGTTACTTTTTGTCTATCCCTGTTGCCGGACGCTTTTCTGCAGTCCGTTTGGCAAACTACTTTTTTGGAAAATGAAACTTTTGTTTGTACGAAATGTAAAAAGAGTTGCTGTAGTTTAGGATTGTGTTTGTGGATATTTAATCTTTTACGTAGAATACTTTTACATTAGATAGCCTTTCTGTGTGAAATTTGTTTTGGCAACAAGAGGTAAAAGATAAGGAATAGTGAAGCGGCCCTCCTTGGTCTCCAGGGAGAGAAAGGTTTGATTGCCTCTGTTGCCAGTAAAGGTAACGCACATTCAAGAATAGTCTATAGTTTTTTACTTGTAGCCCAATGGGCTGGGGAGTTAAAGCTACATAATCTCGTTGTACGCCCGTGTGTTGCGACTTACCTTACCTAACCATCAGATTTTGAAAAATATTCACCTATTTTTCACAAATGTGGTTATTCTACACGGATAAAGGCACGACCGTAATCGATGCTCTTTCTTCTCTCGCGAGGGTGTCGAAATTGCAGACGACATCGAGGGAAAAGCGGAGGTGACAAGGCCTACAGCGCTGCGGTAGAAGACGCACGTGCGAGGACACCTAACACACCAGGAGCTTCATTTTATAATCTGCGGGTCGCGAGACCAGGCTACTGAGGAAGATATATTTTCGCAGCGCGCTTGGCCAAAGTGGCGCACGCGTGCACCGAGGATTTGGATGCCAGGGGGCTGGCGCCGGTCGTTGCTTTTTGATGAGAAAGAAGAACTACGATGGTGAGTATCATCACCTTCGGTAGACCGAACATGGTGTTGGTACTCCAGATCGTGGCAGCGACCTTGCTGCAGGAGGGTTTGGTGCAAGTCGTCCCCGGCCTGCAGCTGCAGAAATCGAGCACGACGTTGCGGCCACTGCAGCAGCAAGCGACGGCACACCAGCAGCACCATGGGACGACCCAGATGGCAACCACGTCGGGGCAGCAGGTGATGAGTAGGTCCGCGGCGACAAGCTCGCTGCATCTTTCCATCACGCCGAGCAGCACCGCAACAAGTGTAGGAGGACTAGCCGCGGCGCAATCAGGAGGAGCACCGCTGTCAGCCAGGTCGAGCGGGCACACGCAGCCCCTTACTGCGGTCGCTGCTGCCACTGCCCCGAGCGCTGGATCGATCTCGGTAGCTTCCACCTGGCCCGCAACGCTTTCGCCCCAGATGCGCGCAATGTTACAGCAACACGTCCTGTCGGCCCAACACACACCAGTACCGGTATCGGAGAACGGAACTCCGGTTCTGGGCGCAAGTCTCTCTCCCAGCCAGCAACCGACCAGTCCTGCCTCCTCAGGCAGCATCGGCAGCCAGCCGCTGCATACAACGGCAGGCGGGCTTGCGCACCAGCACGGCCAGCAGCACCCGCACGCAGCTGCGGCTTTGGCCGCGAGCCTGAGTCAACAGCAAATTCACAGCAACCCGGGGACGGTGGCGACGACGCCGGTGCTAGGACCGAGCGCGCAGCTGCCTCACACGGGTGCTGTGCTGCAACGGATGGTCTCGGTGCCGGTTTTGGATGGGTCCGGAGTGCCAAAGACTCACGGCCGTGGTTTTGTCCAAGTCGAGCACCAAGGGCCACCGCGGTTGCAGCCACCGCCATTCTCTCTTGGCGCGCCGGCGTCGGTCACGCCCGCAGGGTCGGGAATCGCGAGCAATCGGTCCATTACGCCACCACCACCATTGGTAGGTGCGCCGCATCCGCAGTTCGCGGTGGTTGCAACCACGACGGGAGGCTTTGCTACGAATCCCGCAACTGGAGCTCCAGCTGCCGCTACAGGCAGTTCTGATGGTGCTTTTTTGATGAATTTAAGTTTCACTTCGAGCGGCGCGCAACAGCAGCAACAGGGCAGGCGGATCGTCACTGACAGCATCTCACCCCCGAATCGCGTGCTCTATGCTTCTGCGTCGCAGCCATCTGGCGGAACTTTTCTAGCAGGTGCACACGCCGGCGCGCCTCAACTGCAGCAGCCCTTGTCCGCACGAGCGAGCGTGGGTGTGGGCACGACTAGCGGCTCCTTGACAGTCCGAGCACCGCCGCCGCCCGGGAGGTTGGTGCACTCGAGGACGTCGACGGGCGTGTTTCCTATGTCCGCCGACTGGGAGCAGCACAGCCACGCGGCCGCGCGGCAAAGAGGAGCTGTTTCGGTGCCAGTGCCGTCTCGAGTTCCACTTGGATACGCGACTGCTCCTGTAGGTTCGATAGCGCAAGCAGGGCAACTGCATGTATCAGGCATTCCAATGTCGGCTTCTCCGGTGGAAGCGCCATCCCTATCACCGCCGCAACTGGCATCCGACTCGTCCGCTTCTAGTTCTGGTCGACGTGATGAGCGTGCTGGCCAGCCGGAGGATCAACATGAGGCAGACTCGCGGACGGCCTGCTCTCCAGTGCCGGAAGCCGTAGACGAGGTACTTCAGGCGAAGCGATGTTTCAAAATCAGACCTCCGCCCGGGTCTCCGCCCCGAGGACCAGGTCCGAACCGCAGTGACATGCGCTATTTCGACCACAGTGACCAGGCTGCACGGGTAAGAGTTCCTACCACGCCAGACCACGATCTGATTTCGCCACTGGTAGGTCCAGCTCCGGACCCTATACCCCCTGCGCAGCGAGGCTGTGTTATGGCGGCGATGATGGCTGTGCAGGGCAAGCTCGCCCGAGTTAGCGGACAGCAACAAAACTCCAGAAGCCCCGCTGGGTCCTCGGACGTTGTAGATTTCGACGCGAGCAGCAGAACAGGTGAACAACAATACACCAGTGGGAACAAAACCGCAGGACAAGAAGACCCTCGTGGGTCGTACTCCAAAGCTGTGGCAGAGGAACAACAACGGGTGGATGCGGCAGGAGGCAATAACACGCTAAACGAAAGCGCACTAGCCGACCTGATGTTTGAGAAGTGTGCTGTGTCGCGCGAGCGTTCGCCGGAACAATTGTCTTCCCCTCGAGAAGATCCAGGGGCCACGGGAAGTTTCTGGGGGCGACAGTGCAGCGCAATGTCGTCCGGCAGCGGAGGGGGCGGGAAACTTGCGCGGAACGCGTTCTCGTGCAGTGCGATGAGCCAACTGGCCACAACCTTTCTGCAGGGTGCGGGACTTGGAGCCAGCGGTCCTGGAGCGGCTGACCGAAATGGCGGTGCTCCTCTGGCCGGCCCATCGCCCGAAGTATTTAGCCGCGCGCGATCTTCGCCCTTGCTCGCTACGAGCACAATGGACGAGGACGAAGACGCTGACGGAAGAGAGCCACAAGTCCCGCATCTGCCACCACTGGAACTCCCCGAAGCGGCGGTGCCGGGGAGTCTCATCCAAGCGCGCGGACTGCTTTTCGGAAACGGATCACCGCGCGATGCGGTCGCGGGCGAGGTCCAACGTAGGCGGCACGCTAGTCCGGAATCCGAAAGGGAAAACGTCCGCGAGCGGAAGGGCGAGGACAGCGCAGGAGCGGAGAGACAAGCTAAAAAACAGCCACTGTTGTTGCCAGGATTGACAGCACACGAGGGTAGTTTCGTCGCGAGACCGGATGCGCAACCAGACTGCCTTGACGAAGGCTCGCGCGGACGAGGAGAGGGAGCACCAGAGCAGAGTAGCAGCCCACACGACCGTCAGGAGGACAGGCAAGTTGATTACTTATCGCCGCAATTTTTCAGATTCGGTGAGGCACTGGCCCAAGAAGGGGATGCGCGCTGCTGGACCGCTTCGTACCAAATGTAAATATGTGCTTGTCCATCTATGTATGATTTTGGAAAATTTTCATAATGCAAAATTGAAGTGAGAGTGACCATTCATCACCTGCAGCTGCAACTCGAATGCTTCGACGTAGCGATGACCAATACGCAATATTCAGGTGCGCCTTCCAACAGTGTGGTCTCAGACCCTGCAGTCCTTCTGAAAACGGAGGCGACGGCATGGTGCGACCGCCGCGTCAGGTAACGCGTGAAAACAAGGAGTCTTCGGAAGGCGCATGCGATCCAGACCGGATGTCAGACGGGGATGAGGACTGCATGGTGCAGGGGAAATTTGTGTTGAACCTGAAGGACAAATTGCAGCACCATTCGTCTTCGTCCGGTCGCGCCGTGCCTGGCTGCTCCCCTTCGGCGCGCACAGTCGGCGACGACCTGGCAGAGGAGCATTTTCGGTCGGATGATGAGATGGACTACCAGCGGCTCGCGGAATCCTTGAAGGATATCCCGGGGGGAGATCATTTTGAGGAGCCGACCATGCAGTCGCCAGATTTCAGGGACGACGCCAGCGAGCGAACGGACGACCCGGAAGCTTCGGTTGTATATAACCGAGGTAGAAGTTCTACTAACGCTGGCGGACGAGCTAGTACTTCTCCGGTCAAGGAACTGCCTACCGCGCGACGGACCTCCAAGTTGTTCGGAACACTGCCAACGCAGGGCAGGGTACTACTGCTTTCTCACCCACAAAAATCGCGTGAAACGAACTGTATTTTTGTATGCAAGTGCTTTTTCTTGTTGACTAAAAACGATCATTTGTTGTACTCTCAAACAATCCAGCGCGGCCGTGCACGGGGAGCCGGCGGTCGCATGTTACCAATACCGTTGGATGCGGGATCCAGTCCTTCGGTGCAGCAAACGACTTCCGCAGAAACGGTCTCCGGCTGCTCCTCAAACACTCCGAGCTTCGGGAAAAAGCGACCAGCGACCGACGCGGAACTGGAGACGCACTCCAAACGGAAAGCCAAGCGACACGCCAGTCGGGCGGCGCGGCTGACGGTGCACGTGGACCAAAAGTCCGAGCGGACGCTGATTGGCGGACGGCACAATCGCCCGCGGACGGTGTTCGCCGGCGCGGTGCACTACACCGTTTTCCACGGACCGTCCCACCAGCACTCGACGCCCGGATCGACCGCGTCGCCCGCCTCGGGCAACCACCAAGACCAGCAGCGCAAGAACAAGTCCGGACCCATCCAGCAGGAGGCAATTCATGTGTCGCTGACCGAGATCAAGGAGCTGTTCGCTGCCCAGTTGGGCGTGCCCAAGTCGGTGATCGCGATTTTTCTCCCCAAGATCACGCACCAGATGTCCTGCACCCCTGGGAGTGCAGCAGCAGCTTCCTCCAAGGTGGACCCGCAGAAGAGCGAGACCGTGAACCTGTGTGCGTCAGAGGAACTCACGGAAGAGCAGATCGAGGTCGACAAAAATTTCTGTGCGTGCGCGGGGAACCACGCCGACCTGGGTTGCCCCGAACACGGAGGTGGACCCAGCGCCACTGGGCAACATGGGACAAATGGTGGCACTTCCCACATCGGGGCAGCCGGTTCCGGCTCCGCGTCCGAGCAACCGACCTCTTCGTCCAATTTTAGCTTCAACCCATTTATGCACATGAATTTTCGCCTGCCCATGTTTCAGACCCCGCCGCTGCAGAGCAAGCAGGGGTGTCGTCCGCTCGAGACCAAGGAGATGATCGTGCAGGTGCACGTGTTCGCCGACAAAGTGTTCGGCTCCCGGCAACTGTTCCAAAGCGAGCAGGTGCGGGTGGTGGAAAAGGCGGACGATTTGTTTCAATTTGCGGACAGTGGGTTCTTTTCGCACCAGTACCGCAACGGCGTACAGACGTCGCAGTCCGCCTTCATCCCGATCGAAGGCTTCTTTCAGCTGGCGCCCGGGGTGCAGTGGACGGATATCGTGGGGCAAATCCGCGAGAAGTGGACCGAGGTGATAAAGGATGGTCACCATCCAAACGCGCTCTGGCATCATCGCCTGCCAAAAGGAGCGCAGCACACGCGGAAGTCCAGATTGCAGTACTTCGTCTTATTTGTCGATTTATTTTCCATTCGGTTTCCCTTCAATTTTAAGTGCGAAAGTGAACAAATCCGTTGCCAATGAGACCAGTTTCACTCTACTTAACTTAGGTTTGGATGTACGTACAAATAGAGGTTAGGTTGAGCAATAAGAGTACGTATTCGTAATTGTTTTGGTGGTCAAGAATCTGGCCCACCTCGCTCCGGCGCTTGCGGGTGAAGTATCGTACATTGTCAGATAGTAAACATCACCGTCAGGTACAAGCTGGCTCCGTCCGAAGTCGCGCAGGAAACGGAATGGATGTTGAAGGAGGGCAGTGTGGCGAGCAGAAGCAGTCAGGAGCAGGCAGTTCTGCCTTCCGAGGAGGAGCTGCGGTCCGCCGCCGGCATCCGCGAGGTGAGCCATGGGCAGGAGCTGATTATCTGGGCCCACACGGACGCGGTTCGCAACAAGCGAACCATCGACGCCACGCAGCCAGAAGACGAGGCCGCACCCGCGAAGCAGGCACTCGACCGGACGCAGGATTTGTTCCAGAAACTGAACCAAGCTTCGCTGACCATCCGCAGCAAGGAGGGGCGGGGTCACGTTGGCCGCGAGGCCGAGGAGATGCACGGCATCGCCGCAGCGGCGCAAAGTCTCCACGGCTGGCTGAGCAAGACGCCCGAGGACTACCCGGACGAGCTGGACCAGAAGGGCGCTTTTCCCGGCGTGTTTGTGTACTTCGACGAAGTGAACCAGAAGACGTATGGCCTCGCCAGCTACTGGTTCCGCAAGTCCACCCGGAAGTCGGTCCGCCAGGGCCAGGCGAAGAAGCTGGCGGACCTGCAGCGCGCGCGGGAGGCCGAGAAGGTCGAGTTTGCGTGGGAACGGAACAAGCGCGACCGCGAGGACGAGCTGCAGAAGGAGTACGAATTCGAGTATTACGCGAGCTACCTCCTTCAGAAAGCGCAACTCCCCCCCGGAGCTCCCGCGTTCCAGGACGACCAGGACGAAAGTACGTTTTGCGGCCGGGGCGCCGCGGGCGCCGTCGGTTACGCCGAGTCGAGCATCGGCGCATCGTCCTCCACCGGGTCTCTGGCTGGTTTGGCGTACCCGCAGCCGCAGTTGAGCGCCGCCGGAGCAGCCGGAAGTAGTCCGTTCTTGACGCAGCTGTCGCCTGCGGCCGGAGCCGCGATGTCCGCTGCCTCCCTGGCGGGTTGCGGAAGCGGAACACCATCAACTGGCACAGTAAGCAACCCGGTGCGCAGCACAACCGCCGCGTCGACACCGGCCGCCGCATCTACTACACTGGCACAGCAGCAGCAGCAGCAGCAGCCTAGCACTGCGGCAGCCGGGCCCGCTGTTGAGTTCGGGCCACCATCAGCACAGATGAACACCCCGCAATCTTCGCTGGCCGCCGCCTCGCCGGGCAGTGCCGTCTTTTCGGAGCAGGCGAACCACTTCAGTAAGTGGAATAGCCTGGCGCGCGGACCGAGTCCGTTCTCGGGCTGGGAGGGGGCCACCACCACGGGACCGCCGTCTTTCGAGTCAACGGTGTCGACCGGGTACTCCCACAGTGGCGCAGCCTCGGTCGCCGAGCCGCAGTGGGACAGCACTACGCCCGCCTGCTTCTCCGGCCAACAGCCGCAGTGGGGACCCGCGGGGATGCCTGGACCGTCCCCCATCTTCGAGGACGAAGACGTGGTGCAAATGGACCGCCAGCGCAGCCGCCGCAGCCGTCCAATAGGCAAGGGAAAAAGGCTCTGAATCACTACACGAAGCTTTGTTGTATCATGATTTTTCAACAGTAGAGTGCGAGGTTGTGGAAAGTCAACTTTTGCTACGTGTCACGACTATCATGTTGAAACGAAAACACATGCCACTAAGCAGGGTGGTCGTAAGTCGCGGTAGAGATTCATGCGGCTATCATGATTTCTTTGCACATCGAAAGAGATAGAAACGCTGTCTACTAAGAACACAGTCGAGGCTACGGATACGATAAGAAGATCTTTTTTCCTCGCATAGCACACCGGTTCCGCGCAGCTCGGCATCTCGCAGGCCCGCGGGCGCGTGGTGAGCTCCGCTTTCCCGAGCAATCAGCCGAAGGCGCAGACCTTCGGACCATTTGTGCTGTCGAAGCGGGCACGCGAACCGGACGTTTCGGCGCGAGCGCCGAACGGTGGGCCCCTGCGGCAGTCCCAGAGCTTCTGCCTCGGGACGACGTCTTCGTCTGGTCCCGCTACAATCGCCGAGCAGGAGCAGGAGCAGATGGTCCTCGATCACCTGAGCCGAAATTCCGGCGGCTTTTTAGGGGCGAGTTCGCTGTTTCCCTTCGTCCCGTTCCGGCCCCACCGTGCAGCTGCGACTGGCACTGTCGCGCAGGAAGAGGCGGGACCGCCGACCCGGCATCTTTCCGGCGCAGCGACCGCGCCCGTTCCGTTCAAACCACCCCCCTTTGCCAGCCTTGTTCCCGGCCTGGCGGCCGATATCGCACCAGGAATAAACCCGAGCGGAGCGGGGGATTTACAAGCGGAATCGGACACCGACATGGATTACGATGAGTCAGCGACCAAGAAGCACTGTGCCGCAGGGTTACGGGACCATCACGCGGCGACGACGGTAAATGTGCATGCTTGAAGTTACCTTCTTTTTGATTGTGCTACCACGGCCATTCTTGAGCTCTTCGAGAATAAAACAGCTTCTCATCGACGTGTTTCATGTACAAACTGCTCACAGAACAGAATCAAAAACAGAAGACCATCTACATATTACATACATGCAGGTCTCGGGGTCTCCGGTGGGTAGTTCTGTCGGGCCCGCATGGCTGAAGACTGCAGTAGAGGTAAACTTTTGTGTTAAGCTATGTGCTACTAGGACGAGATTAAGCCTGTGCTGGCCAGGAGGGTCGAAACCTCGGGAAGAATTGTAGAAGTACAAACATGATAGTGTTAGTGGCCACAGTCAAGATTGAAATTAAACCTTTTCACCATCATCGCAGGTGCGACTTATGGTGTCTTTGCGGGTATCGAATCAGAAGCACACCGTTTCTGATGAGGCTTGGGAGGCGGCAAGAGACCGACACAGCTGATGGAGAGAAGAGCAGCGCAAGAACGACCTGGCGCAAACATTAATGCGACAATGAAACTTTTTTTGCACGAGAAAGCAGAGAAAAAAAGCTGCATAGCGATCAATGTTTGGAAAATTTACCTAATTTGGACCGGGGGAGCTCGTTGATTGTTGGTAGCTAAGTACTTACCTAGAGGAAAAACAAAGAATGTGAAGGCTTTTACTTGATATTACCTGCAGCGACATTTTACGACAAGCTTTCGGCACACAGTATAAACACGACACGAGATACGAGGAAGCATAAATGCGACAGAGACAGAACGCAATAGACTAGGAAATGGTACGGCAGCAAGTTGCTTTTCTTCACCGCCATGATTTGACTACAGTTCTTATACACACCTTTTCCTTCTTGTTCTTCAAGAAATTGATTCACTTGTTTTTATCAGTTCATTTATTTTCTCCTTTTCATCATCTTCTTGTATATTTTTATTCGACAGTTCTTATTTCAACTCTTTCTTATCTCGAGAATTCAGCAAAAAATGAAGTCACACTAGCCGCACTACCATGATAATTATGACGTTTACGAGAATACAGTCGCGATCGATATTTTCTTCCACCACAACGACTAGGGCTATCGGTAGATATTGCAGTCCAGCACGTAGTTGGTCGGCATGTCATTCCTCTGCGGCCTCTCCTACATTTTATTTTAGTATTCATCGTCCTCTGGCGGTTTCCGTATTAGCACCGGAGTGGCTCTGCTTGCTAGGACATAGCCGGGGAGAGATTAAGTTAGTACTGAGGGGGCAGCTTTTGATGTTTGATTGTTCTTTTGCGTGGGTGCAAGACGCTGTTTCGTGTCGCACACCATCACGAACAGGCTATAATTTATGGCATTGTTCTAGAACGTATGTAACATCCCAACCCGTATCAGTGGAAAATTATGTTCTATGAGCACGCAGCCGAAGCTGCAGCAGAGACTCGCTGGTCCTACAGTCGCTTTTTATTTCCGATGACATATCTTCACTTTTCCAGAGAATAGTTGGATTATTTCAGGACTTCTACCATAAAAATAGACGACCGGAAAGACTTTTTTCCACATAATGAATTTTTTGTCTCTTCAAAACTAACTGAAAGCCTCTCACTCTCTCTGTATCTTCTAAACCGACACCGATGTTGTTCGGTTTTTATTGCTATTAACACCGAGACCAACCCCTTGGGTTTAAAGAAAAAATGCTACTTTCGTCGACGTAGCTTGATCAGCCATTTCTTTGTTGATTGCCGAAATGCTTTTTTTGGGATGCTCTAGCTCTTCGATCACTGCTCAATCAATTTGAGAATGACAGCTGGGCACTTGCTCCGTTGTGCGGGCGAGGTGAAGTCGCGCTGAATGAATGCATGTTGTTCTATAATTGCGTATTTGCTACAGGAGAGACAATGTGAGTGAAAAAACTTTCGCGAAAGCTCAGAGAGAGCACGAGATCGAGAGGAGACCTAGAATCTGACGGACCACAGACAGTGTTGAAATTTATCAGTTGGAATCGTTGGGGTGCAGCTCCGTGTGCAACATTTCTACTAGCGACCAAGTAGTTACGGGTTGGCGTTGATTCGTGTCGATTTAGTACGTTGGATTCTTGTCAACATCCGCACGGAACTTATTATCTAAGAGCCTACTTCTGTTTTTCTTTCTGCAAGTACGAAATCTGCTACGAAATCTGAGGAGAGAAGAAGAGCTTGTAGTTTTGAATAAGGACGACGAAAGTGCCATTATGTAAATGTTCGAGGAGAGTAGACTTCTACGGGAAAAAGGGTTTTGCCTGTTTCTTTAAACAATTGTGAAAATAAATCTCGAAATAGGTTCTCAGTACAAGAGGGTTCTGCGTACGTATCGTGGTGTAGTTTTTAGTTAAGCTCCCGTATCAACGGAAAGATGGAGGTGGTCGACATCGAAATGGGACTTCGGTTCCTCAGCAGTCAGGGTTACACCCTCAACGTCGCGGAGATTGCCATGCTTACTGCCAGTACTGTTTCTGTTTCAAATATATCGGATACTGTCTTGTGGGTGCTGTTTGTTCTCTTTCTGGTTTCTGCTCTGCGGCGAGGCATGACCCAAGCGATTCATTGCAACTACAGTACTTTTCTCCTTCTCATTCAACAGGTCTCTCGAAGCTTCAAGCAGACGAGAAATACGGTCGGATTTTCTTCTGGGGTAAAATCTTCGGAAAGACTCAGGACTACTACATCGCTTACGGAATCCGGGACAACGATATCGAGTTCCCCTCAAAACAGTTCTACTGCGCGTACTGGATGTTTTTTCCAATTTGAATTTTCTCATCAAGCCTGAACATAAGCAAAGGAATGAAGAGACACGGTGCCACCATTCGTCTGTGAATTTTGTCGACCTCTTTGTTCATTCCTCATATCAACAGGACGGGCGAGACCTTTACGTTCGGCGATTTGGCTTTGCTAACGGACGACGAGAAGGCTATGATCGAAACTTTTCCAGCGGAGACTCCCTTCAGCGGTGAACCAGACTGCTTGCTCTTCCCAAAAAAAGAGGGTATAAGTACTGGATATTTAGTTTTTCTTTCATGCACAATGATTTTTTTGCATTTGCTGCTGGATCTAGTTGCAATTTGAAATCCAAATTTCGCAATATTTCGCAGATGACCCAGAGGAGATGGAGGAGAGCCCGATCACCGAGCTGCACAGGCTCTCGTACACCATCGGCGCCATCGACGCCGAGACCTCGGTAGTACCAGCAACCGCCTTTGTCCTCAACGACGCACACCAGGTCGTCCCAAGTGCGGAGTACGCAGGCCTGAGCTGGTCCGAACTCACCGATCTCGGCAGCTTTGCGCATTTCAGGCCGGCAAGCGACGTATAGATGTCGAGTTCTTTTTTATTTGTATTGCTATTGTGTGAGTTTCTTGCATATGAAGAAGTGCTTAGTAAGTACTAGGTTCCTTGTTGCACCCCTACCGCATGACAATGACTAGATGCTCTCATCGGCGGCAGGTGGCATGATCATGATCAATTTTCCTTGCTGATTGAAACTCCACAGATCGGCAAGCAGCGCGCAATGGCAAAGGACGACGTGGAATGGAAGAACTCGAACTTTCTGGACCGCCTGACCACGAGCCTGCCAACGGGGTGCTGGGCAATGCGATCCGACGCTACCGTCAGCTCGGTAAATGAAGAATAAGCGCACAATCAAGAACAGTAGAGTACTTGTGTCGAGTACAGATGTTTTTCTTCACAGATCTGTTGCCGGCTTTTCTTCATTGCGTATTTGTTCTGATACTGATTTTTGTCACAAAAAAAACATGATGTTAACAGGTACAACTGCGATCCCTGATGTGGCCGGGCTACGTGTTCTACGCTGTGGCAGAAAAGAGGTACTTCGGCTCTGTCTACATCGGTCATGGTCTGCAGAACTCTGACTTGCCCTTCCTGCTCTAAGTAGCGAGAGTAATAGCAGGTCGCGAAAGAAACACGAAGCGATGATTCGCGATGAAAAAGTAAGAAGAAGCAAGATACGCATGCGCAACAAAAAGAGTCACCAAAGAAATGCTAGTAGCCAAGAGAACAGATAAACCTCAGGACCATGGCCAGCTTGATTAGACTTAGCAGAACGTCACCAGACAAAGGAATATTGGAACCGAGAACAGATTTTATCGAGAATAGCAGCAGCAAAGGAACTTCAGAGCCGATTCTGAAAGAGCCGAGAACAGTGAATCAATAGCACAAATGAGAGCCGCGACGTGAATAGTCGAAAATTAATCCTGCATTTCGCGCCGATTCTTACACTAAATTATTCATTGTACTAAAATTTAGAGCGTGTGTGTGACGGAATGCGATTCGAAGTTTATATGCTTTGGCAGATTAGGAAATGCGGATAATGTTGATTGCAACGGATTAGTGCAGCCTGCACTTGTACAGCTTCTGAATAGTTTTAGAAAATGAAATAATGGGCTCTTCCAGCGGATCCCAACAGTATTGAAAAGTCACAGGCTTGACTAGATACGCCTTTGCTTAAGGTGCTATTTGAAACGCACTGAGTTCTCTGTGAGTTCCAGGGTTGCTGTTCATATTCATATGGGATTGAAACACTGTCACTGCAAGATGTTTGAGTGATAGCGCATACCTAGGTGGCTGCATGCAGCAAGGACTCTCCGACGTTGTTATAAAGATGACACGGAAGCTGATGATCATCGGCAAATAAGTCCCAACTGTAAATGAATACATCGACAACACTTGCTTCTCTCAGGACCCTACTCTTTCTTTTTGGTTTCCACCAAATAAACTTTTTAGCAAGGTAAAATTTGCTTGTACTTTGTTGCTCTGTGCTGTTTCAGCAATATAGAAATCAATGCATGCTCTCTGCTGGTCGTAACGCGATTCGGCTGGTTTTATGTTTGGGTCGTGTTTGCAACAAATAGATCTTCTCTTCTCCATACCGTTGCCCACCATGAGAAACTCGGACTGCCCACCTTGGACAAAGTAAAAACTACTGTGCGCAATCAGTAGCTATTTCACGACGTTCCTATGCGCAGCGACATGAACTTGCTTCTGCATGTTTTTCTGCTGACAACCGTGGTCCATGCAGACCCGGTGCTGGGCTCCGTCGATAGCCGGACGGTGTGCGCTCCCGCCGCCATTCGCACGCCTCTGCAGAAGCTGGAACTGCAACTCTCCTGGCCAAGCACGGAGCCGCAGAGCGGCATGCAAAAATTCCAGGACCAGCTCGCCCTCTTCGCCGGCGCTACTAGCTCCAGATCTGTCCCCTTCACCCTGTCCGCAAACCCCGTTCCCCGTGGGTTATTGTGTAGGCTGCTCTTCAAGCACGCCCACTACTACGTCACGAAGGTTTTCGCGCCCTTTCTGTGCGAAGACTGCCACGACGGCTGCGCACCGAGTTGCGTGGCGTACCCAGTGTACAAGGAGGACAGCAGTAGTGCGCAGCAGCAGCGGAGTAGGACGACCGCACCAGGCACGGCCTACTATGCGGAAGACGAAGCAAGACCCGAGCCGCATGCGGAGCCCATAAAGCAGGCTTGCGAGGTGAACAGTCCCGCACAGTGCTTGTTTCTGGAATCCACGAAAGCGAATCTGCCGAGAAATTTGAAAGCAGATTGGGTCATCCAGATTGATCACCTGCGGGTCTTCCTCCTCTTCAGCGGCATTTTCTCCGTCCTTTTCTACAAAACCCTTGGGCGGTCGCAAGTGGTGCACTGGGCGCTGGGCGGAGTGTTGGGGTTGCTGCTGTTCGCGAGCGTGGTGATGTACTACGCGTTCCGGTCGACCAAGAACGCGCTGCCGTTTGGGCAGAAAACCTTCGCCATCATGAACATGATGGTCATTCTTGCGCCAACAATGGGGTTGTACGCATGGCAGACAATGCTCCCGTCCTTCCAAATGGTGCAGCAGCTCGTCGTCACAGTGGCCAGTTTGCAGGACCCGTATTGACGAATTTGTCATATTTATAGCGGCGCCACATTAATTTTAATGGGGTTTCATCTTTTTTTTGGTCTTTCTTTGTTTAACTAAAGTATTTGGAACACCACCAGAAGAAGGCACTTGCCCTAAAACGACACGACAACACAGGTACTACGAGTTTCCAGTAGGTGCGGTCGTGGTTGGCCTTGCCCTGTTAAGCGGCATCATGTTCGGGCAGTACGTGTTCGGCGTGAAAGAAACAGACATCCCGATGGGTCAAGACATCGCATTCACAATCGCGAGCAACGGCGCCAGGATAGACCACATTCCCGATGAAGACGACTCCAGCCGGGCGAGGAAGTTCCTGCAGTACGGAATTTTCGTCTACGGCATCATAGCCGTGCTGAAGTCCACAACCGTGCCAGCTATGAACATCTTTATCCTCTTTATACTCCTCGCCTGGAACAGCATTTGGCACAGTATCGAGTCCTGCAGAATGCGAAGAGAGGTAAAGAACGTGGTCGTACTTCCTTTCATACTTACATACGCTATGGCTTGTTTCAGCATTGCAACTGCATTTGCATATAATAAATTAGGCCTTCGAACAAGGTGGAGAAGTTTCGACATCGTGTATGAACTTCGCACGAAAATAACAGGTGGCGTCACAAGCGGAGATACATACCAGCTATCTCTCGCCGAAAGAATATTCCAAACAGGCAAAGGCAAACACGCAGAAAGAACTAGAGAAGCTGCGCGCTTTTCTCACGTCGCAGGATGGAAGAAAGCACATAACAAACGTATTCGACTGCTTTTGATTCTTTGGTTTTTTGTGGTGTCGCATTTTCTTTGATTCTCGTGCTACTGACGAAGTCGATCTCGATGTGCAGCCAGCACTGAAAATAAAAGCGTGTCATTTTTTAATGTGAAGTGTTTCCATAGGTCCGAAATAACGACTCGGAGCTGAAGGTGCGGAAATTCGTGGACGGGGGGAACCATGTCGAGGCGAACATGGCAGAAGACGACGACGAGGACGGCGACAGACCATGGTGGAAGTCTTGGTGAGCGCCTGCGCCGGCGCGAGCAGTGCGACTGCTCGACTGGCCTCTGCACCATCGCCGCGCGCATGCGCAATTGGAAGGACTCCGGAATCTTCACGAACGCGTGTGCCATGCGTCTTGCATGTTTTTTGCGCATGAAATTGTCCTTTGATGACGACAGAAATGCACCGATGTTATTGAATCAAGATGGCTCCCCTGCCAAGACGTAAGATATTTTCCCGCGGCGTGGTCCCCCCACGCATGTTCCATTGAAACGACACGACGCGACTCATTCATGTCTTTCTGTATCACTGTCACGCGAAACGCGAAGCAGACAGATACGATAGCTTATCCTGATGACAAAGGAGATGATAGCTGGCTGCAGTTTCGCTTACTGCTCTCTGTACGTAGCTATATTAATTTCGTCTCCGAGTAAGTAGTCGTCGACCAAGAACTTCAACTTCGTCCGTACATGAGAAGGAAGAGAGCAGCTTTATTGTGTCGGACGAGCAACATGGACTGGATTTGTATTTGATATACTTTTTCGACGTGGAGCAGAACGAGGAGAATAGAGATGAGTAGAGATACAGATAAAATCGCCTGAGTGCAGCTGTCGTTCGTGAAGAGGCCACGACAAGAAAATGATGAGACGAAAAATTTGGTTTTTGTCCGAATACTCGCGTCTCTCGTGGTCTTGTCTAGCGGGGATCTTGGTATTGCATTCTAACTCGAGAAACCGATATCAGCACGACGTGGAAGCACATGGAAAAGACATCACTGAAATTCAATCAAAAACCAACAACTAGGACACGCAAGATACCTTTGAGTGGTCTGACAGCTTCGATTGTCAAGAGGACGTGACAGCTCGGGCTGAAGAAAGAAATTCGAAGAAAAATAAGCACACAATATTACGTACAACCGTATATTCAGAATAGAAGCACTGTCACGACCATGTCGTCCTCTGTGTCGAACCTCGTTGCAACTTTTTTCGTTGCCTCCTTGAATCAGGTGTACATCGTGTACGGAAACTTGAACCTGCACGACGCCAAGGAGCACCACGCTCCGGCAGCGCAGATGGGTCGGTTTGGCATCAAGGGTTCGGGCGCAGAGACTTACCTGGACAATTCCGACGGCTCCACGGACACGCCCCCCGAGGAGGACACCTCCAGTGGCGACGAAAAGGCTCTGCAGCGACCCCGGGCTCTGCTGACCGACAAACACCCAAAGCACGCCGGGGGCGCGCGAACGGGAGTGGCCAAGACCAAGCGAGTCGGTATAGGTGGTCTGTGGTGTGACGGTCCTCAATAGATATTTTAAGCGAGCGCGACTTTGTTCTTTGTTGTCTCTTTAGCATTCCCGGTAGGTTGTAGCTGCTTACACTTGAATGACAAATGAAAATCAAGAAACCTAAAACTACAGGCAACAAGGCTCTGACGATGAAGTCGGCTAACCTTGCCGGATTGGAGGAGCCATCGGATTCCGAGGCCAATTCCGAACCGTCGGAAAACTCGGATGGCATCGAGATCTTTGGCGACGGTTCCGTGGCCGAGGACGATGTCTTGGATGGCCGACCGAGCTCCATGCGCATGGCTGGAAACACGGTGGATCGGTTCGGAGACGCAGTGAATGGTATCTATAGATACATAATGAATTCTTTTCACGTTCTAGGTCGTTCATTTTCGTGCCATGTTGTAGATCCGCAATGTTCGTGGTCTTTCCCATGCCGGGCAAATTGTTCAACCGGAAAAAGCTGCAATCGTCTACCTTTCAAACACACCTCCCAGGTGAGCAATACCTTTCGCTCGGCACAGCGAGCATGCGATGGGTGGATCAGCGGGAGTTGGAGGAGGAAACCAAGCGGATCGAAGAGCTTACCATGCTGGAGGCGCGGACCAGTCACACATCGGTATTTTTTTTTCTTTGTTTTTGTTTGTATGAATCGTACGGCCGCCAATGGCTTCGCAGCTAGCTTAGAAAATTTGAAATCATACATAGTACAGCGGATGCGGAAGCAGTACGATCGCGATTGAATCAAAACTGAATGTCGCAGGTTTGGGCCGGTGTGTGCACCCTGGGAGTGATGGCTTTGCTCGTGGGCGGGGGACTGTACTACCACAAGCAGACCACGTCGTCGATCCTGGACGACGAATTTGGAACGGAATTGAAAATGACGGAGCCCTGAGAGGAGAGTGGCGAAAAACGGTGACGCACGGTTTTTGAAAAATAATCAAATTAAAACCATCGGAAAACGAGTATTTTTGCACTTTTTTGTTGATGTAAAAAACCTATACTCGTTGCAGTATCGATTCCTATTCAGTCGTAACGCCTGTACAAAAACAAGGAATTATCTTGACATTTCCGAACGTATAAATATGACTGGAATCCTCGCAACTAGTCGGTTCCTTCGGATAGTACAACTGTAACACCTAACATTGTAAGCTACGGTTTATTTCTTGTATGATTTACTAGAAGACGCAACTTCTTGTACCACGTCGACCTAAACTTCACTCCGTCCCGCAATGTACCTATAAAAAATGTTCGTATCCACTAAATTCGTTGACAACTACAGTGTATCAATTGTTCTTTCTGCTTGATTGTATTTGAGTATCGCCACGTGCACGGCGAGTCTTTCATCATTTGTATTTCAGCCTGTATTGACGAGTTACGTTTCGAAGAAAGAAATCCGACTTGATGTTTCCTGTACAACGAACGCAATCCTCAGTATCCTGACAGAGGCAGCTTTTTGCCATTGCCGCTGCCTTTCCCGCTCTCGCAACTTTCGACTCTTTTGTTCCATCGCTCGAATAGCCGAATTCGATTTGCGTCTTCGTCGTCACTAGCAAAGTGGTCCGTGCCTGAGCGTGCTTCGTCGCAGCGAGAGCGTTTTGTTTAAAAGTAGTAACGAATTTGCGACGTTTCAAGGAGTACCAGATGCGGTCTTCAGCGTTGAATGCCTTCCTGCGTACAGAATCTGCATGCCTTCACTAAAGTATTTTCTTCTTCAAACTTTCCGAGATGAGAAACAGAAGCAAAGTGTCCTAGTCTGAACTCTTCTTGGACTTGCAGACATGCAAATCAGATGGACATTAACAAGAGCTACCACCATGCTACGAACTAGGGGCCCTTGCCTTCGCCGTTGACTCTGAAAAGCGATATACAAAAAGTTTCGTGATTCTTGCTAAGTACTGTGGATTTAGAGCAGCCTTTTCTTCTTGTAGATGTTGTTGGGTTGTACCGGTGGCATGAGTTGAGAAAAGAAAGGGACACGCTATTGATTCAAATGATGGGCAAGCAAATGACGGCTGCGGCGCAGCTGAACACTGCCTCTCCCTAGGAAAAGGGGAGATCCTCCACGCTTTCGGGCTTGAGTGCCGTCCTTTCGGTTCCTCATCTGCGGGAAATAGGGGCGCAGTATCAGTAGCAAGAGCCCTTGCAAGAATGGCCGCCGCTGTGGTTGCTCACCATACCGAGGAGAAAGGTACACGTGTGATTTTTTTCAGTTTTTGGAAGATGCCATGCGGCTTGCACAGCTCTTCGTGCTGTCCGTGGATGATAGATATTTCTATAATCGGAAATCATGAGCGAAAATTTTATCACAGGTGGTCCATCCACTACCTCAGCGAGCAACGACCACGGTGACCAGGAAATGGAAGAACAGAAACAGCACACGCCTTCGGTGACCGACACACTGATGGCGACACAAAAACCTCTAGCAATCCAGATTGAGCTTATCGCACGGAAAAATTACGGGTGGTTCTACATCACACCACGACTCAACTGCATCATTGTTGCATGCACCAGAAATAAAATCTTTTGATCGAACCTTCGTGGATCAATATAGTTGGTACTTCTCTACAATCTTACGTATACTCGCATCAACATACACAGTACAAATTAAGAAGACCACGCGCATTATTTTTCCTGTTTATTTCTTTCCCCTGTTACAAGGGTGCGAGCAAGCCGGACGGCACGCAGCGGTACACGACGCTGCAGCTGAAATTGCTGTGCGGTGGCATCAATTTCTTCCACCGCCATATCCGCACGGACAAGGACGTGAAGCAGCGGATGCGCGAGAACGAGGCGTTTCCGAAGTTCTACGAGGAGCAGTACCACTACAATAAGCAGGACACGCTGCCGTCGGTCTTCCGGACGTCCGTCCACGACACCTCCGCGTTGCACGTTTCGTCTTTCATTCTGTCCATCCTCCACCAGGGTATCTTCAGCGTGTCCGCCTTCGTGATCTCCATCATTTACCTGTCCCGCTTCAAGGAGTGCAGCCACATCACGCTGCACGCAACCACGTGGCGTCCGCTGTTTCTGGTCACTTTGTTGATCTCGGACAAGATGTGGGAGGACAAACCGGTGCGGAACAGCTCCCTGGCGAAACTCTTCCCGGTGTTGAACAATAAGGAACTGAACCTGCTCGAGAACAGCATGCTGCAGTCCCTGGGCTTCAACGTTTTGGTCAAGCCGGACCTGTTCTGCTCCTTCTGCGAAAAACTCCTCATGGAAGCGGTAATGTTCCCATTTTTGCTTTGGATTTGTACAGTTGATGTTCTTGTTCAGCTCTCTAGATATGACAAGTCCAAACCTCGGGTTTGGAATTGGAAATGAGAAAAGGAAATAAAGGATTTCAAACTAAGATTCAAAAATAAGCCTTCGAGGGAGCATTGTGCGTCATTCAAAACGAAACAGGTCAGTCCCGAGATCGTGGAGCAGGCGATCCAGTCAGATTTTGGGCAGGGTTTGATGGCGGAGCCGTACTGCGTGCGTGGCATCGCTGAGTTGCAACAGCCCATGACCAATGTCGACCTTGAGGACGACATCTTCGGTTGCTACCCGACGGAGAACTGCCTGCAAGCCGACCACCTGCCCGAGGAACTGTACACGAAGATGCTGGTCGCCAAGGGTCAGCGTGCGGCCGGCCCGACGCTGACCACCGGAGAGGTGTTGCCACTAGCGACGCGCTCGCCAAACACAACCGCTGCAGGAGTGGCTTTGGCGGGAACGACTACGTCAGTGACGCAAAGCGAACGGGCAAAGCCAGTCGAGGTGTCCCCGGCGCCAGGTGTATTACAAGTGGAGACTTCTGCGGCGGGTGGCGCTGGCGGCGCCGGTACGGCGGGGACCGTGGCGGGTGGCTTGGCCAACTCCGCGAGCTTGGTGATTAAGCAGTACCAATCAACAGTGTCCGTTGCCGCGCCCGGCATACACGCCCTACCATCGACGTCGACCACACAGGAAGTGGAAGAACAAGCGGCACAAACCAGCAAGGAGCAAGGAAGTACAGTCGTACCGCAGCAACAGCCGCAAATAATCGTGAACCCAGCAAGGTAAGCCGAATGGTGGTGATGCTATTTATTATCCGATCAAAGATAGAACGTTCTTCAACATCATGACGACAGAAGGTCTCCGCGTATACAACATAAGAAGCGAAGAATATGAACAGAAATTGATTTATCAATGCCCTCTCATCCGGATGAACTCAGGCGTGCCCAAAGCACCGACCCCACGCGACCTTCAAAAGCGGAGAGCTCGAGGTCAGGCTCGCAGCGGCCCCCGATGTTTAAACTCGCGCCCAACGGCTTCAAGCTTGGCACGCCGTTTATGTTCCGAAAATCTTTGCCAGCAACAATGAACACAGCGCAAAAGAGACCAACAGGTGGCGCTGCGAACGCTGCAGGAGCTGCGGCAGGTATAGTGATTGTGTCGCTTATTTTAGCCTGTTGCCGCCGGCAACAGTCAGAGGGCGACGAAGTGATCACATGCAGGCTATCTCTGGAAATGGAAAGAGTTGTACTTAAATTGGAAAGAAACTACAGGTGGTGCACAAGATCCCACATCGCAGCTGCCACACCAGACGCAGGTGCTCGGGTCGCAGCCGCAGCAGTCGGGCGTGCCCGGTTTCTTCCTAACGCGACCTCGGATTCGTATGCACCCCTTTGGGACGAACCCACGCTCCGCTAGCGCTCATCCGGTGCAGCAGCGCGCTGTGGTCAAAAAAGCCGAGCAAGTTGCAACTGCGCAGCCGGTAGCGGTACACCCATCCTCCTCGTCGTCCAGTAAGGAAAGCAACCCGCCAGCAGCTGCTTCTGTCGCAGCCAGCGCCGTTGCCGCCAACGCGGCCGTTCCCACAGCCTACGTGACGAAGAGCTCGAGTAAGGAGCAGGTGATCGCACACCAGGCAGCACACGGCAGCAAGGGAACTGCGTCTCCGGTAGACGCAGAAGACGCAGCAGTGCTCGCTCTGGCAACCGCTACCGAGAGCAAGTACAAGGCGTCGCCGCTGCAGGAGCAGCTCAAAACGAACTCTTCACTGCAGCACACGACGTTGCCTGCGCAACCCCGCGGCGATGTGCAGCACCCGAGTAGCTCCTCTTCCTCCCTGAGCCGGTCCGGAACCGGTGCCCCAGGAACTTCGGACAGCTGGCAGCAGATGAGCATCCCGGGAGAGCAGGTCCTGAGCGGAACCGCGCCACTCGTGAAGGATGTCCGGCCGTCTGCGGGTTCGGTCGACCACCTCACCGCCACCACCGGAAATAACAAATACCAGGATCAGGTCGCCAAGCAGTACACCCAGCCACAAAAGCAGTACTCCAACACGAGCGCGCCCGCGGCCTACGGGCAAGCGAGTACCCCGGAAATCCAGTTCGACGCCCGGCAGGTGAACGCGAGCAGTGCGAGTATTAGTACAACAACTCAACAACCTCCGTCACTGGCGGCGACGAACGTGCCGCTGCTGATCGCTTCGCAGCTCCCGAGCGGGATTCGCGGGCCCCACAACGCGCGCGAGGACTGGCGACCGCGGAATCTCAGCTTGGGCCGGCCGGGCCGAGCGCAGGCGGTGATTCCGTCGCGGGCCATCGCGACGTTGAATCCACGGACCACTGGTCCCGTCGTGGCCGTGCATCCGGCCTCCAAGACGGGCGGGAAGGACGAAGGTTCAGGGGCAAGCAGCGCTTCCTCCTCGAGCCGGGCCGCTGGACCGCAAGCGGCCACGACACCGCAACCCGCAGCCAGCACGCCGCAAACTAATGCGGCACAGCCGAGGAGCAGCAGTTTAGGTACGATTCGTCTAGTTGTACTCCACTGCGGCCCAATCTACCTTCCTGTCAATGTTGACGATCAGTGAAAATGTCAAGACATGTACTAGTTGTTCAACTCTTTACAAGAACAAAATCGAACCAAAATCAACCAACGCTCGGACAGGTCGGTTCGGTTTAATGCCGCAGAGGCTTGGTATGCAGCTTGGGAACCCCAGCCGCATGCAAGTGAATGTCGTTCCGAAGCTAGCGGCCTTCAATGTTGGCCAGATGGGTAAGCGCGTGTTTTGATCATTTCAGTTGTCATTTGAAGTTTGGCCGACTTGGGTTTATGCAGATGGACGCTGTTCTTAGACCGCATGCACACCCATACGCATACCAGCTCACGCAGCCGATAAAGTGAAACTCACAAAAAATCAGGTTCCTCCACTACCGCCTCATCGGCGCAGAGCAGTGCGCGGCCGCAGACACCGCCACCCGCTGCGGTGATTGTGACCAACGCCGACGGGACGAAAAAATACATTCCGCCAGCCCGGGCTGCGTCGGCGCCGCGGGTGGTGGGCGGCACAGGTGGCGGCTTTGTGACCCCGGGCGTTCCCCATCCGGGTATCGCAACGCCAACCAGGCCGCTGATAAACCAGAATTTGATTACGCGAGGACTCTCTCCCCTGCGAGGACCCCTGTTGTTCCGCGGTCGTTCGCCGTCCATCAGGACGAACACCGCGGCTGGAACTGTGACCACTGCCGCACCTTTGGTGCTCGCACCGGGCAGCAACGGACCAACACCAGTTGCACAAGCGGCGGTTCCGAGCGTGCAGGGCGGCGCGAGCAGTAAATAGACGAGAAGTGTTGCAGCTAGATTCGCGGCAAGGAACAAAGCGTTGCGCGCTCGTCTATCCATGCTGGCCTGTTGAGCTGCAGGAGCTCATCTATCATTTCCCAAGCTGTCTTTTTTGTTGGACAGGATTTTCCCTTCCTGAAATTAAATCTGAACTTAGAATTGGATTTGGAGTATTGGCTCCATCCAATTCGCCTTACATCAATATACGTTACCTTTGAAGATTTTTATCGACGGAGAAATTTGTATACTTACGAAATGAGGCTGGCTTTGCCTTTGTGTTTTTCCAGTTGGGTGCTCGTGCTCCAAAAACAAAGCTTTTCTGGGGCTGAGCGGATGCTTCATTTGGAATTTTTAATCTGTGAACTTGATGCAAATGAGATCGAGACGACATCGATGCAGAGTCCTGTCAGAGTCGCACAGCAAGCGCGACTAGAAAAAAGTTCGCAGCCTTCCCAGGCAGCATCTCCAGAACTTTCATCACAACTGGTATCCTCTTTCGATTTCGATCGAAATGTTCCGTGGGTGAACATTTGTGTTCCTCTCATTTCCATGACGCGTTGGTTCACTTTGGTGTCAGGAGCTATCAGCGCGACCACTGTTCTTGACATTTTCGCGCGTTGCTCTTTTTTGCTGGAAGAATTGTGGTTCCACAAAGTTATCATGTGCTGCCACGAAAGCTTCGTTTCGCACATGAGGACAAAGCAGATGTACGCGGACAGCCACAGCATGATAAACGATCCAGCCAGAATCACAAGCGATCGCAGTGAGTATGTTGGCTTTTTCATTATGGAAGCGCACCGAGACACATAGATCCTCACTTCGATCTGTAGAAGAAGATATTTTGTTCAGTTTCGTTTTTTTCCCAGTGGTCTTCTACCACAGTCGCTGAAATGATCTTGATCTGCGTTTAGAGATAGGAAGCTTGCCTGTGGGTATTCCTTGTTTAAGTGAAACAGCATTTGTGCTTCAAAATGCAGTTGGCGTTCGAGCGTCAGAGGAATATGAAGACATTTGACCTGCTGCTGGACGAGGTGGCGAGGGCGCAGCAGGCAAATCCGGCACCTGTAGTGGACGCTCAAGGGATAGACACGGACGCTGGCTTACACTTACTCCGGAACGTTTTAGACGGGCGCGGCCCTAAAGACACCTTCGCTATTCCTGTCTTCTTGGACTCTGCCGAACCTGTAGCGGTTCGGCTGAAAAAGAGCGAGGATTTGGTCAGCACGAAAGAATCTTCTGAAACTGCCGAGAACCTCCACGACCCGCAGGTACAGGAGCAACGTGGATTTGTCTTCCAGCGTAGGTCTTTCCAGGAGCTACTGGATGCTGATGCAGAAAACGAGGGCCTGATGGCACAGTTTGTTGCGAGCCACGAAAAGGCGCGGGCGGGAAAAGAAAACCAGCCAGGAAGCAGGGTCGGGAAAGACGACCCCGGCTCTGTCAAGGAAGCAGCCACGAAAGAGGATTCTGCATCTTCTGCAGCAGATATTGCACCGGATACGTCTGGTAACAGTGTGAGCAAGGATTCACCCGCCGAACCGGCGCCAGCCGGCGCCGCCGTAGTACCACCAAAGCAAATAAAAGGCGCGGAGAATAATACCGGAATGACCTCATCTTGCCCTAAAAGAGAAAAGCCTGCGGAAGCGCAGAAAATCAAACAAAAGCCGCTAGACTTTGAGGATACTCTACAGAACATGATTGTTCTTGATCAGCATCGGCGGTACGGAGCGCTCTTTTCCCAGATGAAACGAGTCGGTCACATGAATCACGGAAATCGCCGCGCACGTGCAGTGCTGCCTCCCGGGCTGACTACATATCGAACACCGCCATCGGGAGGCTACCGCAACAGTTGCTGCGCCGATGGGGGGTATGCGCCGTTTGAGAATGCGGATTACTGCACATCGCTGAGTAAAGCCGCAATCGAGGTTTTTGTTGGTGACGTGCCGCTAGTTGAGTTTCTAAATGATCGACAGAAAAGCGATATTGCGGAAACGTTACGCCACGAGCTCGGGTTCGATTTTGATATTGAGTTCGAGTTCGTTCGGCTGGATGCCGGATGCACGCCAAAAGAAGTCGACCGAGATCCAGAGCGCATGCAGAGAAAAAACCACTACTGGACGGACAATCGAATTCCGAAAAAGGAATATTCAGTAGAATCAGCCGGTAGACTTTCATGCGAATGGCGCGCTGAAGCGGATTATGTACTCGAAAAAGCAACCAGAACCATTGGGCCGTCCGGTTTCACACGAGTTGATGTGCTCACTCCGTTAGAGGCGAAATCTGATGATGAAGATGTCGACTACGAACACTTTATGAAGGAGCTGCGTGCGAAACAAAGAACTGCCGAAGTTTTACCAGGCCCTCGAGCGATAGAGAGTCGGACGCGCGATTCGCTGCCGAGCAGCCGTTTTCGCGGTCGCGACGGAAAAGAATTTCCCGGGCGGCACAGGACTGTGCGTAACGCTGTGTTTCACGATGGCCCCGATGCGGACGAAGAGCGCCGCAACCTTTATGGGTCGTCCTCCGATGAGGAAGACGCGGCAAACACTGAAGCGGCAAACGATGACCAGCAGCAGCCCGAAGATGCACAGGAGTACGCGTGGACCAGCGACTATGATGTGCTAAGACGTCGCGACGACGTGCGAGCACGAACTGTTGGAACACTAGCGATATCGCTCTCCTCGGGCGCGTTCTGTGACTCGCATCTTTTTGACAGTGCCGAGGTCGGAGACGTGGTTGATGAGATTCATACTCAGTTTCGTACTTTTCAGAAAGAAAACTGGGGTAAACACTGGGAGAAAACGGCGGATGGCCGTCGTGTAGAGCTGCCCCTGGGATTTCGTCTCGAAGAAATTCCGTCCGAATATCAGCAGTACCTCCGAGTAGAGGAGAACCCGAAGGCCGAAACGTCGTCCAAAATGAGCAAGATATGCGACGCAGCAGAAGGCGGGAACGCCGATTCGCCAAAGCCGAAAGATCCCCACAAGCAGCTCGGGAGTCTTGCTGTTGTGCGCGGAACCAATCTTTCCATGTACGGGTTCACTCACGGCCATGCCGCAGTTGCGGTGTTTCGCATACTTCGGAAGCGAAAGACCCAGCTGATTGACCGCGCGTTGCTGCTTGACGAGCTAGCTTTTTCCGACGACGAGGAGGATGAGAACGAGCAACACGTGCGGCGCCGGCGTCCTCTGCGTTTTGTGCTCGAGCACCCAGAGTTTACGGAGTTTCACAACTTGGAGTTTCGAACCAGGAATGAGGCTGCCCAGGAGGTGGCGCGGGTACTTCTCAAAGAGGAGCGGCGAATTCGCAAATCCGCTGGGGAACTAGCGGAGGACGTCCTAGAAGATGACCGGTTTGATGGGGAAGAGTACAGGAAGCAGTGGGTGTTGACTCCTGCAGAAGAAGAGCACGAGGAAACCAGTTTGAGGATCGAAGACACAGAGGATACCGATCGTGTACCGCATCTAGACGTGCAGACGTTGCAAGTTGTTCTTTCACAGCTCTGGGAATCGGAGAACTTCCTGCCGAGCGGCGGCGTCGTCGGGTTTCCGTCCCACATGCCGTACTCCCGAAGAGATTTGTTTCCTTTCAGGAGTGACAGCACCGCCAAGCCCCTGCGGAATCACGCAAGAAAGCGCCTCGCCGGCAGAGACCGACTTTTGGTGGATGCGTTGGCATCTGCCGGTCTCGCGACGCAACGGCGTGGTTGTGCGTCAACGTCATTCGGAAACTTGCGTGGCGAGGACGATGATTGCCTGGCGTCGCTAGCAACGCCAGCAGTTATTGAAAGAGCTGTCGTCTACTACCAGCCGCGGCTGTCCATTATGGACGGGGAACCCGTATCTTTCGCGGACAGTAGTGGTGGCAGTCCAAATCGTCCTGACGCCTACCAATACCTTCGAGTGCCAGATCTAGATATTCTTACGGGACTGCCTATTTGCCGCTGGAGATCGCGTCATTTGACAGATCCAGATATTCCCGGGGCTGCAGCGGCCTTCGCGACTGTCGGCGGCATTTTGACGAAAGCCGACAATGCGCTTCCCGTCTCCGGGTCAAACTCTTTCGTCACGGAGGAGGACGCTCTGGCTTACAACCGCGAAACGAAGCACTTTCTGCAGAGAATGAAGCGGCTCGCCGAGTTTTCATCCTCTCTCCAGTCTCTGTCTCATTCTGAAGGATCGCAGATGGGGGCTGCCATGGAGCTGGGTAAGGCTAAACAAGCGAATGCACAAAGTGAAGCAAAACAGTATGCTGAAGAAGTAAGCCGGCCAGTGGCAGGTCAGGTTCAGAAGGTGGAGGTAGAGAATCACGTAGCTGTCACCCATTGGGTGACCACCGCAAGCAACATGGAGAGTGATTTGATTCACGGAGGGTCCTTGGCTCGTGCAACTCGCAATTGTTGCAATGGCGTCCCCCTTGTCGGACGGGAGCTGCCATTCATGCGCCTCTTTGCTTGGCCTGCACCCCTTTGTGGCGACCAAGATCCCTGTGCGTTTCCGTATTCGTCGACGTTGGAGCGCGTCGATGCACATTCGCGAAAAAATGTGTTTGCCGAGATCGATATTCTACATAAGATGCCGACCCAGGTACGGTTGGGAATTGTTGGCGTTCTCAAGTTGGTTGTGCCTCCATTCAAAGCACGAGTACGATGCCAGGATTACGAGCTTCTGCAAACAGAATTTCACTCGTGGTCGTCTGACTCTTGTTGGCGGTCACAGGTGGGCTCCATACGTGACGACGGGGGGCCGGTCACTTTTGGCGAGGAGCTTTGTCTTGCGTTCGGAGGCCGCGACGGTGCTGCTGCTGCGGCGAAAGCACTGCACCCTTATGTCGACGAGCATCTGTTTTCCATGTTGACCATGACCAGTGGACCGCGAGAGGAGCTGGATCCGAGAAATCCCAGATACAGATGCCCGTTTGTTGTCCGCGCGGAACTCGTCGATGCTTTGACCTTCAATTGGCGCGGCGAAAAGGGCTACGGGCTGGTCAAGTCGCAGCCCACCGACGTAGATCTTGCTGGGATTCCGGACTATCTGCGACTTCGAGAGTTTCTGGGAGACAAGCGAGTGCTATGCGATTTACGTGCCACTGCAGAAAATCTAGAGAAGCTCGAGAAAGAGGTTTGTAGGCACGATGATTATCAGTACACAGTCGACAAGGCTGACTACGCAATGTTCTCGCAGCTGATGGGCACGCCCGCCGTCGACGTGCCGTCCGATGAGCAGCACCCCTGCTTATCCCCATGCAGACACCATTATTCTCGGCGTCGGCGAAAACGCAAGAGCTCACTGCTAAGAAGGAATTGCCTCACCACACACAATCGTGGTCGGTCCGACTTGGTAGATCTGTTTTCCCGCGCTGGATTTCTCCCCGCAAATCGGTTCATTTGGAAGCTTGTTTTCCCGGTCACTGAACACAAGAGGGAGGAAAGGAATATAATGCGCATTGCAGCAGCGTCATCCGGGTCGTGCGCTTCAGCCCAGCATGCGTACCGTGGGGTACTGGAGGCGCTCTGCGGTGCCAAGTGCACTCAGGAAACGAAAGATACCATAGCCGAGGTCCGCTTTTCTTCTGTTGCGGAGGCACGAGATTTTCTCGCGGGGGGCAATTCGAAGGACATAATTCTGGTCAAGACTGCTCTCGACGCCGGGGCTTCGGTAAGTCTTCGCTGGTACCTCACGGAACTGGATTACTATCCCCGTGACCAAGATTTGTTCTTCATCCAAGATCACGTTCTGCCGTTATCCGAGATCAACAAGTTGTACACTAGTGTCACGTCCAGCAGCTCTGAACCTGCAAAAAATTATCCTACACCACACGAGCTTTCGGTTGCGTACGCGGAGGAGGCGTTTCGTCCACGAAGGGCGTTGGAACTAAGGAAAGGGGCGGTGAAAGCCTTGTTTCGAGAATCCGCGTTGCAGGTAGCGGCTGAGTACGAGAAAAAAGTAACAATCGAAAAGGAGGCGGCTGATGCAAAAGCCCAGAAGACCGGTGCCAGCGCAAAAAGAAAGACAACGGAAGATTACCGTCCCCTCGAGCCTATCACTATGGACGCACAACGATGTGCATCTCGAGAGGAACTCCGGAAGTGGTTGCTGACAAATGTGGGAGCCCAGTACGAGCCAAGGAGGCGAGAGGAAATCTGGATCGCGCCGCTTCAGGATTGCGGACACCCGTTCGTCACAGGCCACCGACACATTACGGAAGCGAAGAGCAGTCAGCTCTAGAGCGAAGCAAGTTTTGCATGGGTACATATGTGCAAGGTTTGAAACAAATCCCGGCCACGACTTGAATCTGAAACACGTGATTGGCGCACGTTTGTCGTTGCCATTCGGATTCGTATTCGTATTTGTATTTGCTAGCGCAGATAGAGCTACGCAACTTCAAGGAACACAAAACGTTGAAGGCGTTCGACAGGCCGACTGCTCTTTTTGCTCCATAACTGTATCTATGAGGCCGAACGTTTTCGCGTTTCCAATTCCGGAAGAAGACGTGACAAGCAAAGGAAACGCGGCGGCAGCATGCGAAGGAGGCGGGGCTGCCAAGAGCGAAAAACCCATTGTTGACACTCCTGATGCTCGTCCAGCCTCTTGTGGAGAGAAAAAGGAGGGGTAAGTACGCAGTTCACCCACCTTCATGTCGGTTCATTTGCATTTGTTTTCTTTCGGATAGTACAACTACAATCTCACTATGCAACTTACTTCTTCATTTGTCACAGTAGCAAAATGTTGGTGACTTCATCTTGTCCGATATGAATACAGATTTGTTGGAGATGCAGGAAAAGTTGCAAACGACCCCGCTCTTGCCAAAAAGAAGGACCGGGAGTTGACCGCCAAATTTTGCCGCAGCCACGCTTTTTTCTACTTGACTGCGGCCTTTCACGTCGAGTTCAATCATCCATGTGGTTGGAAAGCGCCTACGCGCATTTTTACCACTTCAAAAAAGAAGCACGATTCCACCTCGGAAACTGTGAGCACGCAATCCGTACCGGCAGCTCCAACCGCTTCTGAATCATCGAAGACAAGAGCTGCGAACCCACAGGACAAGCCATGCCAGTCTTTCAAGCGCGAGCGCGAGAGCGACGAAACGGGTCAGGCTGACGTTCCGGTTCAACGCCGCAGAGAAGATGGAGACGAAGGACGAAAAGAGGATTGAAAAGGGCCCGGTTTGGATCCTTTGAAATTGAATCGTGATGCAAGAACTCAGAATAACGCATGTATTGTTTCGTACCGCAAGAAGACGAACCCAGACTGACCGAGATGAAATGTCAAGGGCCAAAGGTGAGCATCGATGAACAAAAAAAGCAAAAACATTGATATTTGACTCCTTGTGGAGTTTCTGGATGCGATGTGATATTGCTCTGCTGTTTAAGTTGAGTCTTTCTTTTTCGGTAGCAGTAGTGGTGGGAGAAACACTAGCCAACATTAGTGGCATCATCGATGGACACAGTCTGGTGCAACGAAATTGTAATCGAACTACTCGCAAATGCTTTTAATCGCCAGCAGCGAATTCTTGAGTGCACACCATCATACATAATCCTCGACATCAAGAAGAAGGCCAACACGTTTCCAGGCCGGTCTTGCGTACTTAGTCATCTGGGTCCTTAATGACGATCATGAGCATGACTTGACACTGGCCTCTAGTTCTTTTTGTGTATTTGTCGTCCTTCCTACACTGATTGTGTTTTTTGGCCCGCCAGTGAGTCATTGAAACCAACATTAGAAAATGTCCGTAGCACACGTTGGCAGAGAGGACCCCGCCGACATTATGGTGTTCCCGTGGCTCGGGCCCGGAATCGAAGATCCGTTTCCACTGCCCGGTGACATTCGGAAGTTGCGACCCGTACTGCGCACGAGCACTGCCAACTACGAACGAAACATCCAGTGTTGCGTAACGGACAAGATGGCGAGCGTGCGGCAGTATCTCACAGATTTCTTCTTTCCGCTCGACCTGGGCTGGATCGTGCATGGGTTCGGTGTCACTCCAAAGCCGGTTGGAAGTTCTGGTTCTTTTGGCTTCATTCTACTCGTCGCCGTCAGCAACAGCAAGCGGGAACTGTCTGGAGAACAACTAACAGAATATTTGAGGGCAATCGAGATGAGCGACAAAATCTCGCCGGCACAAGTGCAAAATTTTCATAAGCAGAATCGTACACACGCAGAGCACATCGTTGACGCAGCGGTCGCTGCAGAGCAAGAGCAGTCCAAGTTAAAGAGCGAAGCAAAGGCGAAGAGGAAAGCGAAAAAGGACTCAGCTGAACAAACTAAATCCGCGGAGCCGATGGAGGCATCACGTGCAGTTCTGGGGCCGAGTCCTGAAATACCGACGGGCTCCCAGGCGCGAACGGAAGCTGGAACGCATCGCCGCACTGGTTTTTCTCAGAGTGAACAGGTGGATGTTGAGATGCGTTCGGTCGGGAGCGTGGAGCTTGATAGCGACGTGAATCAGGATCAGGAACAGGATGGTTCAGAAAACAGAAGCGAGACCGCCCACACGCGGTTCACAGGGCGAGTGGCGGTCACTGACATGACGGGCGAGAGCCACGGTGTGGAAACTATGTGGGGGCCGCAGCCCATTACCTTTGCGGCGTCCACGACTGTAGCGCAGGCGCAGAAGATTTTGAGGACTATTTACGGAAAACATGTTAGCTTCCGGTTGCTGCCACAAGACCCGGCGGATATGCATCTGTTGCAGAAGTTTGAGGCCGAGGGCGAGCTGGACGAAAGTGTTGAATGCGACGAACAGGAGGATGACGAAGAGCGCATTACATGTGGCGAATTCGGAGGCGCGTCCGGCTGCATTACCTTGTTTTTCCAGGAAGCGCCCGAATCGGATGAAGACGAATTGGAAGACGACGATGACGATATGGAGGAGGAAGACAGCGAGAGCGACGATGCGGTCGACTTAGAAGGACAGAATGAGGATCCACCAGTCGGCGAACAAAACCTTGCCGTACGGCTAACAATTGATGATCTCGTGTAGTCTGATTGAGACCTTGCAGTTGACGTGTAGGTAGGAATGCGTTCGTCTTGGTGCAGCTTTTGATGCCCCCACCGCCACGCAACATTCGTCATGAAACGAAGTCAGAAGATGATGAAGCGAAGGCTCAATCCTTCTGCGCCTCGGTGCCCAACATCGTGCGTTGGTTTGTGTTTCGTCGTCTTCTTCTACTTAATCTTCCGTAACTAATGTTCAAAATCGATCGTCAAGCATGGCCAAGCGCCCCAGAAAAGATCACTTTTATTTTGTCGAAAAACGTTTGTTTTCTAAGGAGTTGCGTCCTGCCGACTGCTTGCGATCTGTGAAGAATGCGAAATCATATAGCGACGGCTTCTCCCTTTTTGGTCCTTCGCCTGTATTCAATCAGGGAACCACTTGATATTTTTGCGATATCGGTGTGGCGATGTTGCGTACTATTTTTTTTGATATTTACAGCGAGCATCAAATTAAAGAAAAACAGCCTGAATATCTAGTAGTTCCGAGATAGTGTCGTGCTCATGTGATCGAGGATAGACAAGCACCCAGGCAAGTGTATCTTCGACGGGCAGTAGCTCTCGCCTTTCTCAATTTCATTTTTTGTACGGTAGAAAGTTATTTACTCAAATTGAATTAGAAAGGGTGGCAAAATGGGCGTTCCACGGTTTTTTCGAAAGCTCTCCGAGCGGTACCCGCTCATCAACGAGAAGGTACAGAAGAGCATGATTCCCGAGTTCGACAACTTTTACCTGGATATGAACGGCATCGTGCACAACACCATTGGCGAAGCCGTGTCCGAAGAAGACATGATAGAACGGGCCTGGGAGTACATCCGCTACCTGGTTGCGATCATCCAGCCGAAAGAGCTCCTGTATTGCAAGTTTTCTTCTCCTGTTGCATTTTTTCCAACATCGCAAATGAAAATGCTATAAATACAAGTCCTTCTGAAGTTTTCTGGTTCTGCCTTTGTCCTTAAATTTGTGTTTCTCTCCTCGACCCCAGGTACATGGCTCTCGACGGTGTTGCCCCCCGCGCGAAGATGAACCAGCAGCGGTCCCGGCGGTTTCGCTCCGCCAACGACAGCCGTGTCGCGAAGGAAGCCGCACTGAAGCGCGAGGAGGAGATGGAACGATTGAATCAGATGGCGGCAAACCCGATCGATACGGCTAAGAAAAACAAATTTCGCTTCGACCGCAACGCCATCACTCCGGGCACGCCCTTCATGGAGAAACTGAACAACACTCTCAGGGCGAATATCCAGCGGCAAAAAGCGACCGATCCCCTGTGGGAGTCGATCCCCTTGATCATTTTTTCGGGCGCGGACGAGCCCGGGGAGGGCGAGCACAAGATGATCGACTACATCCGGAAGGCGAAGCTGGCCTTGAGCAAAAATTTCAATCCGCACACCCGGCACTGCTTCTACGGCCTCGACGCCGACTTGATCATGCTTAGCCTAGTGTCCCACGAGCCGCACTTCTCCCTGCTCCGCGAGGAGGTGAACTTCAGCCGGACAGAGACGAAGCCGCACTTGAAAAGATCCATGCTGGCAGAGCCCACGTTTCAGCTGCTGCATTTACAACTTCTCAGGGAATACCTAGAGCTGGAATTCAAACTCGACGATTGCAAAAAGTACTTCGACCTGAACCGCGTGATCGACGACTTGATTTTGATTTGGGCGCTGCTGGGGAACGATTTCCTTCCGCACCTGCCGTTTCTGGACGTGAAGGAATTTGGAAAGATGTTCGCCGCCTACAAAGTGTACCTGATGGTCTACTTGCCGACGGATGAGGACATCTCGACGAAGGACGAGGATCAGAAGGAACAACTGGCCGCTGCAAATGCAGCTGCATCTTCATCTTCTTCACAAGCATTACAAGTTCCACCACATTTGAAGGACGAGTTTTACCTGACGTATCAGGCGGGCAAGATCCACTGGCCAAATTTGACGAAGTTTTTGAACATTTGCACGCCCCTGGAAATCCAAGTGATGAACGACACCGTGTTGAAGAAAGGCGGCACTTTCGACCTCGGCATGCAGGCAATCTGCGGACCGACTGACATACCCAACAAGCCCCCACCGCAGATGCCGGCCGTGAATCGCATGAGGTGCGACGACCTGTCCGCGATAAGGCAGAAGTGGTACTGGATGAAGTTCGGCAAGAAAATCGAGTGCGAGTATTTTCTGAAGAACTTCTACGAGGAAAAGCATTTGGAAGCTAGTAAGTGGAAGGCAAAGCTGTACAAGCAGGTCAGCAGTGCGAGTAACTTCTTGGAAACTTTTGAATTCGACGATGTGACAGCGGGGGGGTCTTACAGAGATGTGCTACGAAACGCAGTGTTGGGGGCGGATAGCAGCTCAGTGATTACCGGCGCAGCAACAGCCGGCGCGGTTGTCGGAGGTAATAAAGCAGACCAACGAGGATCTGCCGCGGGAGCTGCTGTCAACCTGCTGGGCACTGGGTCGGCAGGCAAGACAAATAACACTACTGGCGTGGAAAGCGACCTGACGCCGACTGTGACCGAGCAAAGCCACAGTTTAGTGCCGGACACAGGAAACGACTTCTTCGCCACCGCAGCAGCGTTTGGTGGGCTTCTTGGGGATGACGACGATGAGGATGAGAATGTTCCAAATGCAGAAGCGAAACACGATGACCTGGCTGACCTGGCTGGTGCCATGGGGGCGCTTGGCATGGGGGATGAGGACGAGTTCGAGGACGAAACCTCCATCACCAACGCCGACGGCAGTACCGCACGTGCATCCGCAAACAGCCAGCGCATATGGGAGATTTGCGAGGTGTACTTCGAGGGCCTGCAGTGGGTCATGTACTACTATTTCCGCGGCCCGGACAGCAACTGCGGCTGGCGCTACTTCTACCCGGAGTATCACAGCCCTTTACTGGTGGACATGTATCGGTATCTGCTGCTCAGGTCCACGAATTTGCTACCCTTGTGTGGGAATTTGCGGTATGCGGATGTTCTGGCGACCGCGAGCGAAGCAGATGACGCAGCAACGAAGGAAAAGTCAGCGAAGTGCGAACAACTGATCAAGCAACACCTCAAATGGCCTCTGGGGCAATTCTTCAATCAGGATGTGGTGACTACAGACGGCAGCGCAAACCGTAAACCCGGTTGCATCGACCACCTCCACGCCGGGCAGCGCTTGCGGTTTCAGGATAAGGATTTCCTTTGCGAGCACCTGTATTTCCCCGAGACCCGCAGCGCAGAGGAGCTGGCGAAGCAGGGACCGGTGTCCCCCTTCACGCAGTTGTTGTCCGTCCTGCCCGCGGCGTCCAAGCAGCTCGTGCCGCCCGGACTGCAGTATTTGATGTGCGACGACAAAAGCGTCTCGCCTCTGTACGAGTTCTACCCCACGCACTTCGCAATCGACATGGACGGCGTGAAGGTGGCGTGGGGCGGCATCACCATGGTACCGCTGATTGACCCCGAAAAACTCGACGAAGTCTGCAAAAAAGTCATGTTTTCGGACGACCCACGGCTGAACAAACTCACCAAGGAGGAACGTCATAGAAATGAGCGCAAGGGCACGGCGTTCGCGTTCTTCAACAGGGAAGGCGCAGCGGAAATGGGCTTCGTCAAGCTGAACGACGGTGCAGTCACGCAGTCCGCGTTGGTGAGCGCGATGAAAACATCAGAGGCAATAGGTCAACCTGCAGCTGCAGCGGAAATGACTGATGCCGTCGGCTCCACCACCAGTTCATCCAAGCCTTGTCGAGCTGCAGTGCTGACTCTACTGCGAAAGTTTGTGGATCTGGTGGGAGAAAGCGGTTGCGGGAAAGGCAGCACAGAGGTTTCCGCGTGTATAGACCTAGTAAGAACTCGTGTGATGGAGCTGTGTTCCGACGCACCCGCTAGCCCCACTTCTGCGGCAAATGGAAATGGACACGCAAAAGAACATGATTTGGAGGAATCGGCACCAAGATCGAAGTTGCAAATCTGCAATCCGGTACACCTACTCGAAGACGTCTCGTTACCGGAACCGGGAAGGAAAATTTGTCGCTTCGCGTGCGAGCACCCGGGAAAACAGCTTGCGCTAGCACGGGGAGATGACCTCCTTGACGCGTATGGGACAACAGGAGACATTGGCGGCAGCGCGAGCGCCTCCTTGCTTGCGCGTTCCCCGCACCCGTGGCCGTCGGTGCACCACGCGGTGATCCACCAGTGGTGGTTGGACCATGGCATTCACTGTTTCGACTCCGCCGCGTTCAATCCAGGGGTCTATTTGATTCTCGAAAACCTGTACAAGGACAAAAATAACAACACTCCCATCACCGACAGAGCCGGGCTGCCGAATGATGTGCTCGCCGCCACTGGGAAAGATGCTTCGAATAAGGCACCAAATAACCTCGCCTCCGACCAGACCGCGGTGGACTCGCGCAACCTGCTGAACAAAGTGTGCTATGTGGACTACCCGTACTTGCGCTTGGGTGTGGTGTGCGAAGTTTTCGAGTACGCAGACTTCGTTACAGACAATCTTCCCGCGGACCACGCAGCCACCGTAGCGGAAGTCAACAAGGCGGAAGTGAAAAAGGAAGGTCGGAACGGGAGTGATGAGCAAGGCCTTGCTGTGGGCGACGTTGAGCTTCATGATGCACAACAGCTGCAAGAATCATCACAAGTCGACGCCTCCAAGCCCTCGAGAAAGAAGCCGAACAAGGAGAAGCAAGCGCTGCAGAACCTGTTCCGCAAGGAAGTCGAGTACGTCGGTCGGTACCTGCAGGGCCACGGCGTCGCGTTGTCCAGTTCAAAGAGCTGGTATAAGAAGCTGAAGTTCTGCTACGTGCGCTACCTTGAGCCCGACGGGTCACTGGAGCCCACGTTCGGGGACAAACGCGTCCGGTTGTACGCAACCGTGTTCGCCGTGCCGCCCGAACACCTCAGTCGGCTCCGGATGAAAACGAATTTAGCTGTGAACCATTCGGGGAGCAAGAATTCAATGTGTAGCACTACGAAAGAGGAAAGGACAGACGATTTCAAGAAGCTGGAGACACAAATTCTAGCCTTAGACCAAGAATTTTCCGGACTGCGCGCCAATGTGATCGTGGATTCTTTACGAATGACAGCCGGTGAAAAGCAGCTTCAAGAACCGGGAGGCGGGCAGCTTTGTGCAGCCGGCTTCAAGCAGGTCGTTCTGCACTTGCTGGAGGTTGCAGGACAGAAGACCGACTCATTCGCAAAGATACTTCATACTGCGACAAACGAGGCCTCGCTGATGAAAGCCCCAATCCGGCCGCTGCTGGAGACGCGTCCTGGCGCACCGGTCGTTTATGTCTTCCGCGGACCTCCCGCAACGAGAGCAAGTAATCCCGTTTTTGCGGCAATATCATCGCAAGATGGAGGAAGTGAAAGGCAACCACTTCCACTACCACCATATGGCTCGACGGGCTTCGCACACGGAAATGTCATTCGTTTTCCTGCAGAAGTCCTCGACACTAGTACAAAAGAAACGGCGAATACTAGTACCGGCGCAACTTCTACACCCGTATTACGAAGAACACGCACAGCAGCGAACCTCATGTTTCTGGAATCCCGCGTACAGGAGTTGATTTACGCCACGGCCCAGAACTTTCCCTGTCCGCACTGGGTGTCGGCGATCGATTTGGTGAAGCAGCATTTGGGCAAGGAGTTTTACGTGGACAGCTGCTTGCTCATTCTGCAGGATTTCCACGTGAAAATCAACTACGACCAGGTCGAGAACGTAGGTCTCAACCTGCTCTGGTTTCCAAAGAGTCGCGAGGTTGATTCTGGGAAGGATCCCTTTGTGCAGTTCATCCCGGGCTTAGTAAAATTACACAGTCCGCTGCCGCGGAAAAAGTTTTCCAAGTTGGTGCACCAAAGTGGCGCAGGAGCTGCAGCCGCTGCTGGCGGGAACATCAATACGAGTTGTAACGAAGGAGAAAATGGTGCTGCACCATCGTCGAGCAGCAGAACAAATGCTTGGTCTTCGCTCCAGTATTCTCTTCTGAAGGAGATTCGTTACAACGCGGCGGTCGTGGCGCAGTTGCTGCGTAGACACAAGCAGAAGTTTCCGGAAATCTGGGCCTATCTGGACGACGCGGTGGAGCAGGGCTACATGTCCAGCTACACGCACGACCGGTCGTTGTGGCCGGGCGCGCTGAAGGGAACCGCGGTGAACGTGAAGGATTTGTTTTCCGGCCCGCACCTCGCCAGATTGATGAAGGAGGAATTGCAGGCGCAAGCCTTCAACGCACTGTCCGCGGAACAGCAAGGGGGTGGAAAAAACAACAGGAAGAACGGCGGCAAAAATGGAGGAGCCTCGGGTAACAAGAACAGCATTTCCAAGGACCACATCGAGTACCGAATGGTGCAGCTGTTGCATTTCATTCAGCACGAGCAGCCGCACATGAAGCTCCCCTTCGTCGGGCCGTGGCACGAGCTGATTCCCTTGCAAGTGGTGCGGGTGTTGGAGCAGTTGATTGACAGGAGTTTTGCTAGTAATTTCATCGACGGTTCTCCAGTGGCACCTGAGTCAGAATCTGCTATCTCCCAAACTCACCAGCAGCTTGCAGAATGCTTCGCAAAGCAGATTGTGGACCCACCGGAAGTCGTGGGAGGGACGATCGTAGAGCAAGATGCAGCGGCAAGCAAGACGATGAAGATGGTGGAGCAGGTCATGAAAAGCGCGTTAGGAGCGATGAACAAACGCTTCTCATCGACCTCCTCAGCAGCAGCCTCTCCGACCTCTTCGCAAGAATGCGTCGCCAGTTTCATTGACCTTCCGCTCGAAAAAGTTCTTCCTACTGGAAGCATAATAGGGCTTCTCGCGCCAATGCTACCGTCTAGAAGGAATATAGCCGCAGATTCGGTGACAGACCCAGGCCCCGAACAGAGCCGCAAAGCCTCCTCCTTCTTTCTTGGCCAACGGGTGATCTACATGAACCACAGAACACCCGTGCTGCCGAACGGGACCGCAGCCTTCGTGATCGGCATTTACTACAGCCACTACGACGCCTTGACACAGCTGTCGGGTAACAAGGAAAACGAGACAAAATCGTCGGGAAATAAAACGAAAATCGACAAGGTAGAAATTTTGCTGGAGAAGCCGTCCTCTGCCGGAAACGCCCTGTCCGGCAGGTGTTCAAGTAACCGCGGCTTGCTGGTTAACGGCGACGAGCTCTTCGCCGTCAACTATTTCGACTTTGAAACGCCGGTGGAGTGGCAGAGCGGTGCGGTAACATCACCGGCGACGACGACACCGACGCTCGAGTCCTCACCTGCCACCAGCTCCGACGGTGGCCTGCACCCCGGTGCTGCTGATGCTGTTGCTTGCGCCGACAGTCAGCATGGAAACGGGAATGCGGGTGGAAGCAAACACAGCAAGAACGGGAAGAAAGGAAAAGGGAAAAAGGGCGGAAGGAGAAAAAAATGAAACAAAACTAGCGATACAAGGACGGAATCCCTTCGAGGACTGCTTGCGATTTTGTAGCCAGAGCGGTTTCGCGCATCTGCTCTTGTTTTTATTTTTTCATCTGACATACAGAGAAGCACGACTGTGTGAAGCAAATAGATGAAACAAGAAGTCGCAAATAGGTGAAACAAGAACACGCGACTTTGCTGACAGAGTGGAAGATTCAGATCTTTGTATATGTTCTATCGATTCAGACTTACTAGCTTGTGTTTGTTGACGTATCGTTTCTCTCTGCATTCGGAAACTAGCAGTGCAGTTCCAGTCGAACTCCAAGCAGACGATCGTTCTTGTGCTTTTCGGCCACTGACTCGAGGAAGATCCCGCACGAGCCAAGATCTGCTGTGTGTGTCAGATACAACCAGTGTGAAGATCGATTCTGGGTATGTGTTGCAAACGTTTTGTCTTGGTAAGAGTCACTTATGAGATGTTGTGTAGTCACGTTGGTGGAGGTGGTTGGTTATGCTTATGGATAGGTGTATGCCTCTCTCTTCGGCGCTCCGACGTCTATCAGGTTTCGACCGAGTTCACGATCAAGCAAAGGCGAGGCTCGGCGCAAGATCTTTATCGCCGTTTTTTTCGATCTGCATCTGGCAGCGCAAGATCCCGATTCATTGCACGCTTGAGATTTGTCAAGCGGTTTTCCTCCTAGGAGAAGGAGAATCATTTTTGGTTGTCCAGAATGATCTTGGGGACTTTGTTATCAGGTAAGCAAAATGAGAACCTAGGTGGCATCACGACGAGATACTTTGACGGTGCTTCAGAAGATATCTGTGAGTTTTTCCGGAGGAGTTTTCAATTTCTCGACTGGTTATTGTCTATAGAGGTTTTGTGTGCAACAGGTCTGAAAGATGAGTTGCAACAGCAGCGAGGCGTCTTGGATCATCAAAAAGGTCCCCGACGATCTCTACGATGATAGAACGGAGGACGACGATAACGGAGTTGATGGCCCTCCACCGGTGGTGTGCCAAGAGACTACGCAGTTCATGGAGCCGGAGGCTCTTCCGACTGAGTGGGTCAACGAGTTGCCATTTCAAAGTTCCCAGGTTCATTCGGGTTCGTGGTCATCCTATCGTGGGGAATACGATCATCTGATCGAGTTCAATTCGAAAAAGAACAAGTTCGAAATTCAGCAGCACTGCCGCTGGTACCAAGATACTTCTACTTGTTTGTTGTTTTTTTTGGTTCCATTTCGAAAGACAACTTTTGCGCACAACGTCACGTTTATTTGGCCGAGTATTTTTACCCTGTTGAGTTCTTGCAGTGCTTACAGAAGAAAAAGTCTTGCTCCGCCTCCACCTCGCATTCACTGAGCACCCTGTGCGTCCCGAAGGTATTGCTATGCGGATGGTGATCTACAGAGATGGGGCAGCTTCGCGATTCGGTGCCGGCTGTGCCGTAACGCAAAGCGGAAGCACATGGAGTTTGACCGGCAGCATGAAAGCCTGGAGCAGCACCGGCAAAAGATGGCCGAACGGGTCAACATGCAAAGGCACACCATCGACCTGATGCGCGACCCTATCCGGCACCCCGACGACGGAACTTGGCTGCCCGCGCGGGGAGTGCAGCCGAAGTGGCACACGCTGGAAGGCCGATATCCGATGATAAACACCGCAGCAGCATCGACATCCACGTCTTGTTCCCAAGGGAGCCAGCAAGAACCAGCCACCTCCCACCTCGCCCGCTGCTTCGACCCCGCGCGGCCCTTCGTGCACGCTCCCTGGCTGATGGTGATTCGGGTGCCGGACCAGGTGTACACGTGCTCGATGGTGCCCACGCTCCGGTGTCTCCACTGCGGACCTGGGGGCGACGTCGTCTTCAACGAAGACCTCTTCCACAAGGCCCTGCGCGCAAATCTTAGCGTCAGTGCAGCGTCTCACATCTTGACCGAGCTTGACCATGGTACAAAGTAATTCATTGCAATGGCAAGCCTCAAAGTTTTTGGCTCCCATTATCTCGACTCACTTGGAATGATATCTATCATTTCGCAAGCTATCAGCAGGGTCAAACTTCCACTACCTCCTCAACAGGTCTGCTCAAGCCGAGAACGCACACGAAGAAGCATATCACGAGTAAAAGGCTGCATCTGGTTCAGTCCCTAAGCACCTCGGCTGAAATTTTTCCGGCTTTATTTCCATGCATAGAAGAGCGTTTTTGCAATAGCGATTCCGTCATTGCGCGAGAGTCCACACCACAACTCACCAATCGATCATCTTCTGTGGGTCACTCTTATGTATGATATAAAATTGAATTCGGGAACAAGCTCTAGTCGGGCCTACATCTGTACACGCTTAGAGGTGTCTGATGGTGATAGTTCCCCGTGGCTTTTTCTTAGAATAGGTTGGTGGATCTACACGGACGAAGGTGCCATGGACCGCGAAGCCACTGCAGAACGCGAGAAGGTAGAGCAAGAGCGCGAGCAGTGGATTCAGAAGGACCCGCTATTCTACCGAGTTAAAGTCGTTGCGCCACCACAGGTAAAGTGGGATTTTGGTTTGAGTCAGGGGATTGTCATGAACTCCCGCCGAAAATGATTCCAGCTTTGGCTCAGTTTTGTACTTGTGCTGTCATCGCGAACAAAGAAAAACAAAAGCTATATCCATGAATCACGTCTACAGCTAGGAACATCATCCAACCAAAGTTCTATGCCCTTTCCACCGCAACCGCTGCAAGGTACCACTGCAGACTGCGAATTTGGGAGTCGGCCGGTCCAGCAGTAGCCTTTCCGCCGGGGATCCGCGCGTGGCCGCAGCTCCCACGAGCCAAGACCTTGCGGACGGAGGCGTCCATGTGGTAGACCAGGGACAGATTACTTCTCCCGATTTGGACGTGTACGCCGTGGTGGACAAAGACGGTCGCGCTATGACGCGAGCGGACCGTGATGAAGAACGGCGCCTGGTCGACCGGGAACGGAGGAGGCGCGCGAAGGAGTCCAGGCGGACAGAGCGGCGGGAGGAAAGAAAGAATTCCAAGTTAATGTTGTTGTCCGAAGCAGGAGCAGACGACCTCGACCCGTCCAACTCCTGCCAGAGGTCGTCTGCTTCGTCGAAGCAGAACAAAAAGCACTCGAAGATTGGGAAGGACAAGGACCGCAGAAATAAGCACGGCTCTTGGGAGGAGGAAGATAGTTTGTTGCAATACGTGGAGGACAAAATGAGCAGCAAGACTGAGCAAAAGAGGAGAAAACATCACAAATACATTGTCGCTTCCTCTTCCGAAAGCGAAGGTGAGCGACGCTCTTTGCGCGGTTCTGCAACCGCATCGCGGTACGGTCGAATGTCCTCTAGTCGCCGTGAAGATAAAGGTTTTCCTCTGGACCCGGACGCAGCAAAGTTAACTACGAAGAGAACTGCTCAGCCTGCGCAGTGGAACAATGCAGAGAAAACGCCAGCAGTAGTGGCGCGCGATCATCTTACCAAGAGCAACGACGACCTGTGGGACTTTTCGGACTCTGACACGATGGAAGACCCGAAAAACTCTATGTCTTCCGAGCGAATCACCAGTAACTTCTTCGATACCACTATTGACAACATGAAATCGAAGACGGAGAACATTGACACTACATTCGATGATTACGTCACCAGGGGTTGCAAAGCGTGGAACTCCGACATAAGGAGCTAATAGCCATGAGGCACGAAAAAAGTACGTTCTATCCTAGGTGAAGCTACTCGCACGATCCCAAACAAAAATCAAACAGATCGCTTAGCAGCTTGTTGCATCCACAGCATAAGTTTAAGTAAGTTTCGATGCGGTCTTCTTAAACCGATAACTAAGGTTATTGTTGAACGGACACTCCACCGCCACCCATTCGAAAACGCATCTGGTTGTTTATAAAATATGTCATTGAAGATGCGAAGGCAGCAGAACCAAGGCGGATGCTTGTGCTCGTTCGATCACCATACCGTGCTGTTGCTGTTCAAGTGCAAAGCGGACGCTTGGCGGGATATAATACCGCATGGCACGGCATCGTGAGCGTGATTAGAGCAGCAATCTTGTTGCCGTTCAGCAGAATGAAGTTGCGTGTCGGACGAGAGAAAGCCTCATGTTTCTGTTCCTGAGAGTTTTCCTTCTCTTCCGCAAGCCATGCATAAGTTGTGCGTTCCTGGCGCACCTTTTAATTGTTGCTGCTATTTTAACGAGAAGAGCGTGAGCGTCAAGTAGCGGTGTGAGAGTAGAAGTTCACGGGCGCAGCACGTACAAAAGTACTATTTCAATTGCAAGAAGAATGATGGCGACGTCCAGCTCCTCGTCCAGTAGCAGTCGGCTACCAGCGCCGGGCTTTTCCGCCTCAACCGCGGCCGCCAGAAGTGCCACCTCCGGCGCGTCTAGTGGCGGGTATCTGATTTTTTGCTGCGTTGACGCAGTGACGGAGCGGTCGAAAAACTCACTCGAGGCTCGATTCGAGTGCGTCGTGGAGCTGCGGAGCAGTAGCGCCACAGGAGGTCGAAAAATCGTGACCCCCGTCCCGTCTACGGCCGAAGGGCACATTTTGCTTGAGCTGCCATCGAGCACGGAGACAGAACAGACGGGCGCAGGGGCTCCTGCTTCTTCAACGCACGACATTCACATAACCTTGTACAGTGCAAATAATTCATCTGTAGCGCATCAGGAACAAGGAGTTTCAGGACCTTCTTCCTCCAGCGGGAGCAGTTCTGGATCTTCGTTGGAAGTCGGGTCTGCGGTGCTCAGTTACCCTCTTTCACTCGTGCCGAACGCCACGTTGGATCGCTGGATCCCCCTCAACGGGACTCGGTACTGCTTCGAGGAATCCGAGCCGCAACAACCGTCCCCGACCAAAAGCCGCGCGCCGCGGCTGCGCGTGCTGTGCAAGTACGTACCTGGGGACTACGCAGCGGCGGAAAGCGACATTGACCGCACGTTCCACTGCCAAGATTTTTTAATTCTCGCACTGCAGAGTCTCAGTGACGCCAGCAGCATGTCGTCACCGGATTTGGTCGTCGGAAGTGGAACAACCACAACTTCGAGTTTTGCGACCGGAGGTGGCACAATTCCAGGAGCTTATTCACATCAAAACAAGATCGACCTGGTGTCCGGACAAGGACTGGCCGCAGCAGCATCAAGCTCCTTGGACGGTGTTTCCAAAGTGCCACAGATCGAACGCATCGAGCTGACCACGAACCCCAACAGTCTGCTGAGCAGTCCGGCGTACATCAATGACTCTTTGAGAAGTAATGACGGCCACCAGGCGAGGTCGTGTGCTTCGCAGTCATTGGAGCTGGAAAAGCTTTCCGGGAACGAGTTTGAAAGCGGTAGAGCAGTTGCGCCGTTTCTGTTCGTGTCCGACGCGAACACGGGCGGAGCGCCGTATGATCCTTTTACCTCCACCGGGTTCGCAACTCAGGACGCCGGCGTTTCCTCGGCAAGCACGCGCCCGAACCCGTCCGCACCCGGCTCCAGGATGGCCAACCGGGCGAGCACACGCAGTACCAAATCCGGACCGCAGGGTGGAGTAACATCTTCAAGTGTCTCCGCCGGGACCTCGCGGCAACATTCGCCCGGGAAGAGGACGAAGAAAGGAACAGGACGACTGGCATCGAGTTCTTCCGCATCGACGCTGCCCGCAGGCGGGACGACGTCTGGCGACGCCTCGCAGAGCGACCATGCGGCGTCGACGTTAAGCAATTTGAAAAAAAGAATTTCCGAGGGAAAGGGGTTCGCCCCGCTACCGCGGGTCGCCGGCGGAAATGTGGTATTGTTTAACTTAGCGATAGCTGACTGGTGACGCAAATTTGTTAGACTCACCACATCAGACAAAAAAAATGGAAATCCGCCTCATTCGATGTTACGTTTTCCGCATGACGCATCAACTTTCGAAGAAAAAAGGCAGGGGGGCAAAAGCAATATTTGTTATGGCTAACGCGAATTATATTCCCCACTTTTTTGAATTTGAAAGCTGGCGCGCTTTGCGTTCTCTGTGCATTCCGTTGCCACTGATTTCTTCGTGCAGGTGTTCAAGTCTACGAAGGACTTCGAGGACGCCTGTTGGGAGCGAATACGGCCCTACCACCAGATCATCGACGTCCTGGAGACAAAGCTAGAATCCGCGGGCTACGAGCGCGAGAACGTGGAGATCTACAAGCGCGCCGCGGCGGCGCTGCGGGTGCAAAGCGGCGCGACGCAGGAGAAGTTCAAGGAGTCCTGCAATCTGTTCGAGCGCAAACTGACCGAGTACGCGAAGCTCGTAGACGAAAGAACCGCAGAAGTGAACACGCTGCGGACACAGTTGAACGAGGTAGAGGCGTTTTTTTAGAAGCAATGTTCACGCTCCTGCGCACACGGATTGATTCGTGTCTCACACAGCCGCTAGTGCTATCTGTCATGGTCGGCTTTCTTCTCAATTAACAAACAGCAACGAGGTTCTGCAGCCTCACACAAAATTAATTTCCGCTTGCGCCACAACAGGTCCGTAGTTCCCGTGACTCGGCTTTGGATGAGGTCACTTTGCACAAGAACGCGAAGGCCATGTCCGATACGGAGCCGGTGGAGGCACGAGTTTTGCTGAAGCAAATCCAGGCACTGGATAAAATGTTCAATGCCGAGAAAACCTTCAAGGAAAAGTATGCGAAGAAAATTGATGAAGTAAAGCCCCTGAATCGAGTCGCGTTTGGACAAGCATGCGCAAAGATGTCGAGCAGCGTTAGCCAGGCTGAAATTGTTGTTCACCAGAACCAGTATCAGAGTTGTGCATGCTACAAAGAGTAGCTCCAAGAATGATCACCTTCTTGCCGACTTGGTGCAGGCACAATTATTCTTTTTTCGTTTTTATACCACTCTAGAAAAGCAGCGGCAGGCCGAGAAGACCCTGTACACAGAGAACGAGCTGAAGCTGCGGGGCCAGATCGAGGAACTCACCGAGCAGCTGCAGGCGACCGAGAACGAGTACGGGCGGACGACGGTGCGATTACAAGAGAACCTTCAGCTCACCACAGCGGAGCGACAAAGCTTCCAGGAATGGCGGAAACGGGAGGACGATTATCAGATGAAGTAAACGCATCCTCATTAATTAAGTATGCGCTTCGTTCAGTATCAGTGTGTCAAATGTTTCATGATATGACCCTCTCTCGATTTTCTTCGTAGGCCTAGGCGTGCCGAAGGGAGGAAACCTACAACATGGGAACTGCATCATGATCGCAATACACCAGGATCATGACGCTCGAGTCTGAGGTTCGCGACGCGAAGTACAGCAAGTCTCTGGTGTCGGATTTGAAGGCGCAAATTGCCCGACAGGACGAGCAATTGACGACGCGCGCCCGGCAGCTCGAGGAACTGCGCGAGACCTTCGAAAAGCAGCTCAAACAGGAGCTGGAGACCCAACAAAAGCTGGTCCGGGAAAAGCAGGAAGCCAACGAGGAGTTGCGGAAGGTACAGCGGAACTTCGGGGGCGGCGGTAGCGCGGCCGGCACGCCGACCTCGACCGCGAAGAGTCCGGGCGCGACGGCCGCGATGTGGAACAACCAGCGGGCGCTGGAGCAGCAGATCACGCTGTTGACGTCCAAATGCCTAGAGATGGAGCAGCGACTGATTATCGCGGGGGACATGGAGAAGCAGCGGGAGCAAATGGAAAACTTCTGCAAGGACCTGGAGCAGCGGGTCGCCGTGCTCGTGTCCGAGAAGGAGGCGCAGGAGCAGCAGTTCGCCGAGCACATGGCCAGCGAAAAGTCGCGGTCCGAGTTGCTGGAGAAGGACAACGCGGATCTGAAGCAGCTCTTGCAAGAAATCCAACCCGAATTTCACAAGGTCCAGACCGAGCTGGAAAAGGCAACGTTTCAGGTAGAGAAGTCGAATCAATGATCTCTCTCTGAATTTTTCGTACTGAAGATGCCGTAGTGCTGGTTTCGATCTTTTGCTGCATGTTCGTCAAGGAGTTTTGCAACCATTCGTTCATCTGTAGGCGAAGGAAGCCGAAGCACGCATGGCGGTGAATGGAGAGGAGAAAAAATTGCGCGATAAATTGAAAGAGGAGCTTGAGGACGTCGTGGCAGAGTGCGCCATGCTGCGGAAAGGCCGTGACCAGATCCAGGCGGAGTACGCCGAAAGGAGCAACCGCCTCTGGGACGAATATGTTCCCAAGGAGGAGGCACGGAAAATGAAACGCGCACTTCTGGTAAGTACATAACAAATTGTCATGTGCTGTTAAAATGTTGGGAGCGCATCAGCAAAATGCTTTGGCCTCGTTTAACGCGGTAGAACTAGTGTACGTGGTGCAAATCAACCACAACATGTTCAGCTGACAACTACCAAAAGGTGCAGCAGTCACACGCGACGTCGGCTTACCCGCAGTCCGCGCCCTCGTCCACCATACACGGGCCGGGGTCGCACAGCAGCAGCCCGAATTTGAGTGTGCGGACGCCGATGAGCGCGACGGGATTCCCGAGCCACAGCTTTCAGCACTCCACTCCAGGAACTACCGCTAGTCACCACCAACTTCAGCAGCACTTTCACCTACCAGCCGGCAGCCAGTACCAAATGAAAACCCCACCCGCGTCTTCCGGGAAAATGCCAGCATTGAACAAGACGCCCGTGGTGTTCCCGTCTGACCAACAGAACAACATCGAGAGCACCACGATCAACAATTATCGCTATGTGCCCGTGAAAGCCGACAGTGTGGACAAAGCGCTTGCCACCTTGATCAACCAAGCAAAACCCCCGGTGCCGTTCTACCGCTTAAGCCCAGGCATCTACCTCTACGGGAGTAGGAAAGTGCTGGTAAAACTGACGAAGCAAAACAAGCTGATATTCCGTGTCGGCGGTGGCTACTGCAACTTTCACGAGTTCCTGGAGCAGTTCACAACCTTAGAACATAAGACAGTAGCCGGGAGCTCGGGCCAGAACTCGCCCCAGGGGTGAACGTACGCTGTGCTATCTTGTACTGCCAGTGATCTACTTGTACTTGGCTGGCGCTTCCTTGCGCGCCAATATAATAGATGTATAATGTTGTAGAACTACGGCATGCACCCCAGTTTCATATTGTAGACTTGTGGTATGGTATTTCGGCAAGCAGAAAAGAGAGTAATTTTCCATCTTATGAATTTGTTAGCTTAATATGTTCGGGAAGCCTCAATTAATGAACTTTACCAGGCAAAACTTCTAGAATTTTTCCTATTCAGTCGTAGCAGGGGAGAATCAAATAGTCCGTGAAAGTGTAAGATTTTGATGGACCACAATAAAAAAGCGTAGTTAATATTGATTGGATCATCGACCTATCGCGTTCTCCGGGCCACATGAAAGTTAGTCGCCGTTTCAGGATTGTGTTGATTTTCCTCGACAAGTACAGCAGAAGAAGATGAAAAAGGGAAGCAGTCGGTACTCCTGTCGACAGTTGCATCTATATTTTCCATGCGCAGGACCAACTGTATTGTGACTATAGCAGAGGCGATGCTTCGAAAAAGCGATAGCATGCTGAGAAAGCTGACAGAGAGAGAGAGAGACACAGAGAGAGAGGGACAGAGACCGTCAACTGTGATCGTCTACTTTTTCGTAGGGCGATTCTTTGTGCCGCCTTCGCGTCGTTTCCGTTTGTGCCGGAACTAAGTAGCTTCCCGATTGTATATTTCCTGCACAGGTCTTCGTGTTTCGACCCACCGCTGAAGCAGCCCAGAATTTCGTTTCGGGAAATTATGCCACATTCATCTGCTTCTGCTACAAGAGACTTTTCTTCGCTAACGATGTTCTCGACCCCAGGTAGTTGATTGTAGAATAGTGTGGATCCCACTTCGACAACGAACAGGAACACCGACCTTAACAAGCACACAGAGACAGGATGGGTCCCCCCATCTTCGCAGAAATGGCCTGGCCCGACAAGAAGGAGTTCGACTGGGCGCGGGCAACCTTCAACAAAAGCAAGCCCCTGTATTCGCGGCAAAGCAGGAGTCGAAATTAGAGTTGTGCTGTTTGTCACGTGCACAGGACCGCACGGCATATAGATGCACGATTGAAAAATCTTTTTGCAATTCTTGTTGCCATGTATCTATGAGTGGTGTCTCATTTGATTTGGAACAAGTTGCATTTCAAACTCGGAAAAGTAGGATTACGTTTCGTTCTTGGACTCATGACTCTGCATGCATATCTTACCACCCCCGCCGGCGGCAGTGCCGAATCACGAGAAGAAGTTCATGGTTGACGGCGAGCTCGTTCCGGTACGTGTATCATTAGACCCTCTTCTGTTGCTACTACCGTATGACTAAGTACTTATGTATGAACTGAAGATTATGCCGGAAGTTTCTCGGCAGTAGTAAGCGTAAGGCACGTTTGAACTTCTACGTTGTTTTTCCTTCGATTGATTCAGGTTCCGGAGATCCGCGACAAGTTGTTCACGTCGGCGGCGACTAAAAAAGCGAAACCCATTGCGCTCTCCAACGGGGGATTCGGATTTATCAAGTGATGGAGGGGCAGTGGCAGAAAATCCTCCTCTCTCCGTGCTGTCAAGGAAAATGTTGTTTCACTAGAAGAAAGACGAGCACAGAAGGGAACGGGTTCGTCATTTCGACGTACATGGCGGACCTGTAGGATAATGTTCATCCAAGTCAAACAGTTCGTCTTCGTGGATAATGAAAAGTCTAATATACCATTGAGCGATGAGCTACCGCGACAAAAATGAAAGATTTGCACACCATTACGAAACTCTCACACCAACTGAATGTAAATTGAGCACACCTGGCAATGTCTACTAATTTCAATGCTCTGAGCCCTGAAAAGAGTACCCGCACGGTGGCGTAAACTTCCGTCGACTTCAGATTTTCCGTAGGTACTTGTGCCACCTTGAGCCGCATGGATTTCCGGCCACGATGGCATTTGGTTGTTTGCCTTTTGCCTGAAGTGTGTTCGCGGTCACGCTAAGCAGCAGGAGGAAAAGACATCATGCTTCACCGGGATCACTTGTTTCCCTTAAAGCTTTGCAGAGACCGGAAGCAGAGGCTAAATTGCTAAAAGTAGTTTGAACTTCGAAACCATGAAAAAATCTGTGGTGCGTTTAGAAAGTAGCTCTAGCTCTTTCCGTTCTAGCTCGGTGCTAAAGCTTCCTAGAAGGATAAGGATTGTACTTGAAAAGAGTTTATTGGTTGCCAAATCCAAGATAAGGTTAAGACATTTTAGCAGAGAAAAAGCCAACATGTCGCCAGTGCTTGAGGCCTCACGTGTCGAGGTTGTGGAGCCACCAAAGACCTCGGTGCTAAAAGACGATGGGATTCCAGGTGCCCTCGTGACGGAACACTCCCGGTACGATATCCTTGTTGACGAGGGAATTATCGGAAGTGGGCGGTTCACGAAGGTTCGGGTTTGCAGGAGCGCCACGCTTCAAAAAAGCTTCGCGTTGAAAATCTACGATCGCCGGGTGGCCAGTGAAGTGCAGATGCCGTACTGGGGTAAAAAGGGCACCTGCTCGACAGATGTGTCACTCGCAGACCGAGCGCGCTACGAAGTCAAAGTGATGAAGCGACTATTGCAGGGCGAGCAGGTCTCTTCGTCGGGATTTGGAGCCTCTGCCAGCAGTAGCGCAGGCATGGCGAACATAGCAAGACTTGTCGAGGTATTCTTCACTGATTAATATTTTTACAGCTGAGAAATTCATGCAGATTACGCTTTGAGAAAGAGAAACGAAGTGAAACTCAAATTCGACATAGCTTCCAAGACCAAGGCTGACGGCAGGAACCTAGTGCATACAATTACCTTGTAACGAGTCGTCTGGACATGATCTTGAAGAAAAATATCGATCACTGCTGCACACAAAGCGGAGAATAAGATCATACTTGTGAATCAAAGATGATGACAACCGTTAGAATCTGCTTACCAAGTCCGAAAGGCAACTTTGTGAGGAGACAACTATCTCATCGCCAGAACTGATTTGCTATTTCTCAAGCCAAGATCGTACACGACCAGAAGATCCTCCCTAGATACCTGTATGTGTCATGATGACACCCGTTAGAATCTGCTTACCAAGTCCGAAAGGCAACTTAGTGAGGAGACAACTATCTCATCGCCAGAACTGAACTTTGCGCATCGAGATCGAAGATGAAGTGTTTGAGCTCTTATGCCTTGCCATCAATACAAAGACGTCAGCCACCACGCTTCGCAGAACATTCAAAACTGAATACAAAATTACTATTTCTGTCAGGTCATCGACGATCCAGCGTGCAGTAGCTTCTACCACGTCTTCGAGCTTGTGCGCAACGGCCCATTGCTGGACTTTTGCAATTCGAGGAAGCGGTGGATCGTGCCCAAGGAAGCCGTCCGGGACTTCGACAAGCAGAAGCCGGGAAAAGACGAATTCTACCGGTACAGCGCGGCCACGACGCTCTTCGCGCTGCACGCAATGCAATCCGGCGTGAAGTACCTGCACTTGAACGGGGTGATGCACAAGGACCTGGCGCCGCAGAACATCCTCGTACACGGACAATTTGATTTCATCATGGACTTGTTTCTCACAAAGGCTAAAGACGACGAGAAGGTGCTGCAAAAACTTTTCTTCGAGTACGAATCGCCGTCCGCAGCGACGTTGGCGAGCGTCTCGATTAAAATCTGCGACTTCAATAGCTGTGAGATGCTTGAGAAGCCCGAAGACGATCAAATCTGGAGTGCGGAGGGCACCATGGCCTTCCGCCCGCCCGAGGCGTTCGGACCAGACGTCACGGAACTCGGTATGTCTGGCCGGGCGCGGGACATGTGGTCGGTCGGTGTTGTGTTTTTTCTGCTCATCTTCGCGTCTCTTCCCTTCGACAATGACTTCGCCGCGGCGTTCGCCATGCAGTTGCGCATCATGAACTACAACGGGAACATCGACAGCATGCTACTCGCCTGGTTCAAGAACTACCTGGCATCAAATGGTAGCGGTCTGGCAAGTAGCAGCACGACCACATCCGACGCGGAAGATAGCGAGACGACTTCTGCAGCGGAAGGAAACATGTTGGGAGCAGAGGAAGTGTCGAGAACAGGTACGAAAAAAGTGTTTTTGCGCAATTGTCTTACGACTTTGCTAGAAAAAGACCCAGAAAAACGAGCATGGGCAAGCATTGACGTTCTGGCATCATGAACATGAGCGATTAGTGACATGAAAGCGGTTCGAGTGCATGTCCAGCACAATATCGATAGCGCATTTAAACATTCGCACCTATGAACAGACACTGCTTGTGTGGCGTGTCTTACATGACCGCATTACACAATTCACGTGGAAAGGAACTGGCACGAGCCGACAGAGGCGGAGCAAAAGGCAGAGGGGCTCGGTCTTGTCTGACATCGTGTGGAGCTACTTAGTACTTTCTTCCACTTTTAAGCATCTGAAGAGTGCGCTACTGTCTGAGTGAGAGATGTATGAGTTTTATGCCTGGTGCGTCGGAGGCAGTAAGCAACCAGGGAATACAGCCTCTGTGAGTCCGCGAGGCGAAGAGAGACTGTGACCGAAGTAGTGCCACATGACTGGCCCCAATCGGCCGAGCAAGATGCCGAACGACTGCAGATCCGCACAGATTGTGTGGTGATCGTGCTAAAATGCGGGCCATGCAAGTTGCGAGTAGTACTTACAACATGATGCGCATAGAACTGTGGCGTACCTGGTGAACGTGGACACGACAGTCCGCTTTTCTACTTAGAAGAGCTTCGATCTGACGAATAAAGAAGCAAACAAGATGAGATCATCGTTTTTCGATGCGCGGGAGTACGAATCGAACAGACAGCGCGTGCCCGGGTTTGTCATCCGCTTGCAGCAAGATGAAGCATACGAGGATCTTGGTGGTCGATCTGAGCAGGTGTCTGCGGACGTGCCACTCGCCAGTCTCTTCGACGATGCGGTTTACTTGCAAATCCCACCAAGTAAAGCGTCTTTTCGGCACAACATCTTGAACAGAATCGACGAGCAGAACGAGGACGGCGAAGCTGCTGGGATTCGTCAAAAGAAACTACTGTTCTCGGACGCGCAAATGCACGTGTGCCACAACTGCGACCGCGAACTGTTTCTGGGTTCCGCGAGTACTGGGGGCGCAAGTCTGCCTGTTCTGCTCGCGAGCTCGTGGCTGGAGACAGCGCGGCGGAGTGCAAGTACTTCCAGTTCGTCAGGCGGGAGCAGAGCACGTAGACACAGCGGACGAGGAGAAGAGCAAGAAGGTCGCTCCACAGCTGCAGTGCCTTTTTTTCCTGCGCGTCCAGCTTCGCACCTTTTCGGTGTGCAGGTGTTCGAGGCCAATCCTTCGGGGGTCGTCGAGCGAGACCTTTTGGCCGAGCTTCTGTACAATGACAGTCGTGCGGACACACGGTGTTTCTTCGAGGAGTGCCATACGGAGTGTTTCGTCGATCCAGCGCGGCTCAGTAGTCTGCTTAGTCAAGTGGACAGCATGATAGGCAGGAAGGCGCGTGATGATAAGGGAGAGCTCCTTCCTGGAGGGGGAAGTGCTTCCCGGTATGATGAAATCGTGCAGCAAAGAACTGTAGACCCCAAAGATGCTATTCCGCCTACTAGTCTCGACCAAGCGTGCATCCGTGTGGGGTTTCTCCGGTTGCCGCAATGGGGTCCAAGCGTGCTGCTCGTGGGAAAAAAATCGCAGTTTCTCCCCGTGCCATATACGATGCTGCAGGAGAGGAGGCCAAGCTTGTTTCACCGCCAAGAACAAGCCGTCGGAGAAAGTGAACACGGGATGAGCATGTTCTTAGCATCACAATCGGCGCGCCGGCACAACGACCGCCGTCCTGATGGTCGCAGCCCGAGAAACTTGCATTTGCAGGCCGGTTCACCAGGCGAAGGTTTCTCTCCGTCCTCCTCCCCCGGCGCGGGTTCTGCCCTCATAACCCCTGCGAGCTCCCTTGTGCGTTACAACCGAGACTACAACAGGAGAGGCAATACCCGCATGCAGATGCCAACGCGTTCGCCGTCGCCCGGCGACGCGAGTTACCTGTCATCCCCGAGCAGGCACACGGACAGAGCCGCGGACGACAGGAGACGCCGGGAATTCTACGATTCACCAGAAAGCCAGAGTGTTCATGCAAGGGACAACTTTTCCTCGCGCCCCGTCGTACAACAACGTCCTGCCGGCGGCCCCGTGCGGCGGCGGAGTATGCAGCCTCTCCCAGACAGTAGTTTCCTGTCTACTCTCTCAAACCCGGCGCCGGAGCAGTACGAAGATCAGTATTTTGAGGATGACGATTCATATGAATTTCGAAATCATCGAGGAATTATTTCTAGGCGGCCACAGCCTCCGACTGGCAAAGGCTCCCACCGTCCCGAAGTGTTCCGTGTCAAGAACAATTCCATGTCCCCGGCGCTGTCCCCCGGAGCGGTTTTGGAGCAGCTGCGACACGATCGAAACCTCCGCGGAGCTGAGGCGTCGCATTCGCGGTCACCGCAGCTGTTTTATGGGGAAAAAGGTTCCTTCCCCTACAGAAGCGAAGGTGAAATAGCCACGCACGTTCATCATCATCCATCGCAGTCTTCGCATCCGCGTGCTCCACCGACGTACGATGGCGGCGCCTCTTCCCTTCCGGAAACCAGTAAGACCACTGTCATTTCCAGTGCGGTGGAAGAAGCCGCGTCAAAAAGCGACTTCGTCTATTCGAAAAGCATCGTTTCTCATTGGTGTGTTTTTGACCGAGGGCCAGTGCGAAAAAAGGCTAAGAGCAGTCCGAAGAGGCAGAACAGATCACCGCAATTTACAGGAACGGACACGCAATCCGCTTCGCCCGAGGACACAGCTGCGCAAGGAGGCGTCAATCTGCAAGCACTGCAGGAATCGGAAGCCGCAGACCGGCTTTTGGAGGAGATCCGCACGAGAAACCGCGTGCCCTACATCCAGCCAATTCTGTACCTCCAGAATCCGAATATCGCTTCGCTGCAGGCACAGAAGATCGCAACAGCGCAGGATCTCGAGGACCTCAACGTGCTGGCGTCTGAGGTGCTTTCCCGAACAGCAGGTAGTTATCGTGGAGCCGGAATGTTAGATATGAGCGATTCCTCACAACTCGTGGATGTGAATACCGCATCCGCACAGCAATTGCAATCAGACAATCAGAAGCAGCACCTTGGCAGCACGCTTGCTACCGAGATTCACCGCCAGCGGCAGTTCCTGGAACTCAAGCTTGCCCTCTTCGACCGGGATGGGTTCTTGAAGAAGGCCACATCGTCGAGGTCGCCTACAATTTCTGGCCGCACGGGTCCGAACGAAGATTCTCACACGTCGACCACTCCCAGAAAAGGTCTCAGTCCTGCAGATGGAACTTCTTCAGATCAACACGTTCGAAGGAAGGATGGAACGCCGCGGTTCAAGCGGATCCTGCGACTGCAAGATGTGAACGATTTTTCGTCCTCTCCGGATGAGCGAGCAGAACGGTCGCCGCGTGCAGTTCTGCTCAGCCTGAAGCTGCCCCTGTGGCAGCGGTACGCGGAGCTGGTGCACCAGCAGGAGCAGCAGTCGAAAAAGCTGGAACAGAAAATCGAGTTGCTGGAAAGCCGCAAGCGCCTTCCCATGCCACGAAGGATCCGAGAGCTGGAGCGGCTGGTTGCCGTGCAGAAGAGGGAGATAGAAACACTTGTCCTGTCGAACAGCAGAAATCAGTTTGCTGACAAACATCAGAATTGGCTTTCGACCGGAAGAACCGCGGCCCGGAACAACGGTAACGCGGGAACATTAAGCACAGACCAGCAGAAAAACCCGAAAGGATCGCCGACTACAGGAGCAGCAGCTAACACCGCGGACCAGCAGCCCGCAGGCTCAGGCAGCCGCGGCTCGAGCGCGAAGGAATTTTTCCATAAGCTCCTGCAGAAATATCAGCGGCTGGAGAAGGACTACGCCGACACACTGATCGATCTGAAGCGCATCGCAACCAACGAAAAGAAGCTGCAGCAGGAGAACAAGCAGCTGAGGCAACAGCTGTCGACCTACGAACAAGAAGAAAACCTGATTGACCGATTACTTGCGAGCGGGGCCGGCACGAACGAAGCTGGTGGTGGGTCTTCTGCTTTGGAACACACCACCAGTGACCACCTAGGTTCGTCCAGGCAGCAAATGACAGGACTGAAGCTGAACAGGACGCCACGAAGCGCTCGGTCTATCCAGTTTGCACAGTATCAACTGAACAAGCAGGCACGGGGTCTGAAGAGTAAAAATGCAGCGACAGGATCTGCATATGCTGGAACAAACAACAGCTCGCAATTCCCAACCAGTAGGAGAGCACGGAGAGCGGATTACGACAAGCTGCAGCGAACGTACTTTCCTCGCAGCAAGGATCTTGTCGACCTGAAAGAAATCGCAGCCGCTGCGCAAAAAGCGGGGGTTGTTGATATTGCTGCGGGAATTCACGCGGCAGGAAGCAACACCGGCGCGACTAGCGCCACAGCTTCTGCAAAGAAGGCGCAAGACCCAGCTCTTCCGGTGAGCAATCCCTCCCTGCGAGGTGCGACGTTTCTTCCCGCGAAAAGGTTGGGATGAAGGTGTGGTCAGCCACAACGCTATGATCTTCCCAATAACTTCGCATGCAGTGCCGAACGCACTCTTCATGCTGCCAAGCGAAAATATATCTGTATGATGATCATGAGGATCTGCATCTTACGAGCTAGTCTGGCTGCGTTTCGGCAGTCGCATTCACGTCCGCATTCGTAGAGGCTCGCCACCGTAGCCAATCCGCTGACCGCGTTGAGGATTGCCAAACCGACTTCTTCTGATGCAGCAGTGATCAAGATGAAATGCACCAAGGAAGGATCATCCGAAGGTCGAAGAAAATACTAAAGTGAAAGGATCGCATTCGCAATCGCACGCCTTAAGGTGATGATCTTGCAGCTTGTATCGCTCGCTGTCATGATCGATGTGGTCCATGGAAATTCAGATACGGGAAGAGAAATGGCTAGCGGATCTGCGTGTAAGATCCTCCGGTCGATGTTGGGTCAAGAAGCTTGTTTTCAAACGTGTTTAGATAGTGGGCCTCTTTTCGTTCTTAACTCCGCAGATACCCCCCGATTGATTATGCCCAAGTAATTCTAGTTGTAGGAGACCCCCCTTCCGGTTCCGCCCTTCACCTCACCCATACGTGTGCGTGATTTCGCTTTATTTATCTATCAATTCCTTCGTTCTGCTTCTGCCAATACGAGCTGGAGCTTTCCTTCCTTTCTACAATATCACTAAGCAAAACTGGCAAGGAATAACATGGCGATACATTCATCTCTTCCCGGCACTTGTGAGCAGGGCGCTCAGCGCCCCAATTCCGCTGCACTCGAGCTGGAACGGTCGGTAGCCGCCGACCCGACCGTCGCCACGCTACTGGCCTGGTCCAAAGATCCCGCAGAGATTGAACTAGTCTGGGCGAGAGAAGATTTGCTGGCAAAAGTTTTCAACAGAAAGAACGCAAGCTGTGAGCTAGTGCGCTCAGCCGAGGAGTACCAGCAGGCGGCGACCCTAGGACGGAACTTGGCAGCCAACGTGGCTAGGGAAGTGCAGGAAAACGCTGAGGAGATAAGGAGAGACGTCGAAGGGTTTTCTTATCAAACACGGATCGCGGCCTCTCGGGATCGGGATCAAGCAAAAACAGAAGCAGATCATGAAGCTTCACCAGGTGGTGCGCGATCTATTGGAGAGAGACTTTTTCACAGGCTTGATTCTGTTGTCGGGAACGGTTTCCGGCTGTTCTTGGAACGGTGCGAAACGTTTGATACTGATACAGGAACATTTTCGCAAGATCGCGCTAATGAACACTCAACGGAACTGCAATCAGGCTTGAATCTGCCAGCCCGGAAAGCCCTTCTGTTTTGGTGGATGCAGATGGAATTAGCCCACCATTTGTTTTCGTCGACTACTTCGTCCCCAGTGGCTGCGAGGACTCGTGCAGAGCAAGAACGGCCGTGGCCGACCCCGCCATACTGCTACATCAGCAGCAGCCTGGAACACGACCACCGGCGCTTCCTCGTGCGCGGGTGCGGGATCCACTTTGTGAATGTCTTCTTCCGGGTGCTGCAGCTCTTGCCTCTTCAAGACTTCGTGCAAGAAGGCAGAGGCACAATGTCCGATCACGACATAAACGCTTGTTTTCTTCAACCGAAGCACGCCGCTGCTGTCTTGGCTTTCGCCGTTTTGTACGAGCAAAAGCGTATTTTAGATGTCGGGATTGGCGCAGATTGCGACGATGTCGTGGAGTTCTTCTTTGAAAACCTTGAGGTGCTTACAATGCTTTTGCAGCAGTCATCAATCTATACACGCCACGAGGACCTGTCTGACAGAGAATACGCACCAGCCCTGACTGATGCGGTGCGGCATTTTCTCGGCCTACCAGCAGATCACGACATTGCGCACGACCGTGCAACATGGACCCACGTGACAACTTGGCTGTGGCAAGTGATGACGCTAGACGGCTTTCCCGCCAGAATCGCGGATGATATCGCGTGCTTGGGGAAGGGGGAAGAACGTCTTCTAGAAGAAAGGGGCGGCTCCAGTGCCGTTGCGTCATCGTCCAAAGAAAAGCGAGCCTCTCAGGATGTTGAGAGCAGTAAGCTGTACGCACTGCAATTCTTGCGACACGTTGCGGAGGCAACAGTCGTAGACAGGCTAACGATGGTAGCGCTTCCGCAACTTGGCCTGGCCGAGGACCAGAGCAGCAAGACTCCGGCGGAGTCAAATGGTGACCTCCAAGTAGGCGCATCGGAGGAAACAGCCCCAGCACGACCTTTCTTGGAAGTCGAAGCGCTGGAATTCCTTTGCGGCGTGATCGCGAATCTTGAGCGGGCCTGGCCGGAAGTGTCGCCTAGCACCCGCGCGGAGCTGCGAAGGGTGCTCAACAGCCTGGAGGCAGCGATTTTCGACCTCCTGGGCCGCCTGCTGCAGGTGCGAGACGCAGAAGTGCTGGAAGCGGTTAACAAGGGCGCTAGGGCTTCAAGTACTGGTCAAGGTGCTCATACTATTCAAAATCCGGAGGACGAAGAACAAGAAACTGAAACAGAAGTACGGGAGAAGGGCCAACAGCAAAATCCGTACGTCATGTCCGAAGAGGAGACGCAGAAGACTCTGCGCGACGTGGTGCGGAAGAAAGAGCAATTCCGCGGTTACAAGGACTTTCTGAGGTACGCGAAGCAAATTCACCTCCCAGTGGTGCTGCGGCTCGCGGGGCTTCTCTTACGCGAGCAAGTGGGAAGCTGCACCGCTGAGGGAGTAACGCAGGTGCAAAGCCGTCCTGACACGGTGGCAGCAACCAAGAGCGAAATAGAGCAGGATCAACAGGTCTGTGATGACGAGCACCAAAAATTGCTGCTCACTGAGGTTGTGCCAGAATCCGTAGCGAAGGAAATTCTCGGTCCCCGGCCGGAAATGCCGGTGGAGCAGGGCTCTACCCCTTTGGTGCCCGCCAAACCGACCTACATGTCCCGTGGCAGAACTGCCCCAGAGGACAAGTTGATGAAGCTCCTGTCTTTCTGTTACTCCGACACGGTGCTGCCGACGCTGAAGGAGAACGCCATCTTTGCGGTCAGGAACGTGTCCGACGGAAATTTGGCGAATCAAGAGGCCATCCGCCGACTGCTCGCGACAAAAGACGCTTAGGGAGCTACAAGTGACACTCAGGCCGCTCAAGGCTGAGGCACTGAGTTCCCTTCTAGGTTTCGCCATGTCAAATTCAAAAGCAAAACCCGCGACAGAACAGATGAATAATGACAAACAGCGACAAGTAATTCGCTGCCGTGTAAGTTCCCTTGTGCGGCAGGCGACAACAACAGCAAAGCTCAGAGAGCTCGCGCAGCGAATCGAATCCATCGACTTACCAGCGCCTTGCGGATGCGGCCGCTTGCTCGTGTTCAAGGATAGATCATGTCCCGTTCTGCTATCAGATCCTGCTGCTCCTATCGAGCCCGGGTCTCGTTACTTCTTGCATTGTGCTGACCATTCGTACAGCTTCTCATGCCCTTCTAAGAAAACGGCATCGTAGTTGTCCGTCGTATTCGTTGCGAGAGGAGAGTTTAAATTATTCCCATATTCGTATTTTTTCGTGGCCTATGTATAGTCTTAATCGTAGTTGTTCGTCGTGGGCGAAGAAACAAGACAGCCGTGTCGTTTCAAAATCGTAAATCGTTACGCGATGGCAGGTCTGACAGATGTCTCTATCTTCTCGATCGCGTCGTCTTGCTGAGCCTTCGTGGTTGTCGCGGAAACACAGAACAAATAGATGGTCCTCGCGTCCACGTGCTTACGCACACGTCGTAGATACATGGAGAATTATCTAGCAAACAAAGAAAAAAGGATATTTTCAGGAGAGGTAAGTAAATCAGTAAGCAAGCTGCAAAGAAGAAGCGAAAATCGCACATCGTTGGTCTATCTTTTCTTCACTATCTGTCTCTCTTTAACGTCCAGTGGTTTGTAACCATGTCTACAGAGGACCAAGAGCTACTCGGTGTGCTACAGGGTCGCAAGCGGAAGAAAGTGCCGGCGAAGACCGAGGGAGCGACGACCCCAGCCGGAATACAGGGCGAAAAAGAAAAAGTCCCTGCGCATGACAGTACGGGCGACGATGCGGTGCCCGTTGCAAGCCAAGAGCAAGAGAGGAGCACGATGCAGGATCGGGAAGAAGCGGGGCAGCAAGAGGACCTGCTGCATCGTACGAGAAACAAAAGCAAAAATCAAGATGGAGGTACTACGAGTGAACAGAATAACCCGCCGAAGAAACCAAAAATCGTTTTGATGGGTGACGACTCTGGCAGCGCTGCGCAAGTCGTCCCGATTCCGGAAGCGCAGCCAATCCCGCCCGCATACCTCGACGACCAGGTCCGCGGTCCTTTGTCCGCCCAGAAGACGTACGGCAAGGGGCCAAGCCTAAAGGAGGACATCGCTCTGGTCAAACAGGCGAATGGACGGGAGCCGCATGAGTTTCTCTACTCGGAGGCGACGGCCCAGGAAGAACCCGGGGGTTTTGCCCTATCGCAGAAATTGGCCGGACCCACCCCGGGAAGTTCCGCGGGGACCATGTACCAGGCTCCGTTGACGCAGGAGTCGCGGGAAAAAGTGCGACTGCAGCAAAAACAGTTACAGGAAACGCCGGGCGGCACCGAGATGTATGCGAACTTCCATGGTGCGTCCATACCCGCCTACCAGCTCGTCGACAACAACACGGGAAAAGTTCCTGCAAGCCTCCGTCCGGCGACCCGTGGGGCGGACGTGGTTGCGGCTGTTGCTGGAGCGTCCGCGAAGATGCAGGCACAGCCGAGCCCCTCGCCGACGGCTGGTGACGGTGCGGACACGCTCAGCAAAATAGAGCGCGCAGCGGGTGCGCTGAACTTTTCCGATCGCGTGCGCCAAGAAGTGCCCTCGAAGATGGGCGGAAGCAGTAGAGAGGGTGCGACTCCCGCTGGTGGCGTTTCCTCCGCCTCCAGCCCGGCGAGGACCTTCATGAAGCCGGTAGGAACGTCTTCCGGGGCGGCCACGCAGGCCAGGGCCGCAGTCGAAGATCGGAGCAAGATGAACACTGTCGCGACCGCCGCTGACAATGATGCCATTGCGAAGACGGAGCAGATGCTGATGGTGATGGCCGCAACAGACATTGCTCAAGCCGAAGAACAATTGTTGCAGCAGCAAGCCACGCAAAGCAAGGCCCCGGCGGCCGCGAATGGAAGTAACAAGATGGTGACGCGAACCACATCCACAGGAAGTCGACAAGGTGAAGCCGGTATTACTGCGAACGCTGGTAGTTTGATGGCGACTGCCTTCAAGGACGTGTCAGAATTCGAAGTTGGTATCCGTGCTGGAGGAGACCATGAGTATCATGCCGCAAAGAAACACAAAAAAGGCCATACTAGTGAAGGACCCACAGTGGACGATGCGACTCTGATGGTCACGGCAGTACTGGGCGTGTCGGACGAGTTTGAGCAAGCCCGCTCCGCGAAGGGAATGGTGAAGCACAAGGCGTCTACAGCACGTGCAAAAGCCCTGCACAAGGCGAAGCAGCACGCTGTGTCTGGTGCTACTTCCGAGGAGAAGCGGCATGTTGGCCGCAAGAAAACGTTGGAAAACCCCATTGCTGGGCACGAGCAAGCGACACAAACTGGAGCCAGTCTTCTAGCGGATGTCGATAGTGAAGATCAAGCGCTCCCCGCCGCTGCTCTCGTCGTGGCTGAGAGCAAAGCGACCGGCACGGACGAACTTGACACTTATGAAGAAGCAGTTTATCCCGTAGAAAATGAACAATTTGCGCCTGCAACTATGCCGGAGGCCAGGATGGCCGACAGTAGAGAAACCGAAGAGCCGGCGGGCTTGCTAATCACGGATTTTGTCAGTGCCAGCGATCGCAGCGGAGCTGAGACTGCCACCACGGCGGCTGAAATGCGGAGGCAGCGCGCGGTTCAGAGATCGAGAAAGCACAACCAGCGCAAGTTGAACGCCGAAGAAATTCCGACGGAATTGCCGATTCCGCACGGGCACGGCGGAGAGCAGGCCGTACCCTATGCCGGCTACACTTCTGCAAGAACGTCTCCACAAGACAACTCCGGAGGTAAAAACCCGGAGCTCCGTGCCGAGGCAGTCGTCGACAACACCGGCGTTGACTTCGTCGAGCAAGCTACGCTGGTGAGCCCGATGGAGTTCCAGGCGGCCACCGTACTGCAGAAGCCGGGCACCCCCGGAGCGGCATACGACACACTGCAGGTGCTGACCAACTACCTGTCCTCACCCTCTGACGGGGACTCCAGCCCCTCCGCGGGTGCGACGGCGGTACCCGCACCCGGCTATCTGCAGCCCGACCATGAAGCTGAGTTGTACCGAAAGCAGAAGCTCGCAGCCTCCAAAAACAATCTGAACTCCCTTCTCGCCGAGAACGTTTTCGGGGGAGGCCCAGAGCTTCCAGACGACGAGACCGCAGGAGCCAGACGCGATCTGGTGAGTACATATCCTGACGAGGATAATTACGCTCGGGTACGGGTTCAGGTTCAAAGAGGTCCTTTCTGCACGAAGCAGTGTGTCCTGGTGGTCATCGTTCTTTTCTTACTCCTGGTTGTCGGAGTTGGTTTCTACCTACACGCGGCCGGCTACTCTATCCGCGTTGTCTGGGACGACGGCTGGCACTTCTACAAGCTGCAGTTTCTGAAAACGGTCTCAGTGCCGACCGACGATACTGCGACAACAAATATTAAGAGCAGAACAGCATCGAGTACACCTGTCCCGACGACGCCTGGACGGAAAACAACTGAAGGTAGCCCTTCAGAAATGAGGCCTACTGCGCGCATATCCGGCGCCGCGTTTCTGCAGGAAGACCATGCTCTTGCTCGTTCTCAAGGTGCTCGTCATGTTGGCGATGCGTGGCGCCATCAGCAGCATGCAAGGACACCAAGCGCCAAGGTTGAGGAACCGACGTTGCTCGAGTTACACGACGAGGACCACGCGAACAACGGCGCAGGTATTCACGGCGCAACTCGTTGGAGCAGGAGTTACGATTTGCAGCGGGACGGAGGTGGTCGAGAGCAACTAGAAGCAACTTTTCTTGGCTCTGCACAAGATGAAGCGAAGCATTCGCCGCGTTTTGGCTTGGAGACGATCATGGATGCCGCAACGGAGGACGTGCTCGGCGCACGGCAAACTGCAAAACCAGCTTTGGCCCCTGAGACGCAGCCCAGTGGAGGAAATAGATTTGGCGCAAGTGAAAACTCAGCAGACCGTGGCGCAACGGCAAACGTAAATCCGAGTGGTGTTGCTGGTGCTGCCTACGTGGAGGTGTGAGGGGATGGTCGGTTGTCCATTGAAATACGCCTGCAAATGGCAACAGATGTCGAAAAAGTATGATCCTGTCAGTCAAGAACTCAATGAAAAATACAGATTCAGATCGACACTGCCTTCAAACGACGTTCCTTTCTTGATTTTGATGCAAAACACGCTTACCAAGTTTGAGCTTGCTGAGACAGTCGAAATCGAAAAAGAGAAGGAACAGGAAGATGATTTATATATAGTGACTTGCTCCTGAGATCCTTCCAAGTCGTCCAACTGACTTGAAGTTGATACTGACAGGAAGGTTGCTCTGTCCTCCTTGTCCGTCAACGTTTTCAAAGCGATGATAGATTTACAGGTCCGAAGATCTTGGTCTACTGGGCGAACACGGTAAGAAGATCTAACACCAGTGAAGATGCTGGTCCTTGTTGTATATCGTGATAGATCTTCTCGTTCTCCTTCAAGTTCAAGATAGAATAGATACACAGAAAATCGCTCTAGCTAGTGAGTGGAGGTTCACCTGGTCCTGGTGCTTGTGCTCCGTTGTCCGTTCCGCGAGATCATGTAGTTCATGTAGATGACGTAACAAATATGGTCGTTCCGCTTGACTTCATGTTGATTGTCGCAATATCAATCTCAACTCCTCAGGCCCTCAGGGATTTTATGGCAGATCTACTAGACTACGTTTGTTTCGAGGATCGATTTTTTAGCTGCAGGTGGCAGTTTCACTCCTTACGGTAAAGAATACCAGACGTAACTTTCACACACCAGACTCTTGTTTAGCATTGTTTATCTTGAGAATTTGAATCTGAATCCTCAGCAGGTCCAGGTCCAGAGGAACAACGAATTTATTATTGGACATCGAAAAGGAAAATAAATTACAGCAACTGGTGCGAACGATGACCATGTTGAATGTGCCGGACGAACAAATGGTGTATTCCGTGGAAGACACCACAACGAATCCGATCGCTGAAAAGATGGAACTGAATGATGAAGCAGAGACTACAACCGGCGCTACAGTGACCACGAAAACTTCGCTCCAGGTGGAGCCGCAGGACGAGGGGCATCATTCGAGCCCTGAATTACCTAGTACGGCTGCACAGGAGCAAGTTTCTCCGGACAAGAATCCTGCCGAGGCGTTTGATGGCATGACGGAGCAGGAGAAACCGGCCACTGCTGCTGTAGTTTCCGCCCCTCCTCCAGTTGCCCAAGCACCTCCGGTTGTCGCAGCGCCGCCCCAACAGCAATACTACCAACATGCGTACGGGCATTCTAGTACCTCGCACCCTGTTGTTCACCAGCATCCTCAAGGGTACTACTATTACACAGCCGATACTCCCGGCGACGACGAGGATAGGAACAAACATCACTACCAGACGACCGCGGACGGTGCTGCGGAACACGCGGGTGCGGATGCCGAAACAGCAAGTCCGCCTCGCACCGCGTGCGGCTGCTCGCCGGGGGTGGTCGCATTGCTAATCGTCTTGGCGGTCGCGGCCGTTTGCGCAGGCGTGTTTGTCGCCTGGTGGCAAGCGGCAAAAAATGCACAAGAGAAGGACGACGGGGCGGCCGCGGTCCGGCCAGGTCCGGTCGCGAGGCCCCCGGCCCCGGTAGTCACTCCACCACTCCCCGGGGTCAGTCCCGGTGTAGTTCCGCTCCCGGCCGGCCCGAAGCCGCCGGCGAGGGGGACCACGACGCCGGACGGCAATGGAAGAACGCCGGACGGCAATGGAACTACTCCGAACAACAACGCGCCGCCCGCTCCCACGGGACCAATGGCAAAAAAGCAGGCCAGCAATCTCGTGAGCAACGACCCTGACGAGGCAGTCTTCGTCCCTCCAACCACACCGGCATCTTGGTATGCGGTGCCTATTTCTGGTTTCTTGAGGCCGAGCGTAACGTTTGCAACCGACACGTACGAACCCCTGCTAAGCGTGTCCGACAAAATCGCATTGCTGAGCTGGCTGGCGCACATTCAGCACGACCAGGACCCGTTTAGATTGGGGGGCGGCGCGCAGGCGATCTTGGGCATAGCTGCAGACGAAAGTTTGAAGCATCACTTTGTGAACAACATCACGCAGGACCGCGTGCACCTTGCGTACCGCGGTACGGCCGCCGTCGTGCCGTGGGATAGGACGGGACTCACGTCCCGCTTGCGCACGGGGGAGAACCCGGATGAAGCGTACTCGTCCACCAACGGAGTGCTGTGGTACCTGCACCAGCTGTTCCAGAACGATTGGCGCCCGGCGACGCTGCGCACCGAGACGACCACCGGCTTCGCCCCCGAGGGGACCTACAACTGGGGGCAGCGCTCCAGCCTGTTCGGAATATCGTACCCGGTGACCGTCCCGGAAATCCGGCCCAAAAGGCTGAACCGCACATGGGACGCGGTAGACAAACTCTACGACGTCGGCAGCTCCGGCGCCTCCTGGACGGCGTTGCAAGTGAATGCTTTCAAGTACCGATTGAAGGCGCGGTTCGAGGACCTGCTGGCCGTCCGCATCCACCACGAGGATCTGGACGATCTGTTCAAGCAGCACGCCCTGGACACCACGACCATCACCACGTACTACAGTCCGCGTTGGGCAGAAGCGACGTACGAGCTGACGGAGACAAAGGTGCGCAAGATCGTCATGACCATGTTCTGGGCGCTGCTGCTGGCGCGGATCCGCATCGGGCGAAAAATCATTCAGAGAGAAAACGACACGTGGACAAATCCGGAGACGTTTCGGATGGAATTCGACAACCCGCACTCCGACGCCGAAAAGATGGGCGTCGGCAACTGGGGCTTCGACCGCACCATCTTCGGACCGCCCAAAGTGCTGTTCCACTACACGTCGCGGACCTCATTTCTCGCAATTCGATCCTCCGGAAGCTTGCGACCAGCCGAGAGCTCCGTTCTCGGTCCGGGGGTTTACCTGACGAACATGGAGGTATAGTTGTCTGCCTTACGTTTCGAACAATGCTCGCATTCGCTATTTCGTGATCTTTCTTTGCCTTTTTCATCTATCGTAGCAACAGACACAATCTTCAGATGTCTGTATCGATCCATCTGGTGTAAGTGAAAAAGTGCTTCTGCTTGCTGAAGAGATACTTATCACAGCAACCAATCAGGCCGTACTAGTGCACAGTAGACATAAAAGCTCAAATCGAAAGCCTAGCCGTCTATTCATTGTCCGTACTAGATTTGATTTTCGAAAACAACGTAACACTTACAGCAAGGACTTTTTGCGGAGTTTGAAGTTGAACAAGAAACGACCGTCGGGGAGTCTTGTGTATTCGCTTTCGACGTCGATGCGCTGTCGCAGAAGCAGGGGTTCTATCTGGACCGGTTCTTGGACGAGCGTCGCGGGGACTCTGGGAGGTCGTTCACCTCGTCCCGACGAGTGGCCGGTTCCTACGGAAACATAGTTCTGGGATCGCACAACTTCCCCACTTATTTGAAGAACACAAAGAAAGGGCCTAAGCCGGGGATTCTCACCGACGGAAATCCGTCTGGTACACAGCACCAAAATGTCACGGACTGGTTCGTGGAAAAGCGGGGCAAGGAAATAGAGTGGGAGCTGAAGTTATGCTAATGGAAAATTACCATCACGACCCGGAAAAAAAATGACGACTCTAATTTTGCCATGAGCAACAGTGTTGTAGATGGTGCAAATCCAAATAGCAAACATTCGAAATTGCATCGAGCATCAATTGGAAATTTCTGCTCGAGATGGGGACGATTTTCCATTGCATAGAAGACAAACCTCCCGGTGTCAGGGACGTACCTTGACGGTGCGACTGACCATTGGCGTGCCCGAAAGCGCGCAGCCTACTCTAACACCCGGGGGCGCCGGGGGAGGGCTACTGCCACAGGGTCTGCCAGCTTGAGCGAGGATGTGGAGCCGCCGGCTCTGACGGAAAATTTCGGCAGCGTGATGCTGAACCAGCTCGACAAAGGCATCGACTACATCGGCGTCTGCAATCTGGATATCCCCAATGGCGAGAACACGGGTATTCTGAGCGAGTGGGTGGCGGTCAAAGAGGGCCGCGCCACGAGGAGACCTCCGAGACCGACTGCGGTATAAGGAGACCAAATTGCCGCATATCTTAAATTTCAAACTTTGGTACTCATCATTGATCATACAAACATACGTGCACTGTAGGTCTGTCTTCAAGCATTAAAAACAGTTATAGTTATTACTTCTCTGCAAGTCGTGTACTTCACACAGATTTCGTTGTAAACAAAGTATTTCACCATAAAGGGAGCTTCGTTACTGCCACGTGGATAATGCATAGAAAGTAAGGTGGTAACACGAAGGCTCCCCATGTAATGAGAATGTTTTATGTCGTGGATAATGTATGATGGATGTTTTTGTTTCTTGTCTGCCCGCAGCACCTGAATAAAAGTGTGCCAACACCTCCGTAGCACGGACGCTGTACTTTCAATTCCGAATAGATTTGGGCTCCACAGAAGAACTAGGAAAACGATAACCTATCGCTATGGATCTGGCGAGAATAACGAGGGCAGACTGCCCAGGCATCTGCAGTACCCCTCACCCACTAGCTGTTTCTAGAAAACAAAAACGAAACGCGCTGCGCTCGTCTTGGCAAAAGACAAAGAGGCAACAACTTTCTTGTCGAAATTAGTCACAATATCGAAGGAACGGGATGATGAAAAGTGAACATGCTCGGAAACGTTTTTGGGCCACGGTTTTATCTACATCTCGACTAGCGTGTATAGGGTGGACCACCTGATATAATTGGACTTTGGTACAATTACTTTTTTTATCTACTAAACATCGTCGAACGCAATCGCAACAAACCTAGACTGTTACCATGAGTGTGCACGTAAATTCGTTTCAGCATAACAACATACACAGAAAACATCACGAGTAAGACCTCCATGTCATACATATGGTTGAGCCTTCACGATCACGAGAAAGAGAACGAAAAAAGATAGGAATTATAACTACGAACAGATAGCTCCGTTTCTAAATTACATGCTCTGATAATTTCTAGCTCGAGAAGGAGTCCCCGTTGTCGGCGCGGCCCTACTCCTGATTGGATTGGTTTGCAGGGCGTGAGCTTTTGCTAAACATGCTGTGAACGCGGAAGCCGTTCGGATTGGATCGTGTTTTTTCCACCCCCTGATTCTTGCGAGTATATCAATATCGATATCCATATTTCAGTATCAGTGCAAGAAGGTAGTTCGGTTTTTTTTTCTGTGTGTCCTTCCTTGCTGTTTTTGCAATCGGTTTCTTTCGACGCAGAGTTTCACCTGCAGTTCGATCTGGCTCAGTTGCCGAACGCTTCAGGTTGATCGAAACAGACCTTTTATTCAAACAAAGATCATCAAGGTGACACCGAATTACTCGTGCATAGGGAGGTCGTCTTGATGAAATAAAACAACGGCCATCAGATGTGGTTTCTATTTTGTATCTATTCCTGTTTCGATCTGTAAACAGTAAGCGAGTTATCGTTGTCGCCAGCAAAGAATTCATTGCTACTTTGGATAGGTACCGTACATCCTTGGATGTCTGCTTTTTCCAGGTACTCTCGACGAGAACAACACTACTATAATAAAATTATGCATCCTAATATGATTATGACAATCAAGCCATTTTTTACTCGATGGAAGCGAATAGAGCATGCAAATTGTGATGGAGACGAATAGAATTAGAATAGATACTATCATAACAATGACTTCAGAAGGTGGTGGTGTACACAACCCGGCACATTCAAAAAGAAGGACACCGTTGAAGAAGTGTGTTTTATTCCTAAGAAGTTGAAATTTCGTGGGACGGTGTTTCTTCCAAGATGGGGCCGCCGAAGGGAAAGAACGTCAAATCGTCCAAACGGAACAATTCAACTGCACAAAATGATGTGGTCACGAGCTTGCTCTACGACGAGAACCACAAGGCACTACTGGCTGAGTACCTGTCGCAGAAAATGGCCAAGGAATTCGATCTGACTCCGGTCGCGAGCTCGACCGCCAATGCAGTGTTGACAGGAGCGACCACGACCAGCGCCTTGGCAGCTAGTTCGTCCACGCCTGCATGTAAAGACAGTACGTTGAAAAAGGACTGCGGGGTGCTTTACCATTATGGACCAAAAAATCAATCGCCATCGCATGCGCATCACGATTCTCGATCAAAGCAAAGCCACCGTGCATTTTTTGCCTGGAAAGGTGACTGGAATTCGTCGGAAAAAGAAAGGGATTGTTTTTCTCGTATTTCTGAAATGGTGCAGTACCATCCTCATCCAGGACACGAAGTTTTTTTGTCGCAGCTCTTATATTGCATGCATGCCGGTGCAACACAACAAGGTCATCAAGGACAAGAGCAATCGTGCATGTGCGTTTTTCTCTTCTTTTGGATAGCCGGCGTTCGCCTATAGTAATGGACTCGTTGATGTTTGCGCCTAACGGAATTAGCGAAGTGGCCACCTGCCGTGGGCTGGAGTGGACGACGTCGTTGCTAAACCACTGCTGCAGAGAACCGGTTACACCCAGGATGCAGGAGCCGATGCGATTGTTGACCGCCTCGCTCGCCGAGCATTGCATCCAGCAGCAAATCCAGGAGGATCCCAGGTCCTGGGCGCACCTGTCCCCTGCCAGGTGCACGGAATTGCTTATCGGTGCAATTGGAGCTTTCGGCACGCCTTTCAGTACGACCAAAGGTGGAAGCAGTAGTAGTTCTAAAGGAGCATGTAGTTCTACCTGTTCGACTGCCAGCAAGTCCACAGACCCGGCTGCCGCTGGAGGTGCAGCAGGAGCCGGAGGCACGCAGGCACCTCCAGAAACGATTGCTGCGAGAGCAGCGCGGTTCGCTTCGTCAATGGAAAGTCACACACTGGGGCCGGACATTTTATCCACTTTTGAAACAGGAGGTACAGCAGCTTCCTCGAGTTCTTCTTGTGCTAGCGGAGCGAGCGGTGGAAGTCCGTCCAACTTTTGTTCTTTACCCGGTTTAACAGGGGCATGTTCTTCTTCCTCGTCGTCGTCGGTTCGAATGACGAGCACAGCGAAATTCATGACAGCGACAGTCGGATACAAGAGAGACAAAAGTCGCTCGTGCGGAGGCGCAGCATCTGGTGCTACTTCTAGGTCCACGAATCTGACCACAACTTCCCCAGCGAACACCACCAAGACCAAGTCTGCGAAGGGGACTACAGCAGCTTCTGCACCTGTCAAAGAACCTCCAAGCTCCTCGTCGACGACTTGGGGCGAAACGCTGCTGGACCTCGCCGAGAAATCCGTCATCGTGTCGACAATTACGGAACCGGGGACCAGCGGAAACAAGCCGAGAAAAACGAAGGTCTTCTGGGTGCCCGTCTGTTGGGACATGCAGTCCCGGCTGCTCGGGGCCGAGGCCCGTTTGAAAGAAACCCTGAGCCGCAGCATGCTCGATCGCATTGATGCCGGAAAACACCTCCTTGCGGGCAGGGCCGCGCTAAGGCGTCGGAAATGGGTCGTACGTGCACCGGCATACGTAGACCGCGACGAGTCTGAGTCTAAACTAGGGGAATCGTGCGGGAGCTTTGGTATGTAGTGAGGTCACCGAACGGTTCTAGCCAGGGAGTTTTTTTGACAGCCAGACAGCAAAACGGCCGGCAGTTTCTAAGCGGCCGGAGGGCTTTTTGCACAAAAAAAAATTTCAATTATCAAGCGGCCGGAGCTGTGCCAACAAACAAGCCCGGTCGAAAACTATCGATTCCCGCTTGATAAAACGACGCAGGGGAGCCGGCAAAAGGGGCGCCCTTCTGAGGCGCCCGCCGCCTTAGTTTCTGGCGATTTGGGGCGCCCAAAAAGGGGCGCGCAAAAAACGCGCCCAAAATCAGAACAGCGAAACAGCATGCCACGGCCGCGATTTCGGAGCATTTCGGGCGGCCGCGAAAGCGGCCGCCTTTTCGCCGGTTTCAGAGCCTGGGAAGCTTTGCAAAAAGCGCTGGCGAGAAATATGAAAACGCAAAAAAGAAAAAGCGCGTCAGACGCGCAAAGCCAATCCGCATGCTATGGGCCCGATTTTTCCTCGCTTTTTGGGCGCCCCCCGTGGCGCCCGGATCGGCCTCATAGCATGGGGGCTGGCTTTCGGAAAGGAATTTCGAAAATTTGCCAAAATTTGCGACGCTTATCAGGCGGCCGCCATACCGTGGGGCCTAACGTTACTCACGGCGGTATGGCGGGCCCAGAAAAATCAAAGCCGCGGCCAAGGCGACGGCCGGCAAGAAAACGCCCACGACCTCACTACCTCCGCCCCGGCGGCTATATTTGATAGGGAAACTGAGCCGCCGGCTTGGGATGCAGGCGACGTGTTTCATTGCAGCGGAGGTGTGGCTCCCGCGGCTCCTGGATTCATAGCAACCGCACTGCTGGAGAACAAGATCGCCAGGATGTACCACCACGCCTCTTCGCAAGCGGATGAAAACTCGGATAAAAAGGGCTCTTACACGGTATTGCCAACGAAAATCGTGCTAGCTGCGTACGAAATAACTCCTGACGACCCGGAGTACACCCACGAGATGGGTGCGACGAGTGGAGACCGAGACACCGGCGGCAGCAGTAGCAATATCAAGTCGCCAGCAAATAAACGCGCAATGGTAGAATCTGCGATTGGAATGGAATATGATAGCACAGTGCAAAAACTAGCCAATAGGAAGCGCAAAAGTATAGTAGAAGAGCACCTGCCCATGAGCAAGAGTGACGCGGTCAAGATTTCCCTTGACGCAGTCGCGGACGTCGCATCAGTACTCCTCGAAATGGATCATCACCATGCCGGTCAACACCCTCCTGACCTTCAGCTGAATGATTCTGGAGCTGTCTCAGGCTGCGTCACCAAGAACGCGGCGACTGAGAAAAATATGAAAAATCAGAGTAGACAGGCTTTGGTGCGAAAGAGGTGCGCGAGCAAAGCAGTCGCGATTGCCTTGTGGACCTGGAGAAAGGGGCTGCTTCATTTGTTCGAGCAGCAGATAACGGGCGGGACGTTGCCCATTCTGCAGCGGATGACCTGTTTTTTTGACACCGACGGGGAGGAGGCCCTCCGCTACTACCAGGACGACCGACCCTCCTCCGACTGGCTTTTTTTTACAATGTCGCACTTTCCGATCCAAAATGTCTTCGACTTCGGCGCACAGCATCCGCATGCGCGTGGTGGTTCTAGCGGGACACCTGGGGTCGGGGATAAAGGATCGGTGATGTTGTTCAACACCTTCGCGTCGCTGTCGCGCTACAACGAGAGTTTGATGGTTCTCACTGCGCGAAGTTACCAGAAAATGTTGGTTCTCAACGGGGACGCAGACGGAAACTATTTAGGGCCGATGTTCTTCCACGGCCCGGCGGGGAGCGGGAAGTCACTAGCCGCGTTTTCATTTGTGTTGCAGTTCCTGTTGGATCATGACCTTTCGGATCCGCGGGACAAGGAATCGGCTGACAAGAAGACAGCCGCAGCCGCGGAAACGAATTCTGGCACCACAACTGAGACCAATGCAGCGAAGAATACTACAACAAGCAAGGCGAAAAATAAGAACAAGAAGAAGGCCGCGAAGGCAGGAAAAGCTACTGCTGCAGTTGTGCAAGTGGCTGATAAAGAAAACGAGCCTTCACGATGTGGATCAGGAACTAGTAATGCCAATGCTGCTAGTGCTGGCGTCTCAGACGATGCAGCAAAAAACCCTTCAGACGGCAGCGTTCTGCACCAGCCGCTGCTGGTTATAACCGACCACGGCGACAGCAACCTGCGGTGCCTTGTGGCGCACGCAAACAAGAGCACCGGTTTCAAATACGCTCTGCTGCCGCAAATTGTGGAAAAAATGAAGATCAAAGAGGAGGACAATTTTTCCAGCGACAATAACAACTACTCTTACAACGGCAGATTGTACGATTACGGGGGAAACTCCTGCAATGGAGGTTCCGAAGATGAACAAGGCAAAAACGTCGGCGATGATGTTCTGGACCCGTCGAAAATGTTGTCGCAGCCCGGCACGGCAAGAGCAGATGCTGCGTCTGCTCAAACATGTGAAAAAGAAAGAAATCCGCATCATGGTGGGAAGCAGGATCCGTGCCTCAC